CTTTTTACACTTCTTATTGGATCGCGTTCGTAACACTATCCGCTTTTACCCGTCATTGCCTCCTTTCCACCTAGCACTTCCAGATTTATTTTTTGTTTATGTTGATAATATAATTTGTTACAAGGCCTCGGTCTTGATACCTTTAACAGCCGCCTTTTTCTTTGTGAATATGGTAGCTTATAAGATCACAGAATGGCCGTCGCCGGCTACAAGTTTCTTTTAAGTGAAACGAACGACATAGAGCTATGGATGAATGTCGTCGGCGCATATCGGATTATGGCCGTTCATTGAACAAGTGTCTCTTGTCCAGGTTACCAACTATAATCTTGTGCGAACATTCTTTCACATCAATTGTTTACTGATAGTACTACGGTGTATTTATTATCAGAGGCTTCGGTGGACTTATTATGAACATGTCTGATAATCATTTAAACTCATATGAAGCCTTTCCGCATTTGGCACACGACCTAGGTCCCTTGAACTTCATCCGAGCTTTGACAAACAACCGCTTCCTTCACCAGCTGTTTATCAACCAATGAAACAAGGTGAGCCATCCTGTATTTTTCATCCCTATGATTCTAACCGTGTTGCTTTTGTTTACATTCGAATAAGAAGTTCTTTGTTTATTATGTTGAAACGTTGATGGTTGAGGTGTTTTACTTTTGTTTGTGTTTTTAAAGGCTTGTTTCGAAGAGCAGTGGCAACTCCGCGGTTGACTACGGTTTGTTTATGGTCAATTCTGAACTGGCTATGTCTTGATTTTCCCCACTGCTAGATAGCCGGAGACCCCAACTAAATATACTGTCTTTCTCTTCTCTTTAGAATCTCTTCTCTTTTAGAAAATAAGTTTTCGAATTGCAGTCGCACTATGATCACGCACTGTTTCATTTTGTTTATGCAAGACTGGACGACAGATTTTTGACTGGTGGCACAGTACAAACTATCTTTTTTGTGGCGTTTGAAGGGGCCGTTGTTTGTTTATCAAGTGCAAGTACGGTAAATACTTGGCATCGATTGTTGTCACGCGACATAAATAATATAGTACCACACACATAGTGTCATAGATAACCGATGATATGTTGCTGTTCTTGTTACGAAAGATGGGCCCTATTAGGTTTCGATGAAAATGCCGCAATCTATCAGAGACAATGACTCAGCGTTTACATCCTAAATTACCATGTCTTCTCTGTTCTCCGTTTATCTTTCTTTTTACATTCTTCACCATTCTTTCGTACTGTTTTCTTTTCATCCTTCACAATCATCGTAGGGTCAGATTTTTTTGACACTCGATGAGTGGAAAACCCGCTCTATACGACGCTCAGTTGTCATCACGTCAAACGACTGTCCGTACACACCCTAAGCCGACCGGCGTCGTCAACCATGTACTGTGGTAGTCAACCAATTCAAGGTGTGTTCAAGCTTTTTTGGGCCCCTTATTGTGGATGTGCGCACTGAGACGTTGATAGCACAATGACGAAGAGTCGGCCACTCACTGTTGTTGATAGATTCACGGTCCTTCATATTACATGCCAACAGCGTTTTCAGATCTTCCAGCTGGCATATCTATCTAGTTAAAGTCATGCAGTAGGGTCGTCGGTATGGCGCAGGTAAACAGATTACGTTGCTGCTTGGGTTCGCTGTTCTGTTCAGCCGCAATGACATTTAACGCGTCACCATTCAAGTATGACTTGTATTGATATGCATCATTAGTTGAGTTGGTTTAAAAATGAATTTGAGCGCTACATAATTGGTGGTTTACTCACAAGTTTGTGTACATCAAGGACCAACTCTGTACCAAGTTCTCTATACCCGTTGTGAATTCAAAGTAGATGTCGTTCTGCACTTGCACCCAGTACCTTCGACTAGGGTGCGCTGACCTTGATCGGAGAACTTGATTACTGTTGCTATGTTATAAGTGCTCATGCTTATCGGGTTGTCATGGTGCCTATGCTGTCATGAACACACAGCTGCTCCTGGCCAGTTCCCTGTTGCTCCCCTTTACGATGGTCAATGTAAGCTCGTTGCTGGGCTTCTGTTTTTTATGTCTCGTGACGACATCACGGAAGCGCCATTGGCACCTCTGCTTTAGCTAGCTTCTGTCTGTTCATGTCGCTTTCTGGCCTTGTTTGCTTGTAGTTTTTGTTTTGTCCATAGTTGTCTTCTTTCTTTCCATGAATAAAAATATGATTTCACTCGTCGTACAATAATAATTCTTTGTGTCTGTCCAATAATCTTGTACACGTTATTGACCTCTATCATAGACATCAATGCCATTTCTCAATCATTGTGCCTTTGCTCTCTTCTTCCACCCAACCTGTTTATAATCACAATACAGTATACCCCCTTTCATTGCACATCCGTTAACAAAATTTTGGGAATGGAAAAAATAACATGGTAAATTTTAAACCCCCGTTTATTTCATTTTCAATGTATCATCCAGGGATGATCGGGTTATAATACAAAGTGCTCCTCCATACTTCAAAGAAATTAAGCACTGCACATTATTAATTTCGATTGACCTTCGGCGAATATCATAAAAAACAAAAAAGAAAGCTATCTAAAGAGCTTTGTCTAGCAAACAGTTTTTCTTGAAGCTTGCCGCGTAACTCTCGTAGTTTAGAAGGGAGACTAGGTATAATCTCTTCATCTCCATCGGAGGTCAAGAATTCAAAAAGTTAGTTTGATCTTTATGAACAAGTTATCATTATATTTATAGATTATTTCAATAGAAGACAAATATTCACCCCTCTCCTTATGACTTCAAGTTCTTTTATATGATAGAATACTCAAAAGGATATAAGGAACAGAGATATACCTATCTTTGTATACAACTTTTTTTCTGATTTTCAGTGATACTACTGAGCGGCAAGCAGTCGCTGTTTTATCAAATGCTTCTTGGTCTCCAATTGTCTCTTCTCTTGGTGTATATTTTACATATTACGTATGTGGAAACAAGGTCAATCCAGCTAGAAAATGTATTGGGTACTAGGCTAATGTGGATTATGGTTTCTATATAGTGACAACTTCTTGAGCGTTGGTAATCTATGTAGCATTAAGATGCGTCTTGATAAAGAATATCCGTACACAGATATTGGGTCCTAGCATCCGTTAACTTTCACAATCCATCATTTGGGAATTTCAAGTTGGAAATTAACGGGCGTCCTGATATCTCGTTCCTATATTGTTTCCGCTACATGCTACATATCCTCTTATCGCCCTGTCAGCTCCTCATCATACACATTCACGCTCTCGAAATAAAAGCTCCCGTTGCCTTTCTTCATAGCCCTCGCTATAAACACTATCTCTTTTGTTTGCCATACACGCTTTGCCCTGATCACCGCCTATACCGCCATCCCCCCCCAAATACTTTTCACTTAGTGCCTCCACTCAACTTTCCAAACTTCCTAAGTCAACTTTGCTCTGCTCTTCTTGTACTTCATTTTCATCTTAGTAACTTATCCAACCTCATTTTTTTCTAAAACCACAAGAAAATCCGCAAAGATATTGAACATTTTCCTTTTCCGGTGCTTTTCTGGAAAATTCTCTTGTTTGTGTTTATACATCCTTCCAAAACAATTTCGCTTCTACTGTTTTTCCACTGCTTCAACACTTTTGCCGATTTGCTATGTTGGGGGACCACTGTATACTTTTTTGCTTCAGGAAAAAACGTGCTAGTACACAAGTCGCTTTGTTATGTACGTCGGTTTATGTGACTCACAGACAGGTTCCATGTATCCGCAGCACGACATGCTTACTTTTTCCTCCTGTCCTACTTTTTTTATCCCTCCTTCCGCCTTCACACAAACGAAAAGACTCATATCTTCTCATTATACTGGCGTTAAGAAAAAGGTTATTCTAAACTAGCGTGGCAGTCTACTTGTTGTATCCAACAAGGCTGATAACACTCATTCTTTGTTCCGGCTTTAATGACTGCTGTTATTTCCCTCAAGATTTCACTAGCGTTCTATACGTATCGCATCAGATCGGATAATAGGGCCATGCGCACCCGATCCGGATATGCGGATGCACTGATGAAATTCGAATCCGCCGTATATTCCAAGATTGCGCAGGAATGAATGACAGCCTTCCGCTGTTTGCTCTCAGTCAACTAGATCACAACAATTGTTCGTTAATGTGCTCCGATTGCTATCCCTATTCCGCTTCAAATGGTATTAACATTCGCATTATCTATAATAAGAATGACCCCAGCAGAAACAAACAAGTTCGATAAATCAAACAAAGACAGTAACGTCGCCAATTTTAAAAAATAGTATCGGTAAGTTCAGAAACAATAAAACTGAACCCAACAACAAACGTTAATATCCTGGCCTTATTGATGGACGGAGCCACTGCAGCAAAGATACTGCAGGGCCATGCAACGCCCTGAAGCGAATTAAAATATCGGAAGTTCCAGCTCGGCAAACTCTATGATGTAGAGCAGCTTACTGCCATGCAATGGGCCAGAGATGCTTGGGAGTTAGTCTCACAAGGAAAAATCAAAAATTAAGATGGGGTCACAAAGGATTGCTTGATGTAGAGACAGAAGAGGAAAAGAAGAATAGAGAGACTGTAGAAGAAGCTGAAAGGCTACTATCTGACGAGCTTGATGCCGCGAATTTGAATACTCGCGAGGAGACATGTGGCGTTGATGGTTTTGATGGTTTTGATTTGATACCACATGAAGAATCGGAGGGTATCCATGCACCAAATTCTTTCGACGACCTCGTTAACGATCTCTCTCTTCCTCCAAACCGTCTCCGAGCTCTCCTTCCTGCACCACATTCTTCTCCATCTCTTCTTTTTTCATTCGATCAACGATCTCCTATTGCTTCTTCTCGTAGTACCATCTTTGAGCAGGACTAAGAGAGTCCAAATCCTTGCTCATGATGGCTTCTTCTCTTGCCAATCGCGCCTCTTCATTCGCCTTTTGCGCCTCCTCCAGCATTTCTCCAAAAGTCTCCTACTCTTTCCTTCCTCGACGACCTCCAGACGGGCGAGCTTCACCTGTTCACCAGCCAGCTCTCGAGATCGTCGTCTTCGGCGTGTCGTCTCTTCAGAGCCTTGGCTTTCTTATTACCAATGGGCCGCACATCCTTCTCGCCATCCACGCTGACCTCGTTGGCCTTGTCGCTGATAAACTCAAATTTCTGCTCATCCTTCAGCAGAGGCTAGCAAGAGCCATCTTGAACGGCCTATACCGTTCTTCAACTTTGCCGTTGTACCTCTCGATTATGCGCTGTTTCTATTGTAGGAACTTAAAGGAACTTCTCGAATCTGTAATATGCATATTCTTGTGCAAAGGACTACCCTGTCACCATCGGTCTCGTCACTTTTGGTGGCCCTCTCTCGATAAAGGCCGGGCCGCTGCATATCTCGCGATTTGTGCGCTGATGATTTCCAACGACCTTGACAAGTTTCGGGGGTGCGGTTTTTGTCATTGCCGCCTTTTTCAAACTCTTCAAAAACGCGTTGCCAAAAGGTTTTTAAAATCTTGGTTGATGTCAACTTTTTCATCCTTGTCGACGAGAAGGCAGGCTTGGACCAAGAGCTGATCCTCGTCATTGCGCCACTAAGCACCTTTCGTCTTTTTTTTTGGTCGGCAGTTGCGACAGGGGAGGCAGCAGTAGCATTTCGACTTGAGGAGAGGGTGGTTTCGGGGAAAGTGACCGTAATCGTAGACATGGGATTGCTGTTGTCGTTGTTGATGTTCAAAATGTTTGGGAGTTTACAGGACAGGACCAGTTACTTTACAGATTATCATTTCTACAGATAATCCGTTGCGAATGCTCATAGCGCGCACTGCTCTTGTGTCTTTTCGGAGGACGTGCATGATCGATGCTTTTAAATGACCTTCGTAGAAACCCATGTCAGGCATTATTAAGCAGGGTAAAGCAAAGTGACAATGACAAACCCGTTTTGGATGAATGACGAAAAGGAAACCGCGGTGACGAAAAGGGAACCGCAGAAACGAAAAGGAAAGAACGTAGCACAAGTAAAAAAGAAAGAACTAGCCGAGTGGAGTGACGGCGTGAAAGCGTAAACAAGAAGTAGCGAAAAGGAAAAGGAGGAATGGAAAAGGAAGAGCGTAGCACAAGCAGTAAGGAAAGAAAGCATGAAAAGGGGTGAAGCCGCGGTTGTCATGGCCACCACTGCATGAGGGAAAGCACTTCTTCCGATGGTCCATTGCTCTGCTGGCTCGGGGCACCAGGACAATATAAATACCTGAAGCAAGGGGTACTGCTGTTGTTTTGCTTTTCTTTTCTTCTCTCTTTTTCCCACTTTACTTTTTACTTTGCCTTTTTTTACTAAAGTTCTTTTGCTGCTTACTATTGCTCTTTCGACGTCCTTCATTACCGTCTGCTCACGCTTGCTCCATCTCGCTTTACGCCAGTCGAACATTACACGTCTTTGCCACCTTCACTTGCTACAGCTGCTCTGTCCTTGCCGTCAACAGAACGTTGCTTTTTCCTGTCACTACCGTCAATCGTGCTGGCTGCCATCTGTAGTGACGCTATTCTGCTCTCGTATATGATCAGCATGCGGCCCCATGTTGCTCTGTTACCTGCAATACATATTCGCGCTCACTCTGGTTTTTTTGGCTGTTGTATACCTTATCTTGCTCCATCTCGCAATTCTCTTGCCACCTAAGATCGTGAACGTGTTGGATATTCTACTCATTGTACAGACGAATTTTTTTCCTTGGGTGTCTTGAACTCTGCCGGACGTATTGTGGCTCTACTTGGCGTCTTTGTTTCCAAGGCTCCTTTGCTGACGGACTTGTCTATGGTTTTCCCGTGCGTATCAAAGATGCTGTGCATGGATGCTGCTCTGCCGCTTCACGGACGACCTGTTCTTCTCGTAGCTTCCTGTGTATGCTCAAGCTGTATGCCTTCATCCCCGTTTTAAATTAAGATCAAGGCTGAGACTGTGTGGTTGCTGTTGCTCTCCATGGATGAAATTTGCTTTTGTTCGGACACATGCGTTTCCGTTGTGAGCTCCGTGCTTGCCGAAGTTATGATCCACATGGTAAGTTTTTCTAATTTAAGATCTTCCTTTATATTAGCTGGTTAGAACTTGTGGATCGTTTTCTAAAAAGCAAGAATGATTAATAGGATGAACGAGTGCATGTAAACGCGCGATCGTTGACGGCGGTCATTGTGGGTATTGGCGACGGTGGCAGAGGAATTTGGATGGGCAGATTATTCTGTTTGTTTATGAACAGGTGCAAGGCCGTTGACCGTGTAGCCATATCAAGATGCTGTTGGTGTGATAAGGTACTTTACTTTTTGGTGTTGTGTATTGCTGGATCAGCTTGAGCCATATCTAATTTGAGGCTGTGGTTTATAATGTAGATACTACAGCGTAAGACGTCTTTGTATCATTGTTACGTGTGAGGATCCAGGTAAGTGGTCAAGAGTTAGTTTAGATTGTGGTGGGCATGCTGGTGGTGGATGGCTATGGTGGATGAGGATTCAGAGTGCCGGTCTTTCTTTGCTGAAGGCAACAGTGTTGGACTAGAAGGATGGAATTCTTAAATAAAGACTATCAATTTTAAAAAGAAAAAGCTACTGTCTGAGCGGGTTAGAAGATGTGCTGTGAACGGCAGTTCTTTTGTCGGATTGCTGATACGACGGATTGTGTGAGGGCACTAGTAAAAGAAATAAAAACAGAAGGATCTCTTTTTTATAACTTGGCTTGATTATCAGCGTATACATATGAATATGACGGTGAACCATGATCATGCTGTCTTTGAGTGACTGTGCTGCTGAAAAAGAACAGCACAGCTCTAAATAACCTCTTACCAAACAAAAATGAATATCACGAACGCTCCCAGCCATCGATCGTACAAGCACCTCTGACAACTCAGCATACCATTCTACTGATATCTCTGACACCGTGTGCTTCTCACGAATGTTTGCATACAACGATTTCTCTGGATGACACTGAGCAGATCAACACGCCTGTAATGATATAATATATACAGAGTGTCGGCCACGCGTTTTTATCATACCAATGTAACAAAACCAAGGCGGCAATCGTACCCACAGCACTCGAACACATATAAAAACTTTGACGAACGAACGACTATACAACGCAAGTTTTACACAATTCCTAGTAGTCATTCCAATCAGTGTCAAAACCGGCGTTTTCTGATATTAGCAACGCCATTGCACGTACAGAGGAACTCGTATGAATATATTGCATGCCAGTCGGTACTTTTTTTTTATCGTGGTAAAGAAAAGAAGAGATACACAGCACCATTAAACAAAGACGGTATCCAGCGCTAATTTTTTGATTATGACGTTGGTGCATCCGTATAAAGATGTATGTATCATCCCATTACACTGAACAGCCGCTTTGGAATCCATGTCTCACGACCAAAAAAACAGCAATCCATCATCCTGCTCATATCATCTTTGCACAGATTCAGGCTTAGATCCAGCAGACTATCTAAGCTTAGACAAAAATAATCGGTATTGACTTCATTTCTGCTGATGCTATAGTGATGTGTCTCGATACAAACATCCCATAAACAAATGCGCACGCATACATCACCAGCATCATCCTTTTCCGAGGAAACGCTATGGAATAAAAAGACCGGCCTGTGTATTTTCTGTGTAAGAGACGCTGGATTGCCCAGAGAATTAAACATGAAAACTGAAGAGAACATCAGCATCAATACGTCCTCGTTGAAGCTTGTAGTTGTGGAGTTGGATATTTGTGAAAAAAAGGAAACAGCAGCATTTTCGCTGTTATGCAGGCTTCTTGCTTATAAAGACACAGATGCAAATGCTGGTGTTCAAGCGATCCAACAGATCTTACTCCATTGTCATGATATTAAGCAGCTACGTTACTGATAAATATAGGACATCGTGTTGAATTAAGTCACCCAATAAGTTGAAAAGAAAAGCGAGTAGCTCGCAACGGGTTGTGGGGCGGGGCAGCGAACACCAGTGAGCGAGCAGGTTAGTCGAATGCGCAAGTACTGGTCCGGGTTTATTAAGGTTTCGGGTTTAGAGTTTCCAATTGATGAGCTTGGATGTATATGGGACTATCTTCTTCTTCTCCACCACCGCTTATTTTGAATTGTTTATTTGTTGGATGTTCTATACTTTTTGAGTGCTAATGTATCTGTACCTGAATTGAGAGATAACACTAAAGGTCATGATCCTGAGTGGACGTGATTGCCAATAATGGTACTTGCCGCTCTAGTTATCATTTGTTTTGCTGAGCTGTAATTCCAATCAAAAGCTTGAGACGCGACTCAAACTTTCTAAGCAGTGTCTTTTCCGCCTTTCCAAACGATTCGGTAAAGTCAATCACTCTATTGACATTGTCGCAAGAACAAATTTGCTTCGAAATCTCAGAAAACAATATCTTCACTAACAGATGTTGAGAAGTGATTTAATGCTGTTGAAATAAAGGTGACGACGACACTGCTATGCTAATACTGACTGTGATACAAGAGATACTTTTAATATCTGAGTAGGCAAAGGTACTTTTGTTACAGTGACCCATTAAAAAAGGTTTATTTTTTTGGCAAGTACTTTTTATATTGACCGACAAATGTCAAATAGACATCCGTTCAATTGTTCAGCAGCGTGAAGTTTTCCGCGCACTGGTTGGGGGCGCCTGCAGCCACTTTACGAAATGCATTTCGCCTTGAAACTGGATTCCGTACCCTGCCTGGAGATCCTTGCATCGGTACCTGTACATTGCCCAGCAGAATGGTTTTATCTGGTCCTTTGTGCCGTTGGGACATGCTCTAGTCGGGTGCAGAACGTTATCATACTAGGGTAGCCAGCAGAAATAACTTGCACCATTAGACAGGTTTCGCACGGCTTTGACAGGGCAGTCTGCTATACTGTGTTCTGTGCTGAGGCACGCGAGACAAAGAACCTGAGCAACATCTGTGGCCGTTTGATTTTTCCAGCGCCTGTTTAGCCAAAACCAAGTCATTCATGCAATATGTGCTAAAGATATTCAAAAGGTCCTTGAGATCCTCCTTGTCATTCGTGTATGCGCGTGCCTGGGTGGTTACTGACGGGAGGCTGTGTTGTCAAGGGAATGTGCGATTTCATGGCGCACAGATACAGCAGAGCTTGGGTTTGGTTGGGCAGAAGTAATCATGATGGGAACTTGGGAGAACTATATATACAAGGTTAACGATGTTATCTATTATATGCGACGGCCATGTCAACGGTCTAGCTTTATTCTTACCATTGGTCTTTTTCCGCCAAGGCTGTGGTTGGCGCTCATATGCAGCGATTGCGGTGCACCTCCCTGTGACATGATCTGGTCGAGATTTGGGATCAACGCCATGAATGCTGCTTGTACGCTATGCACACAACTTGCAGCGCTTGTGCCCACAGACATTATTGACGGACTTGTTGGCGCATGCGGTGTCTACGGATGTTTGAAACAGTTAATACATATGAAAGCGGAACAGTAACAATTGACAAAGATGTTTATACCTGCTGTATGGTGGATGGCGCCAGGTTCTGCAAATTGGTATGTTGTGTGCCTTGTACCATGCTATTGCTAGGAAGTTGCAGAGCTGACATATGCATTTTATGCTATGATCCGTACTTTGACGCTTTAACCGAAACCCTCAATCCTACAGACAACAACAAATGGATAGTACAATATGATAATGTCAAAATAAACATAAAGGATAATAAAACATACCTCCACCTGTGCTTGACAGTAGTAACAGAGCTGGACGTTGCTACCATATTCACTACAAGTTTTTGTTTCATTGTCGATCATGATATATATCTTTTGTCGTAAGCAGCCACGATGAGTGACAAGTTTGCAAAAAGATTTCCTTTTTTCGAGGTAATCTCGAATGCTTGGATTTTGCTCGGCTTGTATTGCCTTGTTCAGATTTGTGAAAAACTTTGCTGGATTGTACAGTGTACTGACGAGTAGACATTCTGCTGGCTTGCCATCCCTTGCAGCCCGTCCAGTTTCCTGTATGTAGTCGAGGTTGCTTCGAGAAAACTGTGCGTGGATAACCAGACGTACTTGACCATAATCAACGCCGAGGCCACAGGCACTAGTACCACAGAGAACGCGGCAAGCACCACTACGTCATTTTTCCAAGGACTCTTGCTTTAGTTCTCTAGTCATGGCACCAAAGAAAGGAGAACCAGATCCGGATTTGATGCCAGCCTTGCCTTCTTGTTTTGATATTTGGTAGTGGTATATGGAGTAATATGGGGTGCATGAGTAAAGGGTACATCCGGCTCAATGCCTCGGATAGTAGCTTATGTGAATTGCGTGACCCATATGATGACAACTTCTTCCTTAGCCTAGTCAATCCGTGAAACACCAAGATGAGTTGGCATACGTGAGACGTGGTATTGATCAATTACTTCTCAATCTCTTATCAAGTGAAGTAGTGGCTATTTTGTACCAAGTTACATATATATATATATATAATGTGCTGTATGATGTATAGTTTGCAGTGAGTTGTTGTTATTAATATTGTGTGCTTTGAATGTATTGCAGCGTATATGTTTGTGCGCTTGAGATACACATGGGATCACAAATTACTTACAGCTCTCGAGACAAGCACAGGTGTCGATGGCTACGTGGAGTGAAAAGCCATGGGAGTGTGTAGACGACCATTTAGCGAGACTGAGATATATAATTCGTTAAGACCGATGACAAGGCCGCGGTCTATAAGCTTGCTTTTTGGTTATAATCTGTATATAAATTTCCCTCTAAGAAACAGAACACGTTTACGACTCTTGCTAAATAGGCAGGCGATGGCTTACCCAAAATTGGATGATCCGCTCTTATCAATCTCACAGCGTTGGACTGAACTCTCGCGATATCGTCCCAATTGGCGTTTTCGCGACATTTTCAACGATATCACTGGTGCACGAGGACAAGATATGGCCATGTCCACTGAGGCTTGCCTGTCGGTAACGCTTCGTCATAATCATTATTCTGGTTGACGGAGATTCTGCCGACTATGGAAAGATTTGCATGATAGAGTGAAGCATCATTTCCATTGGAGCATCAATATAATATGAACCATTACTGCTGCAGCGAAGGTTGAGCAAACATCGTATTACTGAGACCGCAGAAGCGATCCATCGTCCATTTCTTCATCCGATGACAATGATAGCAAATCATCTGCTCGGTTTACTCTGCCGCTTTTGGTGTAAGATGGGACTTCGCTGCTGCCGGAGTCATCTTCTGAACTCTGTTATATTGTTGGTGGGCGCTAACGACTGTCAGGATTGTCTGGGCGTTGTTTCTGTCATTTCCACAGCAGCGCATAAATGTTTCACAATTACAGGGCAGCTCCGCTTATCATTATTATTACTTTGCAGAACGGTTTCCCTGAACTGACGCTGCAAAATTCAGCGATACATCCCAACTAGTAGGAAGAAGGGAATACTTTGACAGAATTGACGCCACGCTTAATAGGATTACACGAGGCATGGGCAAACTAAGAATGGCTCTAGAATAATCCTTCGCTAGTCATCTGTCAGCTTTTTGGACGCTTATGCACCGGACGGCGTAGTCATGTATCTCTCATTTATGTACAACTGTAACTGCTTAATAATTTGTACTCCTGAGTGATATGTATGCTTGTTTTGGTGATGCTTGATAAGCTATACCCATATCCTTAAAAGTAGACTCTCATAATTTAGCAAAATCATGGTATACTGTATTGATTGAGCTTTACCAGCTTTTGTACATTTTTTTTTACACAAAAGACGGTATTATATTGCACCTTTTTCCTGTTACGATACTCACATCTGTCGAACCAAAGCTTTGGGATACACTTTTGTCACAAAAGTGTATAGTTCACCGCAATCCGCGGCCTATAGCCACCATTGCTACAGCTAGCAATGCGGCAGGGTCTATTATTCCTTTTCCATCGGGACTGGTATGGCGGCCTATAATTTCCGGTGCTCACTTGCTATCATACTTGAGGACGACTTAGACGTAATAGAGGTCTGTTGTAAGACAGACACAGATGCAAAAATGAAAGTAATCAGCGGCAAAAACAGATATGTATCATAGTAGCGCTGTTCCATGATAATTAGTCTTACACAGAAAGGATATAAAAGAGTTTGATTTTTGCTACGTAGAGCCTCTCATTATTATGTAGCAGGTTTGAAATGTACTGTGTATAGTTAACAATATCAGTAGGCGATAGTTCGTTACTACCAAAAAGCGTGCTTAACGTGCTTTAGAGGGGGAAGAACAGCCTGAATCAAATAATGTTAGATATTTGGGATACTGCTGCGTAAGGTACGATACAGGCATTGATTGATAACGCTTCGTGTTCACGGTAGCGGCAGTCGTTTTGACATCCCTTTTATGAAGCATCGCATATCTGCTGTCATATCAATGTTTGCAATAATAATAGCATAAGCTCTATATCAAACACATTAAGTATCATTCTTGTCTTTGATGATCTAATCATTACAGTCAGTAATGGTAGCTAGAAGTACTACTGCATTAAATCTCTTTTAACTAACAAGTGCATCACGTTTACAACTTTTCAATAATTACAAATACTTGTTTTGATACATGACTTTTTCGTTAAAAGGTGACTAGTCGTTTAAAGGATAAAACAACCTAATATGTCAATAGGACAAAACTAGCTGTTGTTTCTGGAAACATAATTTTTGAGAAAACTTAGAAAATCCTGACATTCTCATAGAAAGCAATGATGATCTCTATTTTTCAAACTAAACCTGCTGTAACATGTATGCACCACATACACATGATTTGAGGTAGCAATAACAAGAATTGTACCGAAACAGTCCTTTTTTTTCTGTATTTGGAATTACTATTGTTCTGCAGGTCGTGTTGTTTCTTTTTGTATATAAGCGGGGTAAGCTCTAAGAAAAAGAATATCTTATTTATATTCATACATATATTACACAGAGAGGGGGGTTTTATACACTCTGAGATATAAAAAGGGAGGGTGAGGAACAAGTTACAAGAATGAAGAGAGGAGAAAAAGAAGATATAACAATAAGAAACAAGAGCAGTTCATCAAACTCGATCCTTGAAAGAGAAAAGAAGGGAAATCAACATAGATAAAACGTGTGTGTGTGCAATACAAAAGAGACAATGGTGAGAAAATCATGCAACAAGAGGACAAAAAAACGGAACCGTGGGTGAGGAAGGAAAAAGTAGAAAGATAGAGAGATGAATGCCATATACCGACGAAGAAGAGAGGATGGAAGGTGGTGATAATGGTGATACGTAACGCCCATCTATCAGTATTATGTATATGTATTTATAAGCCCTTCCAATTTTCTTTGTTTTGACTTGACATCCAGCAAGCAAAACAACCAAAAAAAAGAAAGAAAAACTTTGTGCGGTTTGCGGGAGAGGGAAAGGAGGACGATGCTTATATATGTGTACGATGTGCCGAAAAGAAGAATTGTTGTTTGGTTCGGCTCTTCATCAAGGAGAAAGTAATTACCGATGCGAAAGTGGATCGAGAGGATTTACGAATGCAAACGGTGCATTGGAATGTTCATGATTTGTTGGTTGTGGAGTTGGCGGGTCGAGTGCGTCGGAAAGCCGACTGGCATTATGTGTGTTGCTTGGAGCTGCTGTAGCAGTTGTTTGTTGTGCCTGGCTTGTATGTGGATGTTGCTGATGCTGTTGATGCTGATGCTGTTGCTGCTGCTGCTGCTGCTGATGATGATGATGATGATGGTGATGATGATGTGGAGTATGTGGTGAAGGTGAATACAGAGAATTAGACTCATCGTCGGATATCAGACTGCTTGGACTGGGACTTGGCGGTAAGTGGTTTCCGAACGGGCCCAGAGATGTCATGGGCGCCCGGCTGGTCGAAGGTGGTGGTGCCACGTCGGGTCTAGTATGCTGGTGATGCAAATTATGTGTTTGCACGCTTAATGGGCTACGTGAAGTACCAAATACGTCATGGAGCAAGTCGCTTCCACTGCCTGAATGGGGCGTGTTTGTCGAAGGATCAGGTGATGTGATAAAGATGGACGGTGGTCGTTCTTGCTTGGTTGTAGGCGTTGCTGCATTGGTAGTGGGTGTGCCGATGTCAAATTGATCTATGTTGAGTTCGGACGGTAATTGTCCTATAACAGATGATTTGCTTTATGAGTTTTATTCCACCCGACCTAAACAGTCTAGCTCACCACTGTGGACATGCTTTCGCTACCTTTCTTCTTTGTATCTGATCATATTTACCTCCATTATGCTGAGAAATGTAGTTTGCCATATTCTTCATCAACTGTTGCTGTGTTGCCTGTTTACGACGTGTCTCTGCCAATTCTTTGACAAGTTCGTTGAAATTATCGAACAAATGTCCAATTTGCTGCATCATGTCGCTCTGTGCGACTTGCATCATTGCCATATGCGCATGTAAATCGCCTGTCTCTCGTCGTGCAGTGTCTGAGCTCTCCATGGCTTTGCGTTTTATATCGTCAAGCATATCGGCTCTATTTCGAAGAAACTTTGGATGCGAGAACTCCCAAATTTGATTCTCTGCAAGTGTACGATGGCCGCGTGGTGATTTGTTGACTTTATGAAAACCATACCTATCGAGAATTAAGCTATTTGTACCAATAATGGCTCTCAATCAAGGACAATCTCCTCCCAAATAATAATGCAACTTACATATTGAGTTGTCGAACAAAACTCGAGAAATTGTTATGTTTAAAATGTTTCGGTAACACATCGCGAGAGAACTCCATGATATTACAAACAATGAACGACGAGCCTGTGTAGTTCCAAGCGATCAAATGCTGATATTGACTGTCAACCACCATGCTAACAAAGAATATTGGTTTTAATAATCAGCAACAAATTACGCGCCGCATTCTTCATTCCGTGGCATTGCTGATACATGAAGATTAAAGAGAGGCATATACTGTAAAGTAGGGATCGATTATTTACTTGTAGAGCTTATGAACGAAGGTATTCGCATGTGCTGGCTTTTGGGCTGTCGCAGGGGGTGGCGGTGGTGGCGGCTGTTGTACCGCCAGTTGATGTTGACCGAATGGTTGCATGGGTGGAGTCGATGCAGACGAGACGGACATGTTTGGAATTGAGGAGCGCACAGACACAGGAGGTGTTTCTAGTAGTGAGAAGGTCGATGCCGGATTCGAGGATGATCGTCGATGTAAGTGATCCATCCTCGTACAAGAGATTCAACAGTGGTGAAAGGGAAAGGCATCGATTAAACGGAGACAGATGCCCTTTTACCCTCTAGCAAATTGTGTCATTTTAAATTCAGTCACAATAGAATACCAAGAAACTGCTCCAAAAAAACCCACCATCCATACAGCAAGAAACCCTCTTCTTGGCCTACTCCGCAACGTCCTGTCTCAATAAGTGTAGTAATCAAATCACACAGACCCATTGTCGCATAAGTCTTCTTCTTGCGCGCGCTGACACTTTTGCGATCTCAAACAAATGATGTTTCGAACTTCCCGTGGGACCTGAATCCGGATGCCTAATAACAAGGGTACTGCCGCTGCCATGGTTCCAGAACCATGGGTTCCTTTTTTCATTGTTGTCACGGTAACGTAGATGCTTGTTCTCACCCCCCCCCCCAATGGTAGATTCTTTCTTACCAAGTTTAACCAAGTGCAGATATATCACGACATACGATCGGTTACACAACACCCTTTCCTTTTTCTACTGACCGTGGACATGCTGGAAGGTCTACGCTTATCTCAGCCAATCAACTAGACAACGTGCTCGTGCGCTAAATAATTTATTGGTCACAGCTTCTTTCGTGTTACCCGAAACCGCGAAATCGACCTCGAAGCACCAAACACCCCAAAATGGTGATAGGTGGGGGAGAGGGGGGAGGCTGAAACCAAGCGACAGGGCCATGTTGTTGTTGTTGTTTTGGGAGAACTCTAATCAGCCAAGAACAACAGAAAAACAAGTTGGCAATGCCATTATCCATCTAGAACACATTGCTTCATTACTCCGCGTACGCTTTTCTTGCGATGTGTCTGGCTTAGATCCATGCCGAATAATTCTTCTGATAACGGCCCAGATCAATTTGTTTCCGCGCAAATTATGGGATTTTTCTTTAAAGAAGCAAATGCATAATATTTCTCATATGCACACGACAGCGCAGCGTAAAACAACATCCAACGAGAGCAGCTAATAAACTCTAATTTGATGCCGTATAGCTTAACGGTATAACCAAGTTTAATTAAACAATACGGCAAGCTGTCTGTAATAGCCCAAAAAAGTGTAAATGACACGAGATCAGGCGTGCTGCACAGATCACTATAAATTACATGGAAAATTCTAAAGGAACACACACATTGTTGATGTCCATTGCGATACTACGGTGCTAATGCATTGCTTTAATTTTTTAATCTTCGTCGAAATTACACCCAAAGCTTAGCACGTCGAAGATATTGCCGCCTTTGGCCGGACTCGCCGACGGTGTTGTTGATGATGATGATGATGATGATTTGAATGATTTTTTACTGGTCTTTGTCCTGTTGCCACTGCTGCCTGCAGTCGCCAACCGTTTTGCATTCTTCCCCGAGGAAGCTTCGCTATTGTTCGATCGTTTCTTGATGTTGCGCGGTTTTAGCCAATCCGGTGAGCCGGCACCGTTGCTGGTTGGCTGCCGATGAAGTGAGGTAGGTATCCGATAATCATACACTTGCTCCACTTTATCGGCTAAACCCGTTGTCGTGGCACGATGTATTTTCCAAAATAGTCCACCGAGTTCGTGCGCACCAGAGGATCCCAGCAGGCTCCCCACGTTGGCTCCACGGCGTGCCAGCTGCAGGTACTGGTGCATGCTTAGACCGTCGTACATATGCTCCAGCGCTGCCTTGCTTTTCAAATGCTGCGGAGTACAGAGCACTTGGCTCAATAAATGCGAGCAAAAAACAACACTCTGATACTGTGCGGTGAGGTGTAACACCTGCTTTTTCAAGGCTGGCCTTGTGTTGCTGTGCTCGGGCCACTTGTCCGTGCATGCTAATGACGCCATCGCACCTACAATGAGGCCAACAACTTCGTGGTTCTTGAGAGGGGACCCTTGGTCTGCATTCTGGTTAATCAGGTACCGCAAGCAGAGAACAAAGGATCTGATGTTGTCATTGTCGAGCTCAGCAAGGAAAGGCTGCAGTTTCTCATCGTCTGAACAATGCATGCGATGGAGGAGGAGGGTCGATATACGTTTGTCGCGCAATATCCGTTGTAACGAATCCGTCGACGCTTGCTGTAGCACTTGATCCAATGGTAGACCTGGTACAACAATCTCCGCCATGTGGTGCTTTTCTCGAATGTACTCTTTAATTTCTAGCGCCTTTATGTCGCTGTCGTCATTGTCACCGCTAATACTGTCGCTTGTGTCGTCGCTGTATAGCAGCAGTGTATACAGGCATTGTCGTAAGGTCCTGCTGATAACCCAACTAGATTCTTTTTGGAAATCTTCAATAAATATGGTTGCCCAAAATGTCCGTGTAACCAGACAATCAACAATTGATCGGCTCAATTTTCCGGGCTCGGAAAAGATTTCCGACACTTGTCCTTGCTGCTGCAATGTGTCGTTGTAATCATCTTCTGAGCATGTATGTCCGTTTAACAGCGTGCTCTCCGGATCGTATCGATATACAGACGAAACCAGTGCCTCCTCTAATCCATCCACAGCTGCGGCAGTAGCTGCTGTATTATATTCTCGCGCCTTGCCAATAAGCGCTTTGAGATTGTCTGCAATGCCCACCAGATCCAAATCGCTTCCCATATCGCGCAAATATTCTGCAACGCACTTTGGCCAGTAGCTAATCTTGTTCTTGACAGGCATATTTCTAGAGGAGCACCATTCCATGATAGGGTATCGTACGAGTTGCGGATCGATATAATCGTTACCGAGAATAGCGCCAAACACAGGAAGTAAAGCGACACTGTTCAATTGCAGAAGAGATGCTAACCGTCGAGGATGATACACAGTCCCTTTTACTGTGCTGTTGCTGTGGCTGTGGCTGTTGTCGCTTACCTCACTGTAGATAGTGAGTGTGTTGAGAGGTATATAGCCTTTGCCAATATGGGGATATACGTGCATGTCAGAATCTTTGGATACAACGTAACCTTGACATTCGTCGGCAAGTCGCACCACGCGTCCATCCGCTTCTCCTTGGCATACTACAGGATCAAGACCCAGATCCCTGATCGTTTGGAGGCACACCTCCAGCATCAGCGGTGGTATCAAGTACATATCGGCGGCATGCTGGATTCCGGATTCTTGCGTTCGCAGGTTGTTGTTGATCTGATCCAGGTGTGCTAAAATGAGCTCCGCACGCTCAATGTAGGATCTGTAGCGTTTCATCCGTGTATACTCTTTATCATGCGGTAGTGCTCCGTCGAACAAAAACGTCAATCGAATTCCAGCTCGTTGCATCGCTGCGATATCCCGTCGGACTGTTTCTGCAAACATTTTGTACTGGCCTATCCACGTGTCGGTGGTTAGTTATCATTCAAATATTAATACGGTCTTCTTGTAAGGAAGCTTGCCTCCGTGAACCCAGTTAAAATTTGTTTTCATTGCATAATGGTAGGTGAAAGCGTTGCCATCGATAATGAAATGATCGTTCTCGTCTTGTTGTGAATCCGAAGACCAGGTACATTGTGTGCCTAATGTGCCATGTTCAAAAACGAATGCTGAGAGACCAAAGATCCCCATCAGCAGCAGAAAATGGCAGAAGAAGTGTTACGGAGAAGATTCTAAACAAGGCCGAGGAAAACAAAAATTAATTTCAGTTTAAGCACAGCCATGGTATTCTTCTGCGTTATGATGGAATCAGTCTTTGCCTTTCAGAGTGGTCGTAGCAACATTATTTTTATTTTTTGAAACGAGAGGTAGCAGGTAGTAAGCATACACAGGAGTGATATAGCAAATGTGCACAAAATTGTAGGTTCAGATAACCAGTTGATCAAAGTAGCTTCGTATGCAATTCAGCATTTAAGCTGTCTCTGTTTGGATGGCAGCGCGCCTCGTTGCATTGCATCGAACCACAGCGATAGCAGCTAGAAGTGATGTACGAGGATATAAAACGTGTCTCAAGTTATTTAAAAGAGCAATAATAGGAAATCATATGGCATGTAGGTGCACTTCTAATCATGATAACTTACAATCTGGAGCCGCATCGACAAACAATGTGATTACAGCCGCTCTATCATTGGAAAAAATCATTAATCATGTATACGAAACCGTCATTCATCATTCTACTGAATAACAGCAAAGTACATCGGACTAGCTTACACTACGTTCGATAAAGTATCTACAGTGCGGGCAACGAGTCCAGTTTTTCTCCAGAGCCAGTCTTAGAAGTTCTACCGAGGATTGTCTTTGCATCTCACGATGATGATCCTTCTGCTGGGTACCACTGTTGTCCTCCTTTTTGGTCTTATTCCATGTAAAGAAGCTTGATGATGACGATGCTGTCGTTTCTGTTGCTGTTGTTGACAATGATAGTGACGATGCAGCCGGTGATGATGAGAGCGAGGCCTGCCATGAAGGTGATATCTTCAATCCGGCTCCATTCTTTGCTGGTCTCATGGTCTGAGATGAGCTCTGCATTGCTTCGAGTGGAGGATTGAGCTTCTTTCGCTTCTTTGCAGGGATCATGGGATTATTTTTGATGATCATCTGGCGCCACCAAAATACCAGTCGATGTCTGAACGGCAGCACCTGAGTTATGATATCTTCCACCAAATATTCTGCGTCACACTCGGGAAACGGACACTCGATCATGGTCATGTTGTTGATGCCATTCGCGTTGCTTTGCTCCAAAGCAGATATTGTGTATTGCTCCAGACAAGGTTGGCAGACATGATGCGCACATCGGTCAGCTGTCAACAGAGCCGTGGGCTGTTGCTGAGGTTGTGTTTTTTGTGCTGCTGAAGTTGATGCTGTCGATGGACACTCGTCAACATAATCTTCCAAGCAGATGCAGCAGCGAATACTGCCTTTATACCCTCGGACAACTTTAACCATAGTACTTTTGGGTAAGAAATAAAGGGCAAAAAGAAAAGAAAGAAAGAATGTAGATACCGCTTTATAAAGAAAGAAAAAACGTAGACACGATTGTAAATAACAGCTACAGTAATAATCACTAAAACGTCATGCGATGTGAATGTATACAAGTTACAGATACGTCAATCAGTTGATGATGATGTCTCAGATATGTTGAGCTCTCGTGTAACACTGTGTTTCCTGATAGATTATGCGAGGAGGAAGTTTGGATAATACGCGGCAAAAACATTCCATATATTGCATGAGCAACCTACTATCGATCCAGCGTCATCACAAGAGTGACTCGTCTATGCGATGATTAGCAAGCGTGTATACTGCCCTTCCTGCCACCGACAGTAATATGAAATATCCGAATGGAAATATATGTAATATATGATTATGATGCTGTTTTAAGATTGCCTAGTAAAATTGGGAAAAACAGTATATGTTATATATAATCAACCATGTACTGTAATATGTAAGCATCATCTAGAATTCCAACGTATGACAATAAGCTTCTTCCTTCTTCTTTCCTCTCTGCTTAATCTACCTTTTCAGAATAAATAGCACTAACAATAATGCCATTCAAATTTCGAAGCAAATGGGCGGCTTCAATAGCGTGCTGCCAATTGAAATCGTCACCTCCATCTTTACTTTACTCCATCAATGCGATTGTGTAACCTATATGACGATCCGCAACGCTTGGTACAATGGAGTGCCTCAATTTGCAGAGCGCGCGTACAAAGCTATCACTGTCGAGGGAGGATTTGAAAACGACTAGCAAGTGTTGTGAGCTCTGTCTTAGTGAACATGCTAGAGACTGTGACATTGCGCGGGTCAGGATCTGGCGAGAAGCTGCTGACTACCATGCAAAAGCTTCTTGACTGGGCTGCAATCTTCGTATCAAATAGTTGAGAATCATGAGCTAACAGAAGCTATGCTGCTGGGCCATCAATTCGAGTACCCTTTTTTATACCAGCCTATGTTTTATATGGCTGTAGATACTATGTAGTCAAACTGTACAGCAGACGATCAGGATGCGATTTTAATACCACTACAGCAGTTTGTTCGACTCTGTTTAGCACATTTGATGCTGCGTGATTCCGTATCAATATCTCTCATTCGAACCGCGCAGGTGTGCTTGGACAGACTGCGTTATATATGGTCAGGAGTCACCTGTTGTAAGCCACTCATTGCTATAACCACCATTAAATGACCTGTTTGAAGACCACGTTTACTTGTGCTTTTGGATGCCCTATGGACGCGCTCCTGCGCTTGGAGCCACTTTTACGAAAACGCCCCAACCTCCGGTATCTTATCAGTGCCGACTTTCCTACCTTTTATTACTTCATGGACTATAACAAATATATGGCGCCGCAACCGCGCATCTTGATGACCTCCTCGCTTGATGTTTAGTGTATCTCAAAAACCAACAGTAGCTACCAAGTGGTTGATGCGCCTGATCTGTACGAACGCCAGTTTGAGCACACAACTATCGCGACAAGTAGCGACAAAAAGCGAAAATATTATGGTGGGTTCTGTCATCTTGCTGTTCGTCACGAACAAGGCTAGGATCAAATTGCCCAGTTTCTCAGCAGAAACCAGAGGACCATGAAGTTGCTACGCCTTTCACAGTCCAGTATTCTCGAGGATGCAGATGGTCCTGCTTGGTCGTCTTTTTTCTGAGCTTCACGACTTTCACATCTGCAGGCATTGATATGCGAAAATATCGATTGTAATGGGTCTTCTCTTGCTTCACTACTCGCTCACTGCCCGATTATTGAAGCGATTGAATTTATTATTGAGTAATTTTTCTCATTGCCAAGTATACTGATTTGTCATTAAATGGATCTGTTACCAATTGCAGCAACAACGTACCTTAAGACTTTGTTATAGAAGCCCTCACCAATTCTAGCTCACGTTTGAACTTCGGAAAACAGTCCGCAGTTGCTTAGCACTTACGCCGATGGAAATACTCTAAGTTCAATGACCTTCGTTCTGCCGATGCCAAGCCTGTATTAATTCTCGGATTTTTCGAGAACATGGCCTTATTTGAAGCACGACTAGAGACCCTACATTCATAGGATATGGTGGTAATCACACTTGAAACATTTGAAGTAATCGCCGGTATAACCACCCTAAAAGACCTGGAGTCGCGTTTGGAAGAAGTTGTAGATGTCGAAATCAAGAGCAGCCTCCCCGTTTTGCCAAGAAGCTACGTGAGACGTCTGTCGAAAAGCTAGCGCTTTACGGGAAGAATAGGCCACGTCTCCTACTCTGTATATGGCGTCCTGAGGGATCTGCCCCAGTTGAACAAAGCTGACATCGGCACTAGCGATAGGCTCAATCAAGAGGCAGGATTGGAGACACATTATGCGGGTTAGAGCTTTTACACAAGAACAAGGGCCTCAAAACAATGAATTCTCATGGAGCGTAACGATATCAACTCCGGGGTGCTCCAGAAACAAGCACTGTGATCAAATATTACTGGGTGAGCAAGGCCTGAAAACATGGAATGTCTTTATTATGTAAGAGAAACCTACTTGAAATCTTAAATACATAACGAGGAAAGTTTAAGCGTCACACATATAGCTAGATAACCATTATTTTCTCTTTTTGCGTGAAGAAAGAAAACTTCTGATGTTGGTTCACTAGCAGTAAATACACACCTCTTTCGTCCTCTGCTCATTACCACAGTACTAAACAAATTAGCAAATGTCGTAAAAAGTCAATTTTGTTTGGGAGCTGATAAATAATGGGAAAGCCTTGGTGCATACTTTTGTTGAAGAAATTTATATGGTGCTGTATGATATGACGGCGGCAGTCAGTCAGTATACGCTTTTTTGATCAAAAGTTTTTATTACGACCTGTTGTTGTCACTCAACCAAATGCAAGTGGACATTATTTCTGAGAGGAACGTATTATACCAATCCAGTAATATTAAAAGAATAACCAAAAGCTGTGCCATGGTACGCGAGTGCTGTAGCACTGATACTGCTGATGTATACAAATCAGCAGCAGCGGCAAACACTTGCTACTATACATTAGCACTGCCACTTATCTAACTCTTGGTTTTCTCCACCCTATTTCTGTGCGATATACGCTGTATTAGCGAGCTGATAAATAGCAATTGGTAGCACATACTATCGTTATACCGTGTATATCAGCTGGCAAACTCTGATTAATCCCGGTGTTAGCGCAGTACCAAGCTTCGTGGAAACAAAGAGAAATATTACCACGGTCATTCACACACTAAATATGAACGGATCCATTGCAGCTGTTACACAATCATGCAGCATCGACATGATAGGGACGGTCCTGAGGGTGGTGGGACGCACATAATTACGCCTCTCATAGGTCTTATTTTAGAAGTTTCTTTCAAACGTGGTCTGCCCCTGAGCATTGTACGCATAAATATCTCGGATACCGTCCGCGCGATTTTTTTTACTACTGTTCCTCTTCATCTGTTTCCCCTCGACAATGACCAATAGCCCATTACCACAGGACATTCAAGACAAACTTTTCAAAAGTGCAACTGCTGGTAAATATCTTGAAGATATTAAAAAGCACAGACAAGTAAACTCATAGTTGAAAAAAGCAAAAGATACGGCTTATGTACCTTACTCGAAATTCCGTGTGGGTGCTGCACTGCTGACTGAAGACGGAACCATCTTCAAAGGTATTGATTCACTTGAGAGATGGGCTTAGATGATTTGGTTCGAGATTTCTAGTGCTTTGGTATGCTGAGGTACTAAAAAATGGTTGTTTCTTTTCTGCCATTAGGCTGCAATGTCGAAAACGCTTCATATGGTACATAAGGTGTTTAGCGTATGTGACGGAGAAACGTTTTCCCTAAAACTAAAGCGATTTAATTCATAGGTGGCGCTATCTGTGCCGAAAGAACCGCATATGTTAAGGCTGTGGTATGTCAGAAATGAGGATGATGCTCTATGGCCATGGCCGAAAAGAGGAGAAAAGAGAAAATCGTTTAACTCGAGCTGCGAATGTCTAGAGTGAAGGACACACCAAGTTCAAGGGACTGACCGTAACAACGGATCAAGACGATCATGTTTCCCCTTGCGGTATCTGCAGGTAACTATGTATTCATGATGATAGTAACAAAAATATAGAGGAAGTGTGGACGGAAAGTGGAAGAAGGACGTGGATGAGGAGGGATAAGAAGCGTAAGAAGGGAATAGTAACATATAGGAAACATACAATAGACAGTTTATTTCAGAGTTTGGCCCAGCTTCATTGCCCGTCTACCTTGTTAACGCAAAGGGCGAAACGTTGGCATTGACGCTTGGAGACCTCTTGCCCTATTCGTTCGCCTTAGAACAGGGTCAGAAATATCTCATGTAAACTGGCCCTGTATCCACTACTTCATCATCCCAGCTGCACCTTGGGTCACAAATCGTGTCAGTAAGGCGGTCAGGATATCTCGTCGATCATTTGCACCTAATCGCTGGAACGCGGTATAAACGGACACGCCTGTGTATCACATACATGCTTAGTCAAACTGCAATGTCTACATATAATAAATCTGCACGCTTTGCTTGTCATTTACCTTTGTTATCTCTGATCTTTCCCAAGGTTCGGCCAGCGACAGCACCCTAGTTTTTTCTATTCGTTAGCTTTTCGTGTTTAAGAAATTCTTGGCACGCCTTCATGCTTCTATCCCAAGCACTCCACTGTAAAACTTACCACCGCAGCACCTCCCAAGTTTCCTACGATAAATCCGATAACTGCCCCAGCACCGGTACCGAGGATCTTCCACATGTGGCCTGGACGGTCCACTGTTTATACGCAGTGTTATGCGTTAACATCATTATAGCCGTCATCTACTGGTCACTTTATCACATCACCAAGACCCTGAAATGCATATTACCTTCAGGCTTGAGCAGCTCTGCAAATACATCACCAAATACACCATGTGCATCCGCGTGCATGTCTGACTCGTCCATGGGCGCGTGCCGCTTTCTTGATTGATCATATGTCTGCCGCCGCGACGGATCACCCAGTATGTAATACGCATCCGCTACCACTTGGAACTTTTTCGTTGCTTCTGCTCGTTCGTCTGAGCTTACACCATCACCAAGTCGATCTGGGTGGTGCAACAAAGCCTGCTTCTTGTACGCTGTTGTTGTATTGTTGGGAATGAGCTTTTGACTCTGAGATGAATGATCTTGAGTCCACCTCTTCCACTATTTTTACCTTCTCGAATCTGGCTTTGTGTAGCATTAAAGTCGACTTTAAGTACTTTGTAATAGTCAGGAAGGCTGCTCATTTTTTGATCTGTGTCAATTGTTGATTGTAAGAATTCGCAAAAGAAGAAGAGAAAAGAGGATATGTTTTAAGTCGCGTGCCTTGTCACTCTTAAATACTCATGCACGGTTAGTTGCGAGCCAACCAATTATGGCATTAACTATAGCAACCACTTGCCCCTTTCACAGCAGCTCGCATTTTCCCTACTCGAGGTTAGCTGATTCTAATACGCAGAGTTATATTTTATCCAACATCGACTTCTGCTTCGAATGATCTTTGGTGGCAAAAATCCAAAGTTACTATCACACGCGGCGATCTTGGTTAGTCTTTTACGTCGCACTCTCTCAGGTGGCTGTAAAGGATTGCAGTTTTAATAACAAAGCGCTGTCCTTTGTGAGAACTACTTTCCTTTTTAGCAACGGGGACCGGGCTCTCATAAACGTGATTGATGTTCCTCAGTCTCAAGTAAGAAGCCAGCCGTTTTACGCATTCAATGCAGGACAAAATAAACTCCATTTACGAATAACACATTGTGCAACTGCTTTAGTTTTAATATCATCGAAGGGCACTACCAGCTGTAGACGATCTATGCTTAAATCGACTGGCAACATTTCTTTCTCTCGCTGATCTAATGTTTTCATATCATGACCAAATGAGTTGATGGTACATTTAATCACAAATTTGCCAAGTTTAAATTGATGCATTTTAAGTCGCGTGAAAATAAAAAGCCTTTAAATTTCTCCATACCCACTCTCCACAATGTCAAGCGAGTCAGATCAATTACATTACTGGTTGGAGCAAGAACCCGTAAAGTGAGTAAAGCGGAAAGTTACATTTCAAAAGTTGGGTCTTACTCTCACTATAATTTTGTGCTTCTTTATGAACTAAAAGCTATTTTGTTCATTTTACCAAAAAGCACGGATACGTTTCTTCAACCAGACACGCCCACGACCTTAACACAACCTTTGATCAGATCGCGCCTCGACAATTTGCAAAAACGACATCTACGCATCACTGGGCAGCTGATCAGCCAACAAAAAACAAAATTGAGTGAATTTCAAGCAGCATTTGCAGAAAGAACCGATTCAAATTTATTTCCACCAGATAAACGGGGCGTGTTTGAGTTTATTAACGGTGAACAGTTTCTCGAAGAAAATCAGAACAACGTGTTTAAACTGTTGAGTGAACTGCAGGTCATTGCGCAACACACTGGAACATCACACGACAGTATACCCTTAGAGAAACGAGTGGCAGAAAATGTAGATGATACACCCAATCGTTTCGCGAATGATATGAAGGTAGCTTCTCTTTCTTGTGATAAGCATATGCAGTAAATTTCTACACAAGAAAAAATGTATGACAAGACAATATTTTCTATTTTGGAGGCCATCTATGAAAGTGAACTTGATGATCTTCGAGGTCGACAGAAGGATCTTTTTCGCGAATTTCTCAACGAATACGTCGAGCAAAAGGGAACCCTGCAACATGAACTGGCACGCATTGCAGCACCACTACCGTCACATCCGCCAACTGCACCAGCAGCAACACTGCCGGCACAAGCAGCAACCAAGGATCATACGGAAATGGAAGCGCCAAAATCAAAACGTCTACGTTTCACCACTCCACTAACACAACCGCGACATCACGTTGAGCCACCATCTCACCCTGTCAGCACTTCTCCTCCACGTAGAATGCCTGTACCGCCACAGCTTTCTAGAGATCCGCGCCTTCGAAACGATCTTCGTACTGCAGGTGGCGGTAGACCTCCTGAAGTATCAACTGCACCAAGAGCGAACCGACCGCCAGATGTAGCCACCGCGACAAGAGCTATTAGGCCCGCAAACTTGACCAGCGCTGTGCCACCCGTGGTCAAGTCATCTTCTGCGTCACCAAAACCCAAACTACAAAAGGCACCTCAATCGCTTTTGGATATTGGCACAATGGATATGGTCGGGGCAGATGTCTATTTGGTCGAACGCCAAAGCAAGATACGGATTCGGCTTGGTGTCGCTAAGGACTTTGACGATGCACTTCATGCTCCAAGCCCTGACTGTCCCCTTTATGTTCGGTATTCTAACGGTGAACAGTGGTTCCATCGAAAAAGAGACTCGGCGAAAATTGGTTCTGTAGCAAAGATCCAGCCAATGATTCATAAGTACCTCCTCCAAACTTAACTTTCTTACCATATCTTTGCGACACACAAATGCATCCACCCTCTCTCTCTCTCTCTGTGCCAACTCCATTCTACTATCATCATCATCTTCTTCTTCTTCTTCATCACCACATCCCACCCTACTTGTATAGCATGAAAAAGTCAAAATATACTGGTAAACTGGTTTAAAAGTCTTTTAATCGCGTTTTCAACTCTTTAACTAAATCAGCACGCTGTAACATAATACCACCACCTTGTGCCTTGTCTTTTATCCGCATATCCTTGAGTCGCACTTGCTTGGCATCCAGTTCATCTTGGCCAATAATGACTGCGAACGGAATCTGATCTTTTTCGCACATGGCCCATTGCTTTTCCAGCTTGGGTTTGTTCTTGAACATGAATGATGCCTTAATATTGTTGTCCCATAAGTCCTTGGCCAGTCTCATCTGTTCCTTGATCAGATCACGGCCAACAGCGATAATGAGCACCTCTGTTTCCTTGCTCTTGACTTGTTGGCCCTTTTGATGTGCTGCCAGGATGGAAAAGATCCGTTCCACGCCCAACGAGACCCCCACACATGGCACCTTCATGCTGGGTTGGCCCTTTTTGTTGCGTCCTGCAAACATGCCGACCAAATCATCGTAACGGCCGCCTGCTGCCACCGATCCAACACCCCCTTCGGTACTAGCAGGTGTAATGGCTTCATAAATGACGCCCGTATAATAATCCAATCCACGTGCCAGACTGAGGTCCAAGCGCAACTTGTCTTGTACATCCAAAACCTCCAAATAATCATACAGTAATCTCATATCCGCGAGACCTTGCATGGCGGTCTTGTTGTTTATAATCCCCTGGTCCTTGGACAGCAGGTCGAGCAATTCTTTGCCGCCTTGTAATTTAACATATTCGCCAATACTGTCGGCAACAGAGGTGGATAAACCTCGTTCTTCGACCATTTCACGCTTGACTTCGTCCCAGGGCAACTTGTCAAGTTTATCCACAGCTGACGAGATGGATCGGATGTCAGCTTGTGGGACCTCGCACACTTCAAAAATGCCATCAAGTATCTTCCGATGATTGATCTTGATCGTGTAGGGACCAATCTGTAATGCTGTCAATGCTTCGCACAATATGCGCAATACTTCTGCGTCTGGAATCATAGGATCGTAGGTACCAGCAATATCAAAATCGCATTGATAGAATTCGCGTAATCGGCCTTTAGTCATGGCAGGTTGGTCGCGTCGATACACTTTGCCAATATGATACCGCTTGATATTCTGATATTCCTTGCCGTTCATGGCAACAAAGCGAGCAAACGGAACAGTCAGATCGTATCGTAATGAGCATGACTCGCCGCCTTGGTCGGCTAGGTCGTAGATGAGTTTGCTGTCCTCGCCATATTTGCCCGCCAAAATTTCAGTGAGCTCAAATACAGGCGTGTCGATCGTCACTGCACCGTGTTTTTTGAAAATACGTGTGATGGTATCAAAAACCTTGGCTCGGATGGCCATTTCCCTGTCGCTATAGTCTTTGGTTCCCTTGGGCGTCTTCAATACTATCGATTTCGGTTGTTGATGCTCTTGGGAAGAGTAGTGGCGTCTATTTGTCTGAAATAACTTAAGTTAGGAAAGGGAAATAACATACAAAGTTTTGTATTATTTGAGATATACCTGTAGTGCGGGCAGCAGCCAGTTACTAGGTAGCCTTACTATCTGCCGATATCTGCTGTTAATTATCTAGTTCATCGAATCCAGTCAGTACCATTATACGTTGTAACTGTGGATTACGATTCACTAAAGCTTACTTGACATGAGCAAGAGTTGCCCATTCGTGGTCGACATACCGCTGGTGATAAATTCCTTGAGCGACAAGCAGCTATCCATATTTTCTAGCAAATGAGTGACACTGCCGAAGGATGACTTTGAGCACATTCATGCTTGACTTACCCAGGAACATTGCGCGTGTCATTTTTTGTAGGTTTTTTCTTTGAAACGACAACCCTGCATATTTTTTGATGGCCGCTGAGGTTGACAACTTTTGGACCTACCTTCTTCAAGATACATATACTCTCATACATCCACCGTAATACCGTCACCAATCCAAAACAAATTTCTTATCCAAAAAAGGTGGGCTAGCTATTGCTGTTGCCCTTTTTTTTTATTATTTCTACAGAGTTGTCCAAACGATGAACGAAAAGGGGGAAAACAAGATAATTCTATACAATTTTTACTTAGTTCTTGGGACCAATCATGTCCTCAGGGCGGACCCATTGCTTGAACTGCTCCTCAGTCAAGACGCCGAGGGAGATGGCAGCCTCCTTCAAGGTGGTGCCTTCCTTGTGGGCCTTCTTAGCGCAAGCGGCAGCGTTATCGTAACCGATGTGGGGGTTAAGAGCTTCAAGAAATACGGTGTTTAGATTTAGGTTTGATTTACATGACGTTCCAATTATTTGTTTCTGTTGTGCTTGATACTTACCAGTGACCAACATAAGGGATTCGTTCATGATGTCGTTGATCTTCTTCTCGTTGGCCTTGATGCCAACAACGCAGTTCTTGCGGAACGAGTTGGAAGCGTCAGCCAAAAGGCGGACGGACTGCAAGACGTTCTTGATCATAACGGGCTTGAAGACGTTCAATTCAAAGTGACCATTGCTACCACCGACAGAAACGGCAACGTTGTTCTAAAATAATCCCGTTGCATGTCACTAAATCTCACTTTTTCTTGATGTGCTCCCCTAAACCGTCTTGGAATATAACACTTACACCCATGACCTGAGCGCAGACCATGGTCATAGCCTCACACTGAGTGGGGTTGACCTTGCCGGGCATGATGGAGGATCCAGGCTCGTTCTCGGGCAAGGAGAGTTCACCAAGACCGCAACGGGGGCCAGAGCCGAGGAAGCGGATATCGTTAGCAATCTTCATCAAGCTAACAGCAACGGTGTTCAAAGCACCGTGAGCCTCAACAACGGCATCGTGGGCAGCAAGGGCTTCGAACTATATTCACGGCCAGAGTATCGACATAATTAGCCACTTTTTATCAAGTATTTACATTATCACTAGGTTATCGTTTGAGATGATCTTTTTTATTACCTTGTTGGGAGCAGTCTTGAAAGGAAGCTGGGTGATTTGAGCGATGGCAGCAGCAACCTTCTCATCGAAACCAGCACGGGTGTTCAAACCAGTACCTACGCGAGTGAAAGGTATGAGACGGATAATGATACACAGCCAATTATATCATCAAGAAAAAAATGTAATAGCCTACCAACGGCGGTACCACCCTGGGCAAGGTTATACAAGTGAGGAAGGGTGCTCTCAACACGCTCGATGCCGTAGGTGAGCTGCTGGACGTAGCCAGAGAATTCCTGACCAAGGGTCAAGGGAGTAGCATCCTGCAAGTGAGTGCGGCCAATCTTGATGATGTGATTGAATTCGTCCTGCTTGGCTTTCAAGGCATCACGCAGCTCAGTCAAGGCAGGCAACAAACGGTGGGTGATTTCAACAACAGCAGAGACGTGCATAGCAGTGGGGAAGCTACATAGCCAATACTCTTTGTCAATTCGTTGCTCCCCTAATCAAGTGCTATGACCAGAAGACTTACGTATCATTGGACGACTGGCTCATGTTGACGTGGTCGTTGGGGTGAACGGGCGACTTGCTGCCAAGCTCACCACCGAGGATTTCGATGGCACGGTTCGAAATGACTTCGTTGACGTTCATGCTAAATTAACGACAGTCATCGTTTGATAAGTAAACGACTTTCTACCCTTCTATCTTTTAACACTCGAGAAAAATATACGTACTTGGACTGGGTGCCAGAACCAGTTTGCCAGACGACAAGAGGGAAGTGTTCCAAAAGGGTGCCATCGATAACCTATGCATTTGATCCAAGTACCTTGTTTAAGCACACAAAACTTTCCTCGGCTGTACCCGACCGGAAACCCCATGTTTCGTCTTTAATTACCTCATCGGCAGCTTGCTGAATGGCTTTGCCAACCTTAGGATCCAAACCATAGGTCATATTAACGGTGGCTGCAGCCTTCTTAAGAACACCGAAAGCCTGGATCAAGGGTTCGGGCATACGCTCACGGGGACCACCAATATCAAAATTCTGCAACGATCTATTGTTATATAAGTTTCCGTGAGTCAAAAACAAACGATCCAGCTAAACAAACAGTGCCCTTTCTCTCTTCCAACGTTCTCCCTCAACGTGTGAGCATAGCTCTCTTAATATCATTCATGGTACCTTTGGGTCTGGGCACCCCAGTAACGGTCAGCAGGAACCTGAAGGTCACCAAAGGTGTCGCGCTCAGAACGGAACTTTTGCTATATATAACCAAAGTTGAAAAGTGTCGCTCGTGTCAAAAAGGAATCCCCACACTTTTTCTTGAATGGACTAAATGAAACTTGGCAACAAAATGTCTAGTTGGAAACATACCAGAGCAGCGACAGTGGAGCTCAAAGAACGAACTTGGCGAGCAGAGATGTTTTTCAATTGGTGGGTGGCAGTGAGCGAGCGCAACATTGTTAAGGGAAGTTGTGTGGTGTCAAAAAAAAGAAGGTTTGGCGTCGGACGGAGTCTCTCTTTATAGCTTTTAGACCAGGGTGGCGAATCTTCGCAAGACAGCAAAGAGAGACGTGTTTCATCACCCGAAAGATTCCGATCGTGTGGGGCACTAAGCATCTGATTGCTGTGTGTATGATGTCCGTGCTTTGATCAAGTACGCGGATGGATACGAAGCTTAGTATGGAAGCTTTGACAACAAGCAGAGTTTTGCTTGTGTGTTTTTATACGCTGCTAAGTCAACCGTGGGTAATCGATTGCTACGTAAACCATTATCTGAACTTCGTATCACTTTCCCATGATCAGTTGGTGATGGCTGCTAGCTTAAGGTGCCTTTACACGATAGTGCCTATTTCACCAATTTTCAAGATAAGAAATTGAAACAGAATCTAAGCAAAGAATCCAAGTCGGACTTGGTTGGAAAAAACGGATATGATGGATTGTATTGTATGGAAAAAATTAAACGTCAATGACTCTGCTTAATTTCTGGACTCTATTCAGGAGCAAATCGCCCTGCTTAATGACAGTTTGGTACTGGGCGTTTTTGGCGTCTGGTCGATTCGTCTCAATCACACCATTTACCCGGTCGATAACACAGTTGAGACGTCCAGCAGCAATGAACTTGTACAGATCACTATATCCAGCAGAACACATTTAGCACACCTTGATCATGGATCTTGCTCAACTTCCCCAAACGCAAAAGCACAAAACTTACCGGTCAATGTAATCCTCGGTGACGCCAAATGCTTGTGCCATGCTAGCGATGGTCAAGGATCGATAACTTTCGAGTAATTGTGCGTATGCTACAATTCGCATTTCACGAACGTAGAAGCGCAAGTGTGGGTACAAAAATCGAGAAGTACGAAGATGGGTGCGCTCAATGTCGGCTAAACAATAGATAATCGCGACAAACAATAAGAAAGATTAGATTTTGCCATTGCTACCCCTTTCTAAATGACCATTACAGCAAAAACAAAAATGTTACCAAGTGCACGGAAGAATTGAGCATAATTGCAGTTGTACAAGCTTGTCATGTAGTCTTCGATATGTGGTATATCCGAGATGACTTCAAGAATTTCAGGGGCATCCAACACCTAAGTTTTGCGCTGTAAGTTTCTTTTCCTCCATCTCCCTAATGATGCGAAAATCCAGTATCTACTTTGAAATATATAATAGCAACAAACGAACCTTCTTCTTGATATCAACTCGCTGCATACTGATTAAGCTGGTCAAGACTGCGTATTTTACAAAGTCTTTGTAAGGCATCATTTCGGTGCTGGTGAATGTGCTTAATGTATCAATGAATTGAGATGCGGCGCCCTTGAAATCTCGGATTGACATCATATACACGCCCTCGTATGCCTTGAGGCGATTGCGACGATCCCAATCTCCACCCTGCTCGACAAGTTCCTTTAACTTTTCGATATTTGTTCGTACCATCGCATTATCGTCGTAGAAAAATCCGATGCGAACCAACGTGAAAACAATATCGATACGTGTGCCAGGTGTTATTGATTTTGACAGCAAGTCGTTGTATGCTGTTAAAGCTCGTTCCTAGTAATCATATAATGTATTGTTTGCATAATATTTTATGTTAATCAATATAAACTTGCATAAGTCCGTACTATCCCATCAATAAGTCGTCATATAATTCAAAGCTTCTTAATGGGGTATTACCTTATCACCGATTTGTGCATAATAATCAGCTTTACCAAGCAGTGCCTCGTTTACTTCAGTTTCACCCATATTTTGTTCAGCATCCTCGACCTTTTCATCAAACTTTGCGAGATCTTCTTTGTTGACAGAGTCCATTTTGGCAAATAAACTTTGGTCGAAGGGCAATTTTAAAAGCTCGGTCGCGTACTTGTAAAATGGGGTCATTTCTAGTTATGTCAACCGTCAGTTTGGATATATATATATATATGAAAGTTTCACAATCTATTGTAGACAGTCGCAGTTATTGGAAGCTTACTCTTTTCCTCAATAGCTACAAGTAACTGTTTCTTGGCTTCATCCTTCTGTTCTGCAGGACCATGCTGCAAAATAAAGCGATGGTGCTAAAAAGAACAATATTAAACGATTATCAATTTTGAGCTATTCTCAGGTAACTGCAATGCCAGCACTTTAGCGTCGCTACAATAGATGCTTTTCATACATACAGCTAAAAGGAGATCAGGGATTTGTGGGAGTTCGTTCTCGGAAGGTGCAACTGACATCGTTGATTGATTAGAACAATGGGTTTGCGTTCAGGAGAGTGAGTTACGCGTTCGTTGAATTTAGGACACGCAATCGCACTTGCGGACCGAGCTGGTGCAGCGTGACTTGTCCATCCAAAAAAGGAAACCCTTCCGTAAAATTGCATGATGAATATTTTGGCGTCTACGTTGTTCTTAGGATACCCAAACAATTTTATATAGCCGATAATGCATAATTATATATATCTTTAGATTAATACAGGCGTTTAAAGTTAAAGTATAAATCCTTGGGTGAAAGGATAATTAGACCGTTGGTAATCAACTTTTTCTTGTGAATAGAATCTTCAGGCAATGAAATTTCGTACTTTCGCACTAGTAATAGTTATATAGACAAGTCAGATAAATAAAAGACGAAAGCTCGTTGTTAGTATTGCACTTACGTAACATAGGAAGCAAAACACGCTGCTCAGCCATGCTAAAGTTCATGCCAATACATTGACGTGCGCCGTTGCTGAACGCTAACCACGGCATGCCCTGCTTCGAAAGTTTCTCAGCTTCACCACCGGGTGCGAAGCGCTCCGGGTCGAACGTCAAAGGAGAGTTCCATACGCGTGGATTACGGTGCGACTCAAAGATGTCGACACTAACGCGGGTACCCTTAGGAATGAAAACGCCCCCAAGTTCGGTATCTTCAGTTGCAGTACGAACAACCATACTTGCAGCTGGACCACAAATTCGAAGTGTCTATACATACAGAGCGATAAAGAGTTGCATAAACAGTTAGATCAATGCTTTTTGCATTTATCAGGCCTGTAGATGTATGAGACATCAATGTTGCTTACCTCTTTGATCACCATATCGAGGTAAGGAAGTTGGCGACTTTGTTCGATAGTAGGTACGGCGTCGACTGGTTGATCTCCTAAAACACGGGTGGCTTCCTCTCTCACTTTTTGTTGTATATCCTATATAATTGTAATGGTACTAACTATAAGTACTATTTCTTTTTGTTCAATTTGATTTGCCGCTAATTCTTTGTTGTATGTACCGGATGAATCGCAAGGTAGTAAGCAATGTAGGCAAGTGCGTTCGCTGTGGTGTCATGTCCTGCCAAAATAAATATACATAGATTACTCTGAACATACACCAAGCAATCATGAGCGAGCAGATTAGAGATTAATACATCACAAATCCACTCCCGCTGCAGAAATAGTACATACCCGCAACTCTTCGTCGGTCAATGTACCATTGCCCTCATTTTCAGCCTCAATCATCAGCGTCAGAAGGTCCTTCTCACGATCAATAATATTGGAGGCCTTTTTCTCCTTCAAGAGCTGCCGCTTATCAGATATCATTGTACGTATCATTTTCAAGAACTCGTCCAGCTCTTCATGGAGGCGACGGCGCTTCGGAAGCAAGAACAACAGCTTTCGATCAATCACAGGGAACACCAGGTATAATGGATTGATGCTGCCTGTCATAATAGCCTTGTATCGCTGCACCCAGACATTGTCATGGTCGCGAATGGCGTTGAAATCGAAATCTAAATGTTGTGCGACAAATAGGCATGAGCAATCATCAACAAAGCAAGAACGTGTTGCTTTTATATCTTCGTGTTACCAAAGCCAGCTAAGCCGATAGCATCAAGGGTCCAGCGTGTTGTCATATCGGGGAAATTGATTGGCTTATCAAGGGATTCATCCATGACATTAAATAGCTTCAGTGTAAGCTTGCCAAACAAATCAATTGGCATTTGTCTGTGAAACGCAGGATTCATCACCTAATTGTAAGCAGATGACAATTAGCAAAACAACACAACGCCGACGCTACCAGAAACCATTATATCCGCCCTTTTGGGACACACGATGTTACCATGCGTTGCGATTTCCAATGCTGGCCGTTAATGAATGCAACGTTTGGACCCACGGCAAATTTGCCGTATAACGTGCCTTCTCTATCCGCTGAAACGCTAGCTTTTGGGAAAATGTCTACCAGAGAGAACCGAGAAATGAGATTATTTTGAATTCCAGTTTAAACTTTGTATAACCATAGATTAATCACCCGCATGCTACTGTATGCGTGTGTTCCCATGTACCTGTCCCAAGAAGAAACTTTTTTGCAATGGCGGGGTTGTTTATGCGTACCGACCACCCATTATTATCGAAGCGCTATACACAGCAAAAAGAACCATATACCCAATTTCCCATGCTTTTTTAGTGTCCATATCATCAAATGTACTCTCGTTTGTACCAAGCGCTTTAATTGGAAAACGCCCACTTACAACGTACAGGCCATGCTCCGACTGCAGCGCAGCAGGCAATGTATACTTCTCGGCAACATCAGCTATGGGCACCTTTTTGATGAAGGCATTTAGATACCCGAAGAAGCTTGCTTGAGGTATGTGTCGCAGATTGCGAGGAGGTTTTGCGACTTTGTCATAAGCGAGGTACAGAACGAGTACCGCAACAGCAACCGATATCGATACTTTGTTTTTCTTTGAGCCTTTCGACAAAAGTGGGAGTACATGCGATTGATATACACTCAGTATATTCTCCATGTTGTTTTCTCGGCCGGGTGTATGATTCAGTGAGCGATGTAAGATAAGATTAGGAGAGAAAGAAAGGTATAAAAAAAACTGGGGAAGGATAGATTAAGCAAAAATATAAAGTGGCACCAAGGCAATCCAGGCTATGATTACACACGATCACGGAGTTCTAAGGGAAATCAAATTAGGACGTCTCGATTAGCCTTTCTTTGATAATGAGTTTACCAAAAACAAGCTGGCTAGTCTAACTTAAAGGAAGCATTTATTATCATTGTAAAGATGAGAATATGTTGTAATGTTTTTAAAGCTCGAGTCAATGGGCCATGAAAGGTTCAATGTTAGTTAGAGCGCCATAAATACCTTTGCCCATTGTTATCCCGCTGCAGTATATTCCTCGTGTTTTTCGGGCCATCAGCTCTTTGCTCATATCCCCGCGGAATTCTGAGGGGACCAGCTTTTTATACATTATCCATATCTAGTCCCTACTTCTTTATGGAAGACTTGGTGACCTTGCGTAATTGGTCGCTTCCAAGCGGTACGAGGGCTGGGGGAATATCTACAAAGGAGGGATACCACAACTGAAAGAACCCCGTATAATGAAGAAAAAGTTAGGTTTGAGAAGAAGCTGTTATTCACATCTACCTTTTACATGATGCGATAGAGATCTAAAAATGGAATTTGTATATATATTATTACTATATAGATATCATACAAGTGCATGTTACAGCGATTTGCAAGAAGCTACTAAAACTTCGAGATTGACGAGAGGTTGCTCTGGTGACTTTAAAGTGAAAGATTAGGCAGACTAATTAGCTGTACCAGTCTTCTTCCTGAATTGATTACTTGTAGAAGGAAAAACTAGTACCTCTCATGCTAAAATCTTAAATTCGGCGCAAAGTACCTGCTGTTGATGAGATTGAACGTGAGAAGATTGGTAGAAGGCTTGATACAATTGAACTGGCAGGGATATTGAACTGGGTGGATTAGAGGCAGGTCCTACGAAAGATAAAATACAAAAGTATTCGAAGATTCTATGTTGAAACTCCCATTCGTTTTTAAGGATATGTTGAGCGAAATTGTGTCCCGTCGTCCTTCACTCTTACATAAGGCTTATTTCCTAGTTACAACATAAATGGAATGTAAATGCAGAATAATAATGGCAATAATAGTACTAATAGTACAAGACTGATGAGAATATGTGCGCTAAAACAAATCAAATACAATAGGTGATGCTGTTGTTCGTTCAATAGATACAGATTTTCCTGGTGGTCATACTGTATTGTGAGTATTCCAAGAACAGATGAACTCGAGTACTCATCAGAGAATGGTGACTATGTTTTGAAGATGGTCTCATATTGATAGAACTAGTTTTGTACGGAAAAGCCATTATCGATGACACTTAGTCTTTGTGTTGTCGAATTGGAGTCCCGCCATCGGCAACTGGCAATCCAAGCCTACTTCCTTCATCATTTGCTCTCAATAATGATAACAAAGCTCAATCTTCGAATGCCTCTGATTCTGCTAAAAAAAAATAAAAATACAAATCAAACCCTTTCAGCATCCATTCCCTCCACCGCTGGTCTGCTTTAATTTCACACATCCTATACACCCCACTATTACTTAAAGTTCTGTGCATCATTTGCCACTATCATTCATTTTTTTCACCATTATTATATATGTTCTGTCATTTTTATTATTACTACCATTTCCTCATCGTCGCCATTTTATTACAGTATCATTTTTCATTCTCATCATTTGGCTCATTACATTCTCTAATTATTTCGCACATGAGTACATAAAGATATTAGCAAGAGCGATTGTTTGATATTATCACAAAGCACTGACACCTAATACACAAGATTATAAATTGCGTATCTCAATAAAAGGGGATGTCCTCCATTTTTTTTTGTTTAATTATCACTATTTTACTATATGTTGGTAGTCCATAATGGATGTGTGTAAGATTCATTGTAGCGTTTTTGTTATGGCTACGTTTAATTTTGCATGGCATGGCTTATTAACAGGCTTTAACTCTTTTTCTTCGTAACTTTACAATCAAAACTATACATGATTGTACATTTTTTTGAAGATGGACAGGGAATGCTGTTGTGAGAGCGGCAGGCCTGAGCCAATGGATTACCTTGTCGATCAAACCTTTATGCATAAAAATTGCTTACATCACACACCGAGTATTTGCAGATAGCAGATTCTATGTGTGTTGTACAAGTCACTGTAGAGCCTTTAAATTATTAAAGAGAGGAAAGAGATGGAGACTCGCATATGATAGAAATAGCTGAAAAACGTGCATATACTCGATACACCGATCAAGAAAAACCCTAATTTTTAAACTAAAGGTTGGTAATTCTTTGAGTGCTTTATCGACTCTGAAACATGTAGGTATACATGTTCGTGCTGCACAGAGATGGGTAAAGCAGTACCAAGAGGATCCGGATCCGTTTTTTGATAGTAAGAAACAAGGTCGTAAACGTATCCTTAATGAGGAGCACAAAATGATAGTCAACAAGTATGTTGATTCCACTCCCTTTACTGCAATTGTGGATATAACTGAATGGGCTTAGGCTTAGTGATTTAAAAGAGTCCATAGCACAGTGCATAAGCTTATGAGGACGGAATGCCCCTTATCTTGGAAAAAAAGAAAAGTTTCACTCTGCTGAAAGAAATAATCTAGATAAGATTAATGAACGTCATGATCGTGTTCGAGAATGGCATCTGTGTATTTCTTGATGAATTACCATTCTATATATATATATATGAAACATGCAAGAGCTTGGACAACAGTGGGTACCCTGCTGTTATAACTGTGCCGACTACAAGAGCAAAAGCTACCCGGGTTTGGGAGCTATCTCTGGCTCAGGACTAATCAAAGTTAGTGTGAGATTACTTAGTACTATATAGTAAGAAGAGAAAAACTGGTCAACATTTTGAAATTCTGAGAAGTGGAACTGTTACAGGTCACTTCATCAGCTTTTTAAAGGAAACAATAAGATATTGCAAGATATGTTGAGTATCGTGTATATCGATGTGCATATTTTCCTTCATATTCTCCACAGCTCAATCCAATAGAACAACTTTAATCTGTCGCAAAGAGAGCAAGATATAACACTTACAATTCTCACAGCAAGAGACCTTATCAACAAGGATCCGTGAAGCATGTAATGATGTAAAACCAACGGATTTTATGGGGTTCGTTTCTCATTCGCATATATGTTTGGATAAGTGTCGTAGAAAAGAGAGCGTATAAGCTCATAACCGCAACAGATCTCAATAATTACAGCAGGTAAGAAAATAACGTTAGTATAAAAGGTACGTATTTTTTTTTCTTTTCTTTATCTATTGGTAACTCATCAAAACTCCATAAAGATGTTCATAATCGTCTTCATTTGACGGCTTAATCAACATCCGCAAAGTTGCTTCTAAAAGCAGGCGACATCAATATCAGAAAATGCGACTTTAATTTTGAAACATGTGACATTGATTTTTATTGGCTTGCGACATTACTTTTTGGAAACCCTGTACAGCAAGCATTGGTTAAGTATGCGCAGCTGATGACGAGGGTGATCTACCCGCGATAACATGTGATTTGCCTTGCCTAAGTGCCGCAAGTTGCTGAAGTATCAAGCTTTTATCTTTGAAAGTAGAAAAGCTGCAAAACTCGAGGGTGCACAAATCGAAGGGCTTACTAATGATAAAGTTACAGCCCAGTAATCAAGAAGTTCTGTATGTAGCACACGAAAGATTTCCCCATGTGCCACCATGACTCTATATATGTGATTGAAACAAATCGTGTTCGGCTATTGATGTCGTCATTCAAGTGTCTAGTGATGTTTAGCATTACGAGTGTTCTCCATTCATGTAAGCGCTTGATTAATAATTACACGAGAATTGATGGTCCTGAGCTTTGATTAATAATTACACGAGGATTGATGGTCCTGAGCTTTACCAGTGCTGTCTCTTCACTTTATAATATAGCACAGAGCACCCTATATCATTGCCATTTACATAGAACAAAGTTCGAGTGCCAAGGATCTCTAGACAGATTGAGTAATACCAGGAAACGTTAGCTGACTGAAAAGACGCAAAGCAAACAAGCTTTTTTTTAAAAGTAACGATGGAATGTTCACGATAACTCGAGGAATCCTATATTAATCAGCAAAAGGAGGCCTGTCAAAACGAGGGGTTTGAGCAAAACTCCGTTTGAAAGGGACGAACTAAAATACAAGATTTTCCCTCCATGATCCGCAACACCGCCGGCCGATATACCGATTCAAAAGGCGACCTAGCAATGATGAAAATATATAAAAGCAGGATCGTCTCGTTTGTTGCACGTTTTACATATATTATCCATAAAAATGGCTTCCAACTCTGCTCTTTTCCAGCCCATGAAGGTTGGCAACGCCCAACTGGAACACCGTGTTGTCCTTGCTCCATTGACTCGTTTCCGAAGCGATGCCAACCACGTCCCTACTGCCCTGCAAGAAGAATACTACGCCCAGCGTGCAACCAAGGGGGGTCTCTTGATTTCCGAAGCAACCTTCATTTCGCCCACTGCTGGTGCTTATCCTGGTGCTCCCGGCATCTACACTGAGGAACAGATCGTCGCATGGAAGCGTGTCACCGATGCCGTCCACGCCAAGGGTGGTATCATTTACGTGCAATTGTGGCACGTCGGCCGCGCAACCAGCTCTGTCTTGTTGCCCAACAACGCGCAACCCGTGTCTGCATCCGAAGTCGCAATCCAAGGCCCTTGCTTGTTTACGCCTGGTAAAGATTTCGAGGTCCCTCACGCGCTTACTGTTGAAGAGATTGCCGGTATTACTCAAGACTATGCTCAAGCTGCGAAGAATGCTGTTGCTGCTGGTTTTGATGGTGTCGAGATTCACGGTGCCAACGGTTACTTGCTCGATCAGTTCACTAACACTTCCAGCAACAAGCGAACTGATCAATATGGTGGCTCTATCGAGAACCGCACACGTTTCACCCTCGAGGTTGTCAAGACCATCTCGGATGCCATTGGTGCTGAGCGCGTTGGCATTCGTTTGTCGCCATGGAGCGAATTCCAAGGTAAGTAAGAGAAACATCTAAGCGAAGGAAAAGAGGCAAATGAGAAGCTCTTGTTGTATTTAAAGGAACGTTGACATGGCCAATCTTTCTTCTTTGCAGATATGGCCGATGAAACCCCATATGACACTTGGTCCCACATTGTCCGCGAGCTCAAGGCCCATCATGCCAACATGGCTTACTTGCACATGATTGAGCCACGCGATGACTTTTCTCGCAAAACCGAAAACGATACTGTCAACACTTTGGATCCTTTCCGCGAGTTGTGGAAGGATGGCGTTTTCATGTCCGCTGGCGGTTACACAACGAAGCCTGAGCTTGCCACTGAGGTTGCCGATAAGACTGGCAACTTGATTGCCATTGGCAGAGCCTTCATTGCCAACCCTGATATCGTCTACCGTCTCAAGAATGGTGTGCCTTTGACTAGATACAACCGCGACACTTTCTACACCCAAGGTGCTGTTGGTTACACCGACTATCCCTTTGCTGAGTAAAGGCTTAAATGAAAAAGGAACAAGCTCTTTAATTTTTATATACCAAAAAAAGTTACTTTATTTATCATGATATGTTCTTTCATTTCATTTTGTTTCAATTATAATAAATAATTACCTTATTTTACACAATTATATAATGCGCGAATTTTTGTTGCTTTAGGTTTAAATATTGGTGTTGACTTTTAACAAAAGCAGTATCAACTTTGGCAGCAGCATCCTCGTTTTCACAGGCGTCATTGGTCTTAAACAGCACCTTTTGATTAGAGAATTCGGATGTTTTGCACTGCTCGTAATTATAGGGAGTAAATGCTGATCCACTACGCATCATGATATAACGGCTGTTGTATGCTGTTTCCTAAATACATATCATAACGCAATACCGACGTGCACATAATCGAAGCTTAATTATAGGGGTCGCAGGGTCCTCAATTTGAATTTTATCACCAGGCAAAGTTAGCAATGTTTGCACGTAGAGCGAAGGGCTACTTTTGACTTTTCCTTTCTCTTTCACCTGCCATCATATGGCTCATCCTTAACAAATGTAAGATTAATGCTGATGACAGCTTGGAGCTTTACTTTTGGAATTTTTAAAATCAAAGTAATTGTTCATTAATCAAGTATATAATAATGCTTAGTATCCCTTATATCGTTATTGTTTTGCATACAAGCAGTAGTTGTTACGGGTGCTGACCGCATGTACCTAGTAACACCTGTGGGTAGACATCAAGTTTTGATAAAATAGCATCTTCAGGTCTTATGCGCACCGTGGACTAATCTTCTCGTCTTCCTGTTGCATAACTAAGTGATTACTTTGACCGCTCCATTTGACTTGCTCTCACAATATGGATAAGTTAATATCCTTAGCCTAGTGGTATCCAAACCATGTACGTTGTTTTAGCGCGACCTATTACTGACGCAGACCGCCGGTTTTCCCGAGCACGGGATTAAACGGAGAATTGGTTTTGCCATCAATCATGTACATCATCAACGCTATTTTAGTTTTAACGAGCGCAGGCTAAATGGGATCAGGAAAAGGTATTATTCTCTCCTTTTGTATATAGTTTCTTTTTTACGTCTCTTCTATTCAATTCACTTCCATTAAAAGAGTAAACTTTCATGAAACATTTCTCCAAATCGCTTCGGCCACCTCCATTTGAAAAATGGCGGAAACCTATCAAAGCGTCCATAGCGCTTCTCGTAGCTCTAGTTATGACATTTAGCAATCAGACCCGAGAGGTGATAGGTCAAGCTTCGCTCTTAGTGAGCATTTCCGTGGTCCTGTACTTCCCATCAAGAACGGTTGGCGTCGTACTTGAGGTACATACAGCTTAAAGTCATGTCTTAAGAGGTTTACGCATGTAGTATTATTTTGCTCAACAAGCCAACGATTAAAAATGATTTTTAGGATGTCGTTTTGGGTACGTTGGGTGCTTTAATTGGTGTTGGCTACAGTTGCTTAGGTACGAATGTAAAATGCTGGAAAGCTGCATGTGCTCTCTCGTTTTATTTGTTTCTCTGCATTTATCTTCCCGCGAGCAAAATACTGATAGATTCTCTCACGATGGTGCAGGAATGTTTCTTGCGAACCTGGCGCGAAGTTCGACAAACCCATCGCCTGTTCAACCAGGATCTAGCGGCGTACTTGCAGCTTTTCTGATTATAGCGACGTTTATTTCAAATTATGTGCGCCTAAAGGTTCCAAGAGGTATTTTATTCGTTCATATGTCATTCCATACCGTTTTTTGTTCTGCATGCGGAGTATCGGATGCTAATAATGCACAATAGCGAACTTTGCCTGCATCACCGCAACCATTTTGATATCTGTAAGGAGAAACACATTTATTGAAGGCCCGATATTTTTGCAGCAGCTAACAGTGTGTTATGTTCTCTATCCGTAATATAGTTTAGTCTGACACAAGCCTCAGTGGTGCCAATATTTTACCCACAGTTACTGGTGAGAAGATGAGAAGCTGATATACTGGGTAGATATCGATGTATGTTTCTAATTATCATATGAATTTCGATCTTAAAATAGTGGATTTTCATGAAACCGCTAGCCCTTGGTGGTGCCATTGTTCTTGCCGTGTCAGCATTAATTTGGCCGGATGATAGTATGAGCAACTACCTCTCTGTGTTACTCAGATGCTTGGAGGGCCACAGCACGTTTTTCAAGGAGCATTCCGACTCGTTTTTGTCATTGTCAACTAGCTCGCTCAATACCACACTTCCGTCACTCCATGACCGTCTCCAAGGCAGCACATTACTTCTGATCGATTGTAAACGAGCCGTACACCGTGATATTCTATTTAGTCGATTATCTGGCAAAGATGTCAGCAAGCTGACGCAAATGGTTAAAGACATGCGCAACCCCTTGCACGGTATCGGACTCAGCCAAATTTTAAAAGGAGATTTCAAGAATAAGTTACAAAAAGATGAATCTGAACAGGAAATCCAGACCGAAAAGGAGGCACTTTTCGAAGCTATTCGCGAACTACATTCGATCCTCGAGCAATTATCCGACGCATGCCACGATACATTGAACGACTGCGTCTCCCGTATTAAAGCGTTTGACAGTGCTACCGGGCGAACGACATTGAATAGCTTACTTTGGCCGTTCCCCCGACTATTCTCCAGCATTGATTTCAGAAACAAGCGAAAGCCTGATAAAGAATATAAGGATATCCCGCACGCCGATTCTCAGCAACTAAACTCGCTTATCCAGGCGGTCAACGAACAAGCCAGCCAAAATGTTCGCAAGCTTTGGGCTTTACATCCGGATAAGCCTCTCAAGCGACATATTGGGGCGCTCAATTTGTTTTCCACGTATCGTTACCATCTTACGGGCTACGCCAAAACAGTTGCAGCGTTTACTGAATACATTGAGGAGCTCGAACGTACACGGACCCGTAGACGATTTTGGATGCCTGCTGTCAAGTCCATCAAAAAGTATTTCAGGGCAAGTGGAATCGATCCGCACATGGCTAGTGGTGAAGTCATTGATGGCGAGCGAGATAACGCTATGGACCTTGTACGCACGCAAACACGGCAAAACAGCCTCATCGAAGCAGACGATATCTCGGCATTTGTCCTTAGAAGGGAATCAGGAAAACTCTATTACCGTGACCCCGATGTCGATCCGCCAGCTACTGGCTTTCAGCGCTTTTTCCATAGATTACATCAAATCCGCAATTGGTTCTTAGAGCCAGATACGTTTCTTTCATTCAAAACGGTGGTTGGTACTACCTTGTTGGCTTTACCTGTCTTCCTTCCGCAAAGTGCCAGCTGGTACATGGATCAGCATGGTCAGTGGGCGATGATTATTATGATGATGTGGATGTTTCCGATGTCTGGAATGTTTCTCTACACGTAAGTAATAATGGTAAAACGTTGAACGTAAACTGTGTTGCGATTGACTATTTGTCTCATGCGTTTCCGTAGTGTGATAATGCGAGTACTTGGAACTGCTTGCGGAGGCGTATTAGCAATTGTCGTCTGGGAGATAGCCCAAGGAAACCCATATGGTTTAGCTGTCGTAACATTTGTCGTTGCTATTCTTTTCTATTACTGTCTTCTGTATGTGGCTCCTTTACGTATGCTGGCAATCATGTCGCTGATCACAATGGTTATGGTATGTGTAGTTTTATATGTATGTTACATAAGAACTATCGTCTAATTTGCATGATGTTGATCCGCTGCACCTACTATAAAGATCATTTGTTACGAGTACCAGTTTGTTCATGACGGAACTGGTAGTGATCCTGTATGGACTTTGGCAGGAAAGGTACAAATCAACTCTCCTCTCTCTCTTTCCTTCCATATATACATATACTCTTTGCATATTATATTTTCACTTGCTAAACCTTCTAAATTATCAGCGTATCCTTCTCGTTGTCATCGGTGTTACGGCTGCAGCAATCTTGTCAATGATACCAGTACCTGTGAATGGCCGTGTGGAACTGCGTAAACGATTGGCACAAACGCTCCGTGATATTGGTAGAATGTATAGCCTTTTAACTTCACAATTTCTCGTTCCAAGAATGCCAAACGATAAACCCTCGGATTCTCAAGTCAAAGCTGTTCGGCATCTCGCTCTTGATCTTCAGCGTCAAATTGCAGACGAACGTACATTTCTAAAGTTGGCTGTTTTTGAGCCTCCACTGCGAGGCACCTTTCCCTCAAAGACTTATGGTAAAATCGTCGACCATGTCAATAATATGGTTGACTTGGTATATGATATGGTAAGAAAGGACTAATTGAGAGTAGACAATCGCTGTTGATATATTAATTTGCTAACGTTTTTTTCCTTCGCAAATATATCACCAGTCATACGCCGTAAGGGATTTGGACCCTGCCTTAAAACAGCAAGTTGCTTTATCAGGAGCCAAGGAAAGAAAGGATTATGTAAGTTTCTCATCTAGTATAGAAGTGGCCGGTGCTGGATGATTAGTGTTGACTGTAGTTTTTTTTCTGTTCTTCTTAGTACGCTTCAATTATGACAACCATGAAACTACTCTCGTCCACATTGGCGGCCAAGATGGCGCTTCCACCCTACATGCTATCTCCAGAGGAAGCACTCGAACGCTATACACAAAAACTATACGAAAATTTTCACATAACAGACGCCCATGTCGGTAATCCAGCATATCTTAGCTATAGCGCCTATCTAGTTTCTAGCGTTGCATTTGTTGATGAGCTACAAGAAGTGCTCAGAGCAGTCGAAGATCTTGTCGGCATTGAAGATCCTGTTGAATGGCTTAAAATTCATATGTAGCCACACAGTACTTCAATTGACCATGTATTTGTATATCCCCATATTACATAATAAGTTGTTTATTAACTAATTCGGTTTGAAAGATAATGATTAGACCCAAAAACACTTGCTTAGTAATAATTTCGTCACACATGGAAATGCATACATAACCCGACAAAAAAACCTTTTGTTCTTTATCCCGTTAACACACAAACTTCTTCTATACAATGTCGTTAACAGAATCACCACAATCTACTTCTGACCGGTCAAAGACGCTTTTTACCTGCCTTGCCTGTCATGTCGCTTTTCCAACTTCGGAGGGTCAACGAAACCATTACCGTACAGAGTAAGATCAGAAACGTTTATGCAGGATCTGCCCCGAAATCTCTCATTGTCTTCGCTGACATGAATCGCCTAAATTATCGTGTAGCTGGCACAAGTATAACTTGAAACGCAAAATTGCAGAGCTTGCACCCATCAGTGCTGAGCAATTTGCAGAAAAGATCAATGGTAAGTTTGCCGATATATCTTCAGAGCGCGCCCAACCGCACGGTGACCTGACAGTCTACTTATCCGAAACCTAGCAACACAAGCGAAAGGCCGAGAAGAACAAGAACGTATGGGATTAATATATGAGTGCTCTGTGTGCAGGTATGAGAACTTTCTCTCGGAGCTGCATATTCCATAAAGTCAGCGAAAAAGTACTCATATCGATTGACATTATGATATGTAGGAAATCGTACTTTTCAGAGAATGCCTTCAACAACCATATTCAATCCAAGAAACATCGAGAACTGGAAGAGCAGGCAGAGCTGATTGATGAGGATAACGAGGAGGAAGAGGAACATGGTCACAGCGACGAGAAAAGGGAAACCCATAACAAAACAGCAATTGAAAATTCAGAGCATGAGTGTCTGTTTTGCCCAAACATCAGCAACGATTTTGACGGCAATATGGATCACATGAAAAAAGCACACGGGTTCTTTTTACCTGATGCAGAATACCTCCAAAATACCAAGGGATTGATCGGCTATCTCGCCAACAAAGTCAATGGTGCTATTTGCTTATATTGCAATGGACGTGGGAAAGAATGGAAGAGTCTGGATGCCGTGCGTGCACATATGGTATGTTGTCTTTATTCGTCTGCTGGTAATACTTGTATCTTTGAAAATCATGCACAATGCTGATTTGCTGCTATGTATGTTGCCCAGGTTGATGTTGGTCACTGTAAAATGGCCTATGATGAGTCAGAAGCTCCTGAAGAGCTACTAAAATATTATGATTTTGGTGATCTGGACCAGGATGGCACCTCACCATCTTCTGCTACTGTCGCTGATAAATCCAGCGAGCTTGTCCTGAACAATGGATTACGAGTGACCCATCGGCGCTTTTTGAAGCCCCACAAGAACCATCGTAAAGAGGTTGAAGATGTAGCAGCAGCAGCAGCAGCAGTAAGCCATTGTTTTTCTCCAATTATCAACTGCTTTTTTGATTGAATCGAAGAAATTGCTAACAAGCGTCATATTTGAGGAAAAGAATGATGATGATGATGTTTCGGTAGCATCACTGCCACGAAGAGAACGGCGGCATCGACTCGCCATAACGGACGGGAAAGCAGCACAGCAGCAGCAGAGCACAGCTCAAGGCATTCGTGCAGTTTCAGCAAAGCAGCATTTCGAGCAACAAGTGTCTGTAAAGCATAACTTGAATGTAACACGTCGAGCTCGTGATCAAGTCCCCAAATAAAATATTTTTATTTGTCTATATGCGTCTTTTGAGCTTTGTTTATTATGTATGCCGCATATCAGTAAGGAGTTGTGGCAATTTTTTATTGCTACATGTCAAGTAAGTGACTCACCGAATATTTATGCAAGATACAATACACATATTTCAACGTAAGTTGAGAATGAGACGATAAAATATAACAGTGAAGCATCGGAGGATGGGGTGATTAAGCGATTGGCAAGGATTGAAGCACGGTGGCAATGGTAAGTTGTCGTTTTATGCAAACATTTTTCTGTACATGACTTTGGAGGACTGGTTGTAATCATTTTGTGTGCGCTTGATGGTGTTGAGCATACTTTTCAGGTTGGCATCGTCGGGTGAGCCCTAAGTATGCGTTTGTATAAAGCATCCGGTGAGCAAATTACTGTCCTGGATTCAATCAGTAGTAATCCTGTTTCAGTTAATTATTACCTGCAGGCCTAATTTTACATATTGTATGCCCTCTTCAAAGTCAAGCGTTTCAGTGGAAATTTGACCTATACGGTAACAAGCCTTGACATTACACGGATCACGGTCGAGAACCTGACATTTTCCATAATCGGATATTTAGCCTCTACTCTTCCGCTTTGTAATATGCAATTTGCCCAGAATAGGGGGTTTACCTTTTTACAAACTTCAAGAGCATTATCCCACTCGCGCAATTTGATGTAGCATATGGCAATATTGGATTGAATGGCGATGACCAGTTCACGACATTCAACCTGCTCCTCTGGTTCGCAATCCCACAAATCAATAATATAATCACGAGCCTAGAAAAATAAGAGTTAAGAGTATATTCTTTCGGATTCTTGCGTAGATCAAGAAGAAATAGGATGTTTTACCCGTCGATATGCGAAGAGTGCCTTATCAACAGCACCTTTCTTAAATAGTTCGTTGCCTTCTTCTTTCTTCGATGCTGCTGCTTCAAGTCGCTGTCGCGCAGATCCTGCGGGCTAAATGATTCGTTAGACGATTCCTTTTCTCAGTGCTTGATTCAGCTCATGCGCCAGATACTTTACCTCCCATGCGCCTAGCAACTCGACGACAAAACGTAGAGACGCTTTCTTCGGGACAATAGGAGCACGTCCCTTTTCACCATAACCTGATTGTGATTTCCACCGAGAAAATAGCCCAATCAATGAATTACCACGTCGTTTTCATATCACCCGCATGCAGTATAGGATGTCAGACTTACCATACTCATAAGAACAGGTGATCTCGGCGACTTCACCAACTTTCATAGTGGGTACCGCGATTTCCCATGCTTCAATCACTTGTCCTGCAAAAGGTGATACGCCAAGTTAATAGAACATCATATATGCAGCCAGAAAAAAAAGGAGTTGAAACAGGATAATCGCAATTACCACCATTTAATGTGAAGGCGAATGGCGCGTTGCGATCGCGCGAAGAGTCGAATTTTGAGTCTTGCTTTACAAGGAATGCCTCGTAGTGAACTATGCGAGATCACCGTGCGTGTACCGTTTGTCATTATTCTTTTTTGTTCCCAGGGACAACGTGTAGCTGTCAAGAATTGGAATGTATTTTGAAGCTTACCACTGACTTCGCTCTTCTTTTTCGGCTGGAGGCCCTCGCCTGCCTTAATGATGCGTTTAGTAACCTTGCCATCTTCTGTCAGGTTTTGTGCCATTCTTAGAAAGGTATGGAAGACGCGTAAAACAGAGAAAAAGGGCGACGAAATTCTTTTAAATTATGGCAGGTGAGGGGGAATATTTTATTGATTATTATTTCTGTTCTTTCCAAACAGATTTATGCTCCAACGATTGGATTTCTTTTGTTGTGGTTGTTGCTGCTGCTGCTGCTGCTGTTGTGTTGCTTGCTGCTGCTGCTGCTGCTGATACGAAGACTGGGATGATCGTTTCTTTTGTTCTGCAAACTCAAGTACTTGTACTTTTTGTCTTGAAGCTTCGTATCCCTGTGAAGCGGCGATCTGAAAGTACTCTTTGGCAACAGCAGTATCTTGGGGTATACCTTCGCCATTCAGAAACCTAAAACAAGCGATTTTTTAAACATACCGAGTCAGTTACTACAGAAAAAGCAGAACGGATATCTTCTTACAAAGATAGGCATAGTTCATCTTACATTTCACCGAGCATGTGTTGAGCATATAGATTCGGTGCTTCAGGCTGACTGGCTGCCGTCTGATAGTATTGGAACGCTCTCTGATAATCACGATCCACGCCCCAGCCGTTCCTGAACAGATCACCTAGTGCAGTCTGGCAATACGGGATATCTGAACCCTTTGTACACCAACGAAGCACTTCGTCGTAGTTCGTTTTGATCCCAGCTTGACCTTTAAAATAAGCAGCTGCCAATTCTTCAATAGCGAGGGCAAAGTCCTGCTGCGCCGACGCCGCGAGCCATTGAATTGCTTCGTTGCCTTGGTTTCTGCCGAGGTAAAGATGGCCGAGGATATACTGGCAATAGCGATCGTTTGTCAATTTGGCGCCTTCCGAGGCGTACTCGAATGCCTTCTCGAGATTGTTGCTGTCGACATAGTAGGCGTACGCTAAGTCGACATAGGCTCGATCATCGCCTAGCTGGACAGCTCGCTGGTAAAGCTCCATTGATTTGGCAGTGTCGTGAAGTGAGTAGCTGTATCGATCACCATAGACTCGACCGAGTTCGTAAGATGCTTCAGCGAGTCCTTGCTCGCTTGCATGCTGCAATAACGCTACACCTTGATTGAGATCGCGTTCGACGCCGATAGCCTTGGTCAACAAGAGGCCGGCAAGGTAGCTGACATGGCCACTGCTAAGTTGCTTAGCGCCTTCGAGGATAAGATCGATTGTCGACGTCGAGGTACGTGTCGTTTGATCTGTGAAATAGTTGGCGCATGAATACAGTGCGTCTGACAGTTGTTTGTCGAACACGCTGCGTGACCACATTTCGGCTTCTCGTTCATCAGCCTGTATGTGTCGATTCAAGCTGTCTTTGGCCGAGTAGATTGTGCAAAGTTTTGTTTTGGCTTCAATGTCGCGATGGGCGATGGCTTCGTACCGCAAGAAGTTTAGAGCTTTCAAAACGTCATCACGATCATTCTTGCCACTGGGAGACTGAATAAGTTCGGTTGCTGTTGTGAGATGCAGTTCTGGAGCACCATTAAACAAGGGTCGCGGCTGTTGCTCGACAACTGTCATTGAAAAGAGGCCAGTATTATTATTACCTGGTAAGGAAGAGTAATAGAAAGGAGTTTGGAAACTAAAATAAAATCAGGAACAACGACGAACGTCCAGATGCTTGGATTTAACCTTCTTTTTTACTTCTTTTATTTTCATTGCAACAAAATATGGAGGGGGATCCGCTAGCTAAGCAGAGAAGTAGAATTATGAAGTATCTGTTTTTTTGGTCCGATGAATTCGTGTATGCTATGTAGAATGTAAAATGTATATATTGCCGAAAGTTTGTAATCGCGCAAAAGCAACCTTACCCGTATAGATCTGCATGTCATTATATTTATATATAATGGCATACAGCCATTACTAGCAGCTGCATATCCCGCTTCATTTTCTCTTTGCTTCATCTTCGTCGCCGTATCATGCCTTGCTTTCATGCTGTTGCTGTCGACGGTGATCGTGTTCATAAAGTCGTAGAGCATTCTTCGACAAGTGTCATGTGTGGTGCATTGATGGCCGGTGAGGGTATATTGTCGGTCTCTGGAATCCCTTTAGTTCTTGCTCTCTTGATGGATGGCGACAGCTCTGCAGTCTATCAACATTACCAAGATACCAACGGTTAACCAAAATCTATCCCTCACGGAGTCACCCCTCCCCAACCGCTCCTCCCACCATCCCCCACTTCATTCCCAGCCCGAACTCATTTATCTCTTTGCGTTTCCGGAAAATAGGTGCTGACGAATGCGCATATAACCTCCACTGTTAAAAACAAACCTGGTTCGTTCGTTTGGTCACAGCAGTGCGTGTCACCTCGTCTGGAAGCATCGATCTACACACAGAGAAAACAAATAACAGAAAAAACAAAAAATTTACTTGAACATCACCCATGATCAACGAATTCTTTCTTTTTTCAATCTCTAAAAAGAGATAGACTGACCTTCGTAAATATCGTACGACTATTCCCATGTGCTGCTCATCATACTGTTCCCAATTCCGTACATATCGCTTGAACTCGTTGATCGGTCGGCTGATATCTATTTGACCTTGTTCTCGTACTACAATGCAAAAAAATAAATGTTTGTTTGTTTGTTTGTTCAATAGGCATAAATATGAAGGGGATGGGGGGCTTCACGTATCATTCCAAGACCCAGCTGATTGAGATAATTGGATCTGTGCATGTATGTGATATTTGAATACCTGGACCAAGTCTGAAATATAAGCCGATATAGAACGTCCGCGTATAAATTTTGACTCCATCAACATCATCTTGGTTCGAGATGTTTCCTACGCCGTTCACCGCGGCAGCAATCTGTTCCTGACTTGTGCAAGAATACACATTGTCAAACCCTTCGACAAAGGGATGTACAAGTGCAAGGCCATGGATCGCTTCAAGCTTGGTGGTCAACCTTCGTAATCGGGCTTCGACTAGTCCACTCCTACATTAAAAGTTTAAGAAAACATGCACACATGAATATCCCTCTAAGTCATTTGTTCTTACCACTGGAGCTGACGAAGAGAGTCATCGCTACTGACGACAATTTGCAGATAATGTCGATAGTTCTTAAAAAAAGCATGTCCTTCAAATAACGCATCCCAACGTAAGCTGCCAACCATAATCTTATCCATTATCTGTGCTGCGCGCTTGCATTCTCCGATAACAATTCGGAAGGTCGAGTTTGTCATATTGTGGGTTGCACACATTGTCGGATATGCAGGTGTAATGATGGGCATCTTGTGAGTTCTATCGATTAAATTTCGCTAATAGTGATAGTAAAATACGTACTTCTTGTTAGCAATACTCACTTGTTGCAACAATACAACCTAGACAGAAATACGTCAACTGCCAACTGACATCACACTTACTCTTGGATTCCATGATTGGATGTTTGGCAAAGGCGGACCCTCGGGAGAGTGTCGTAACACTACTGGTTGAGGCCAGTTCCAATTAACCATTATACCGAACACTTTGCTTGCTACAGTACTTGCGCACGCATTCGGATATAGTTGGCACACTCTTGCCACCATCAGTGCCCATGCTACGCCGCCCAAAAATCCTAATACGTTTGAATAAATTCCACGTCTTGTTGCCCACAGCTTGATGCATCGAACAGCCGTGCGAAACGTTGGTATATCGGGTACACTCTTTAATATTTCGTCCGCCACACGTGTGCCGTTAACGCTCCGTATACATCGTTCATCCAGAGTCACCAGCAGTGAAGTGTCATCAATATCAAGATTGTCAGGGATGGTCGATAGACTCAATCGTGCACAGAGCAGATCAACCTTGTTTAAATTCGTTAGAACTGTTATACAGGGGAATGGAGTTGTTATTATGTCGGCGCACAGATATATTTAACTTACCGGTATCCCAGAAAATTTGAGCTTAATGATGGGTACAAACGCATCTCGGATCGCCTAGATCAAAATCCATCAATGTATCAGCCTTGCACAGTTTTCCTTTGATTTCCGTGAACGTGTCCAAGATAAAGGAAAAGTAAAAACGTACCGTTAACTGTGTCACTTCAGGTCTTCGCGCCAGCATCTTGTATACCCCTTCAAAAAAATCGGATCGAGTGATATGTTGAGGGCAAACACATACTGCATCGATATCCGCATCTATAACAAGAGAAAAGCTGACGTAAAAAAACAACTTCTCGGGTATTCTGGTAGAAATGGTAAGCTTACTAGCTGCTTGAACGCCAAGACGACAGCTGCCAAACGTCAAGACCTTGCCTCCAGCTTTTTTTGCATCGTCTGGCGTGAGCCCTTTCCGAATGCTTGCTTCGTATATAAATCGTTTTGCAATCTCTTCAAGCTTATTCATTACCGATTGCCTACGTGGAGAAACAGAAAAAGTTCAATACTGTAATAGATTTGTGTACTGAGCCAAGTTATATAAAAGAGGGTCTTACCGTAACGAAGAAATGGCTTCAGATTCGTACATGTTATTTTTCTGAAGGGCAACTTCGAGGTCTTTTTGTAAATTTTCATCCCTTGGCGATGGACCGGCGAAGGACAAAGGCTCGCCGATACCGAGATACTCACTTTTCCCAACCATGACAATTTTTTCACTGGCTTTTTCTTTTAACAGTGGTAAGGAATAAAAAGGCATGTCGTGCTTTTCACTTCCCCCAAAAAATCTCATCCAGCCGCGGAGTTCGTACGTCGAAGGGGTGCTATTAATGTGATAAGGAGCGAACAGAGGAACTACAATGCCTTTGGTTACTAGAGTCAAATTTGTTAACATCATGAAGGCCACTTGAAAATTAAAATCATACACAGAATAGTCAACGCGTTAGTTGATGCGGTTGATAGCCTTCTATAAGAAGGATGATGAAGCCTGGTTATAGACAAACATATTATAGTGCAGTTAAGATCGCCAATTGATCTTATCCGACGCTACGTCAAATCGGCGCGTTACCTGCAACATAAAGTATACACAGCAACACGACGTGCAGTGTCCTCTTTTGTGTGACAGCAGAACAGCTGTCGGTTGCATATTAGAATAGATATGCACCCTTTACCATATGGCTATAAGCTAAAGAAGGGCTGTAGGATATTATCATCAGAGTGAGCGTAATGCGTTAATAAAACAAACGATAGTAGTGCTTTCATATAATTGCATATTTTGCTCATATAGATATATTCATGATGCATTCATACTCGGCCCGAGAATAGAATACCTGTATATGGTTCTATATTCTTATTTGATCAAATAGTCTCTCAGGATTTTATTTTAACTTGATGAGATAAATGTACTAGCATCCCTGTGTATTTATTAATCGCGAATAGTAACTAATCGCTATTGTGCGTGCAGTATGTAGCACTGTAGCGTTGAGAGTCTTAGAGCATCTTCATCCTTCTGGTGGTTCTAGGTACAGAAGAGTTAAAAGAGGATGGGATATAGATAGGCTAAGCGTTAACAAATCAATTGCGTATGGCTGACTTGGAAAATAACACACGCCTAAAAAGAAGCTTAATGCTTTCTGAGTAATTGAAACCCTCAGGTCTGACAAGGGCAAAATGACATTTAGTGCATTACGATCGTTACAACTCTCACGGCGATCGCTCTTTCTAAATTGTTCTCGCTCTCATTCAACCAATACCTTTCCACTCACCGTACGATCCTTACTAGATAACAATGTCGAAGCAGGAAGCGATGTAACCGTTAAAGGCTGGGTGCGATCTGTTCGTAAACAAAAGCAGATCTCGTTCGCCAACATTAATGACGGAACAAGTGTCAGGGGTCTGCAGGCGATCTTGAGCTCAGAACAAGCTGAAAGGTAATGGGTACGCTAAAGAAGAGTGAAGCTGTCATAAAGGTCTTTTTTATTGCACCGAAAACTGATATGGGGGTTGTCGAAATAGGTTGAGCACCGGATCTTGTGTGGAGTTACAAGGTACTTTGGTTAAAAGTCCCGGCAAGGAACAAGGCAAAGAACTGCAAGTCAGCAGTATGGATATACTCGGAGAGTGTGATAGTGTACGATCTAATATATAGAAGGATAAGTTGGTTCGTTGACTGACCAGAGATTACAACAATATATAGACGTTCCCAATGCAAAAGAAGAGACATACTTTCGAATATCTACGAACCATAAACCATCTGCGTGCTCGAGGCAACGCTGGCAGTGCATCATTACGGGTTCGCCATGCAGCACGACAAGGACTTCAGGACTATTTTGCGGTAAATCAATGCTACTGTTGTTTTTATCCTCGTGCTTCTCTTCTCGATCGCTAAATAGTTATTTGATGCCATGTTTTTTCTTTGATAGAAACATGAATTCACCCAAGTCGATACACCTATCCTGACATCACACGATTGCGAAGGGGGTGGCGAAGTGTTCAAAGTGACGCCCGGATCAGCAGCATCCGGTAACGCGGAATTCTTCAACAAGCCTGCGTTCCTGACTGTGTCCGGTCAGCTACACGCGGAGATGTTTGCTTCAGCATTATCCAGAGTATACACATTTGGCCCAGTGTTTCGTGCCGAGGAATCATTGACATCGCGTCACTTGGCCGAGTTTTGGATGTTAGAAGCCGAAGTAGCCTTCATCGATCTCGAACAACTGCTGGATATCACAGAAGGCAGCATCAAACACGCCACGCGCCATGTCCTCGACACCTGCCCCGAAGAGATGGAGTTCTTTGACAAATGGGTGGCTAAAAAGGATGTGAAAGGAAAACCCGCCCTGCTCAAGCGGCTTCGCAACAGTCTTGACAAACCTTTTGCAAGGATTGACTACAAAGAAGCCGTTCAACTCTTACAAGGAGCCAACAAGAAGTTTGAGTTTCCAACGACGTGGGGAAGCAGCTTGCAATCAGAACACGAACGTTATCTGGCATCTGAGGAGTGCAAAGACCGACCGGTGTTTGTAAAGAACTACCCAAGCGACCAAAAACCATTCTATATGCTCGAAAATGACGGAAAACAGAAGAATAACACTTATGTCGATGAGCACGGATCAACAGTCGCCTGCTTCGACTTGCTATTACCGGGTATTGGCGAGCTCGTGGGTGGATCCATGCGTGAAGATCGAGAAGATGTGCTGGAAAGCAAGATGAAAGCTGCTGGTATGGACACCGAGGAATACGGATGGTATCTGGAACTTCGTAAATACGGAAGTGCACCGCATGGAGGTTATGGAATCGGATTCGAACGATTTATGTTGTGGTTGACAGGATTTGAGAACGTTAGAGAGGTTGTACCTGTGCCTCGTTGGGTGGGCCACTGCAAATACTAGAAAAAAAAAGTTGATAGATTTATTGTAAAATGCCAATTTTAATACATTGAAGGATTATAGACCTTAAGCATAATACTTCATAGCTTGGCAATTGCAAGTAGACATGCAATTGAACACATAGCATGCATTTATGTTACAGCTTCTCTTTTGTCACATACAGCAAGCATTTCTTAATTTTCGATCCTCTTCATAAGACTTATTATTTCCGAACAATGTACGACTTATCATTGAGGTTAAAGATAATTTCAATGTGTTTGATCTGTGTGTGGTGTTTTATTGGTAGATGGTCAATCCTTTATTCTGTTGTATCCTTAGTTATCTGTGTCCATAGGAGCCACACCACCCTGATCCACTTGAGTGTTGCTATCCTCCCGAGAGCTCTCTGCTGCTATTGAATCTGCGGCTGATCGACCCTCGGCACCACGTCGAGTTCTGGACGTCTCATCGCCTAAAAGCTCCAAGTACTGTTGCAAAGCTTCACCTTCGATAATGTGGAAATCCTCGTTTCTGCCGACAATGCCGATTGAAGTGTTGTGAATATTGAGCTCCTTGTCTTGTTGCAATGTGTCTCGGAGAGCCAAAAGGCCGTGTCGAACAAGATCATCCAGCGAGGCTAGCAGAAAAACGAACGATTTAGCAAACATTTTACTAGTTGGTCCAGCTCCTTAACCCATCACTGCATAAACAAATACGAGTCATACCATTGGCAAATTGCTCATAGTTCTTTTCCAAGTAGGTCTTTGCGGATTGAGATCGCGCGCCAATGGACATGGCAAAGTATTCAAAGCAAGTACCGGAAGGAGAAGATTCATAGAGATGGGGGCCAGTTTCCTGCGAACAACACCATAGTGTGAATCACTATAAATTCCAACTGGTCCGGTATGAGCCAATGTGTACGGTCAAGACTTACATCGTATCCGACCACCAACAAGCCGACACCATAAGGTCGGCGACCGTATTGCTGTGTGTTGACCTGGGCCTCTAGAATTTATGAATAGTGTAAATACACTCATTACCCCTTCGAATAAGCAAGTTTATATGGACAACATACTGTCTGCAATTGTCGAGACGATTCTTTGAACGGGTATGGGTCGGTCGTACAGCATCTTGGATCGCATAGCTTCAGTTCGCATAAAGTTGCTACCATGTATTATATCAGTATGCATCACCACTAGTGGCTTCCCTTCACTTTCGTAGGGCGTTTTCTCCTTTACTATCGTTACCTAAGCACACGAGCGTCTGAGGTAAGACCAGCAATAGCAATGCCCATGTGCTCGTCAACCTTGATCAACTTTTTCTGGTATGATGCCAACTCGCCCGATGAACGCTACGATTTCGAGTCATTAAGTATATGTGAGCTTCTGTGTGCATGTGTGTCCTTGAGAAAAAAGAGGAAAAAAGGTTTGCTCGAATTCTTCGTTTACCTTGAGAGCGAGCAACACGGCGTATTCGTTACTTCTCAGACCGATCGCTGCCGAACCTTGCTTGACGGCTTCAACAGCGTATTCAACTTGATGGATGCGGCCTTGTGGGGACCACGTTGAAACATCGTTATCATATTGATTTCGGAACTAGCAGTACAGATTCAATAATTAGTATAGCTCGCATTTAATGCTCGCATTTACACATTGGTAGTTACCATGTCGCGTAATTCTCTGGCGAGTTTGAAGAAGCGCTTGAAAGAAAAGGTACAGCTTCTTCTCGGACGCGCGGCACACTATAGGTGACGTGCGCTTTCCCAATTTCCGCCGTACCCTACTCGGCGGGCATTGACCGAGTCGCTTCTTGATCCACTTGAGCCAGCAGATGGCTACAACTGTTGCCCTTCTTGAGCCTTTATTGTAATGGAAAGCAAGGCTATTTCTTTTTCTTTTGCTTAACATATGTTCTTGGATTACGACATCACTACCATAATAAATTACAACTCGAACTTTATTCTATGTATGGAAAATAAGTGAAGGATTACTTTTGCAGATTATATATGTACATTTTATTGAATAACGTTCTATTAATTCTTTTGCTTCTTGCGTGTTTTGGGCTCTGCTTCGGTATCGCATGACTTTATCCGTGAGTCGTAGTAGGCAATAGACTTTTCGACAATCTTCTTTTCGCTGATTCGACAAGTAAGTGCATAGTATTGGCGCTTGTTAATCACCTAGTTAAAAAACAACAACATCGTATTAGAGAAGAAACATAAGGCAACATCACATATAGTCATCCTCAAGGTAAGAGAACTCACCTTGCTTCTTGTTTCAATGTCCTTTTCGACCGGTGTCCATTCGCCCTTATCATCCAAGTAATCTTTTCTTCTATGCTCCGCAAGAAGCTTGCAGACGGTATAAACAAACTTTTTGGTTTCAAGATGTTCGGTATTCTTGCGCGACTTTTTGTCACCGTTTTGACTCTGATCTGCCAAACCCTCAAAGTACATCAAGGCTTCGCCAACATCCGCCTTGAACTTTTTAAACGTTCGATCGTTGACAAAGACGACGTGAAGCAAGCACATGACTGTATCCTCGTAAAGACCTTCGACATTAATAAAGTAGGGTTGCGACTTGCCGCCTTCTTCATGATCATCTTCGGCGTTGTCCTCATCTTCTTCTTCCATGCCTTCCTCAGCATGTTCGTGATCGTGTTCATGGTCTTCGCCACAACAGTCGTCATTGTCACCATGTTTGTGGTCATCACCACAGCAACCATCGTCACAGCAACCTCCTTCTTCATCGTTTTCGTCACCATCTGGCTTTGGACAAAGGATATCCTCATTCGTCAAAAAGTACTCAAAGCGTTCTTGCACATGCTCGATGGCTTCCTCGGTTATCGCTTCCTCGTCAATCTTTGACTTCTTTTTGCTAAGCAGGCTATTCTTAATAAGCTCCACCGACGCCCCAAACAAATTGTCCTGACTGACTGAGACATAGTCGTTCTCGTTGTTGTCATGGCAGAATCCGTATTTGCTCAAAAGGACAATGTTTGGATGTTGACCGTAGGTGTTAAATATTTCCTCGCCTGCCTTGACATCACGTTCGAGGATCATGTCGCACGTATCCTTTTTTTCTTCGTCCTTGTCCTCTTTCCAAAAGTTCACCTTGTCCTCTTCCAACTTTTCAAGATCTTCTAAAGGTCCTTCTTCTTCTTCTTCCTCGTCATCGTCTTCGCTCTTGAGAGAGATGCCACTTGCAGCCGACATTTTCTCGTCATCCTCGTCGTCCATATCGCTCCAAGCATCCTCATCCTCAAGTTCAGCGTCGCTACCTTGTTCCAAGTAAGCAAGATACTGGTGTTCGCAGTAATCGAGCGCACCACATTGGTCGCAGACATCAAAATCAGTGACAAAGTGTACATGCTCGTCGCCACTACGGTGATTAAAAATATCGGCGAAAGGAACCATGGCTGTCTCATGGAATGCGTCGACTTCAAAGGCACGGGATGAAATCAGAGTCGAAATTCGGCAGAAAAGGTCAAATGAGAAATTGCCCTCCTTGAAGATATAGGGATATTCCTTGATCAGTGGGACAACAATCGATTGATAGTCGTCGTCCAGATCTGCCTATTATGTAGAAATTGCATAAAGAAAATATGGTAATCAGCCACCAGCATTTTGCCGTGAACCGCACCACTTGATACTATAGAAATCAACACCAAAGATACTTTACCAAATCGTTATGCACAGCATCTTCCATTTCAGTACCCTTAAACCACAATTTTTCTTCATCTTTCCAGAATACGGGAAGATCCTCGGATAGTGGCAACGCTTGGAGATAGCCGTACCAGGGCGACTCTGTGCCCTGAGCTAACTCGTACATGATTGCGACCGCCAAAGAGCAGCTGCCAGCGATCTTTTCGTCCTCGAGAATATTGTTAATGCTGGTTGACTGGACCGACAAAATCGTCGACTTTGGGATTTGAACCACTATAGAGACAAAAAAAGAGTAATTCGCGAGATCGATCCGAGATCAAGGGAAACTTTTGGTCAGCTTGTCTTTTTTCCTCCCCGTAAAACATATGACACAAACACTTACAAGGCTTCTCGCTACAGGCAATGTCCTTCAAAGCAAATACACCAAAGCCATTGTCAACTACTCTGATTTCCAGAGCGTCCCTATCCCAGACGATCTCATTGTTATTAAACCACTCGAGTAGCTTGGCGAGCTTTTCTTTATTGGACATGAGGTGCGAGAAAGAAAGAAAAAGTTTGAAGAAGAAAATAATGCTTCGGGCTTGAAAAGATTTCTATATCTGTAAAAGTTGTCAGTGCCAGTCGAATGGCTAGATCCATACTGTGTCTGTCAATTCTATGCAACTTGGGTTATGACCACTTGTCACCGCGTTTAATGTAGCTCCTTGGTTTCGTACAAAGTAATAGTTTGTGGTGATCACATACTACTTACTATACTTTCCCTTGAAAAAAGTTACAGTTAATATTAATTGATTTACGAGGATGGAAAAGAATAATTATCTACGAGCATAGTGAGCGAAATGCAACAAAGCCGTATCAATGAATAAGAGCGGTACTTTATTTAATAGTGCACTTTAGTAGAACGGAGAAGGACATATCTGCAACGCAATAAGCGTATGTATGTAGTCAGTTCCAACTACGGGTTTGCCTATGCAGCGATGCAGTGGCGAATAGCTGAGTTCATCAACTTACAAAGCCCTAGTCGCTCGTGGCACGCTTCAACTTGATTCCTCTCTTCACGAGCCATGTTTCGTATCTTTCAAGCCGGAAAATCGGTTGCCTCTTACAACAAAGTGCAATTCAGAAATGGATTGCGCCATTTCACCAACCAGCAAAACTACGACGCCATTGTTCTTGGTGCTTACACAGACGAATTAGCTCTAGCCAACACCAGCGACCACATCTCACAGTCCACGCGTAACTCCATTCTCGAACAACTCTCTGCATCTAATTTCTCGAAAGCTGACGATCTACGCATGTTATATAATGTTGGTGGTATCAGCCAGGTAGCTGTTGTATCCCTCGGCGACAAAAAATCAAACCAGAATCAAGCTGCTGTTTTGGAAACCGCGCGACGTGCTGTAAGTATTGCTACCTCTCTCCCTACTACTACGCTGCTGCTGTATAAATATATATGAAGCTTCTGGATTGAAGAGCTGAGAGAAAGAAAGCTGACATGACTCTGATAACGTGAAATCTGTATGAAAAAATTTAGGCAGGTTTGGGTGTTCAAGCATTAAAGAAGCAAAAAGCAACAAATGTAGGCGTAGACGTATCTATTCATGCACATGGTGCTGCTGAAGGTGCTGTCCTTGCCCAGTTTGAATTCTCCAAATTAAAAAAAGGCAAAGATCAAGAACCTTTTCTAAGTGTTGGACCTTTTGGAGGATTGGATGAAGCCAGTGTCAACGGTGGACTGAATTGGGAAACTGGACAGATTTATGGCGTGTCGCAAAACCTTGCACGTATGCTGATGACAACCCCGGCCAATTTGATGACGCCCAAAACGTTTTCCGAAGAAGTGGCATACCTTCTCGCTGGATTAGAGAATATCGATATTGCTGTACACGACAAGGAGTGGGCAGTAAGGCAAAAGATGAATTCATTCCTATCGGTTGCTCAGGGAAGGTAAAAAAAAGAGCACTGGCTTTGGAGTCGTTTGCTTGGCTTTTTAACAAATACGGTAATTAGTGATGAACCCTTGCGGTTCCTGGAAATCCACTATAAAGGAGCTAGCGAATCGGATCCAGTGTATGGTCTAGTTGGAAAAGGTAAAGAAATTTAATTAGTGGTGGGGTTAGAGGGTAATCATTTAGCAAATTAATTATTATCATACCATTTCTAGGTGTTACATTTGACTCGTACGTTAAAAGAACTTTATGGAAGGTGCAAAAACTCTAACTAACTCGATTATGAAATTGCTTACTACAACGACTGATGTAGTGGAGGAATTTCGCTAAAGCCGTCAGCAAATATGGCATTAATGAAGGGCGATATGGGCGGTGCAGCAACAGTTTGCTCGGCCATGTATGGTATCTCCAAATTAAAACTACCGGTCAATGTCGTGGCTGTCACGCCCTTGGCAGAAAACCTTCCATCGGGTAGAGCGACCAAGCCAGGCGATGTCGTTAGGGCAATGAACGGCAAGTCGATTGAAGTTATCAATACCGACGCGGAGGGCAGACTTATTCTGGTAGGTATACGGCCTATTAGGCATTAATCGCCGCAAAAGCTATCGTTCTGTCCCCTTTCAAAGAACCAACCTAACCTAGATTTTGGTTTGCTTCACTAGGCGGATGCATTGTACTATCTAAGCTCGAAATATTCATTGAAAAGTATCATTGATGTGGCCACATTAACTGGAGCATGCGATGTGGCTCTTGGCCAAGTCTTTGCGGGCGTGTTCACCAATTCGGATGAGCTATGGACCCAATTAAATATTGCGGCCCAAATGACCTCCGACCCGTTTTGGCGCATGCCTTTACATGATGACTATCTCAAAGCGATGAAGGAGTCTGCGGTAGCAGACTTGGTCAATTCGGCCGGGCGTTCTGGAGGTGCCGTCACAGCAGCAATGTTCTTGAAGGAGTTTTTGGCGGATAAAGAGCAACCATGGGCTCATATTGATATTGCGGGAGTTATGGATTGTTCTAGCACCGAAGGATACCACGTCAAAGGCATGACCGGTAAGTTGCATATACCCAGACCGTATTCGACTGATATAACAACAAAGTTGTTGACCCCAGGGACAAACGAGCAAAGGTCGTTGTCACAAACTAACAAAAACCAAACATATACAACGCTAGGTCGACCCACGCGCTCTCTTATAGAATATCTCAGAGGTCATACAAAATAAATAATTGAAATTGCCCGCTTCACTCTCTATTTTAACCCCTTGCCTAATAGCTTATGATTCACTTTGTAGCAGGGAAAAGAGGGGGGCTGACAAAAGGATATGAGAGGGCGGCGTAAAATGGTATTCGTCACGTGCGGTAGCAAAGTTTTCACTACTGTTTCCAGTCACCAGGTTCGGCTTTGACCTCCACTTGAGTGAGAGCCAAAAATACCCAACGAGGACCTTGCAAACACACCAACCAACTTCCAACTTCCAACAACAAAAACAGCAACAACAACTAACAGTAACACCATACCCATTCTTATATACACAAAAACGAGCACAAAAAAATGCAGCCTCCCTCCTTTGACCTGTCTAAATACCCGACCGTCGAGACCATTAAGCTCCTAGCATCATTGCTGGAGCGAATGACAGCAGCCAACGACCAGATCAACAGAGCCTCTACCGCTCGTAAGGATAATGTTCGTCGCGCCTCGTCCGCTTCATTGCTGGGGTCATCTCAAGTTCAAGGCGGGCTGGTCGCTTCTGCTACGCCGCCACCGCCTGCTGCTGATACCTACACCAAGTTCAGCAGTCGATCGTTGCCATCGATAGATATTTTTTCATACTTGTCGCGCATCTTCAAGTACTGCCCATGTGCCAACGAATGTTTTCTCAGTTTATTGGTATACTTTGACCGCATGTCAAAGAGTGCACTTGCTCTGACCGGGAGACCTTTCACTATCGATTCATACAACATTCACCGACTCATCATTGCCGGCGTCATGGTTTCCAGCAAATTCTTTAGCGACGTCTTTTATACCAACACGAGATATGCAAAGGTACGTATGCGGCATGTATTAAAAAAATTATGAGCTTTTAAGCAAAAAACGAGATGCTACTTTGAAATCGAACGAGATGAGAACTCATTATGTTGTTGCCATTGGTCTCTTTTTCGCCCGTTGCTAGGTCGGAGGATTGCCCGTTGCGGAACTCAATAGCCTGGAGCTCGAGTTTCTCGTCCTGAATGGATTCAACCTATCTGTACCTATTAGTGAGTTACAGCGATACGGAGATCAGCTATTGAAGGTGGGCTATATGGAGAAAGAAATCCTGAAGAGTATCATGTACGAAACGCCTACCTACAACCCCATCCGACACGGCCGCTCAACGTCTTTAGGATCGGCCATGGTTGTGCGCCATCCTGTTGCCCCCGAAAGCAATAGCAACAACAACAACAACAACAACAACAACAACAACAATGTTGCTACTGGTACCCAGGTCGATCAGCTGTGTGAGATGACCTCGCGTGTCTCCTTGGATGAACGCGTGCCACAATACAGCACCAGCACTACCAGCAATAACAGTATCTCGAGCGGTAGCAGTCAAGCGGCTGCGGCTGCGGCTGCGGCAGCAGCAGCAGCAGTGTACAACTCATACCCTCAGCAACAACAAAAGCAACAACAACAACAGCATCATCAGCATCATCATTTGCACAAAATGTCATCGAATGGTAGCTTAAATATGGTGCGACGTATGGGTAGCTACGGTAACCTGCACCATTCCCCTCAAGTGTTTAATGCCCCCATGACCAATCAAGATTCCTCACACAGCCCCATTGATCTCGACGATGCGCACGCTTCCTATTCCCCTCGACACCAGCGCCGCAGTTTCAACATGTGGCGTCATTCCTCTTCATCTCCACCTCCGCAACAACACTATACTCGTCAGCGCCACGGTAGTATGGGATTCAGCAGCAGCCCTAGTGACTCATCGCCGTCGTCGTCGTCTTCGTCATGGCAACATCGGATGCCCCGTCAGTCGCGGTCGAGTGTGAACCTGTGTCAACAGGCTGGATTTCGCAAGTCTACGCCTCCGCCTGGGTTTGCACCCAACGATGGCTTTGTCATGCCTCAGGGCGATGCTGCCGTGGCCGCCGCCGTAGCTGCCGCTGCTGCTGCTGCGAATGGGTATGGTGGGCCGTACTATGCATACCAGCAACATCCACTCGGCATCCCCACACCGCCACCTTCATCGTCTCCTGTGCACCAAAAGCAAGGCACCTCCTCTTCGCCATACCAACACTCTGTAATGTATCTATAATCCCCTTCTTCTATATCTGTTTTTCTTCCTTGATTCTTTTCACATCTGTCCACCCAAACAAAGCCCATATACATATTTATATATCAATTAGTACTATACCTTACCTGTAGTTCCTCTTCCTCTTCTTCTTTCTTCAGTCGCACTATGACTCTTCATTCTTCTTATTATTATTATTATTATTATTACCATCATTATTAGTGTATATATCTATCACCACAACACATACACAAAGCATACATATCTGCATGATCTTATTTTCTACATAATTAACATTAAACCCGGAAAACCCCACGATAATAGTTCAACCGGTCAGGTCCGTGCGGTCTTTTATCTTGAATGTTGCACATGGGGTTCTTTATTCATCATAAAAATGATGTCACACAATCAACTACGCAGAAAGAGAAAGATGCCAGGATCCTATTCACTTCCATACCTCAAAGGTGTTTATTATTCTCTTGATCTCCTGAATACTCATCCTCATCCTCTTCTTCCGTCCTCATCTTCTCGTTCGCTTCCTACCTCATCCTGGTCATCTGAATTTTGCTCTTGCATTTGCGGGTTGACATTTTGTCTTTGCTGGTTGGGACGGCGCAGATCAACTGGTCTTGAGTTAAAATGTTACCGCCGCTGTTTACGTGCGCCATTAAAATGCGGTCCAGCGTTACAATCAAGCACGATCGATAACACAGCCCACTATGGATTCTCCGTCCTCTCCTCATCAACTTCCCGCTCGCAGCGCTGGCAGTATCGCTGAGCATACACGAATCGCTGCCAACCAATTGTATGGTGGTAGGTATCAGTGGTACGGAAGCAAACGGTTAAAATTGGTAGTGTGATACGTGACAAGAAAGGAGGAGATTTACCGTACATTCATTCGACTCAAGGAGAAATCAAAGGCCATAACTTATTCCAAGTTTGCCAGACATACCCGCAGGAATCTTGTTAGAACTTTGTGATGTTGGGTGTGAGCGGATTATTTCCAGCATCACAACACCAAAGGGTCTTCCTACCAGTTTTAGTGATGCGCCGAATCTTTTGCTTGTTGCTACACAATGTCATTGTTAGAAACATGGAAACGTAAACTTGGGGTACAAAATAGCCAAGTAAGCATACATGTGCTCTCCGTAGAAGTTAAAAGAACTATGGTGGAGAACCGCTACAGTCCGTTGACGGCAAACAGAGCACATCTGAATTTATCGGCCTAGACGAGGACGGTTCGCCGCGCCAGTACGACCCTAAAAGCCTGAACAAAGAGAAACGGCGCCACTTGCGTCGTGCCGCACGACGGTGATCTTTGCGTACCTGCTTTGAGATGATATGAGTAAAAAAAGAAGATTTGGCGTTCTTGTGGGAAAGGATACTCAGAGCAAACAAAACATGATACATTGGTGCATCAGTTTCGTTTGTAACGATAATACCAAATGCATTTCATTTTTGAGCATAAGACAAACGAAGCATACTTGGAGCTTCATCGTGTACAGAACGGGCTACAAGGATTGTGTAGTCTGCCTAATAAGTTAGCACATCAGAAAGTCTTTAACAGAGGTGTATGCAAAGGAGTAGTGACAATAGGTCAAAGATGGTTTTCATCATCCATACAAACACACACTCTCTCTCTTTTGGATACAGTACTCGCAGTTCAATCGGCCATTTGCATAGTGGGATCATCTCCTCCTGCTGCAACATGAGGACAATGAAGACAAGCAACATGATAAACAGCACAGCAGGTGTACTACATACTATGAATGTTGTAAGGTTTGCACAAGCTCTTGCGTCTCAAATCCCCGATTTCCGATGGTGTGCAGCAGTAGTATCGTACACATGATGGAAGCAGGAGAATAGGGCAGTTTATCAGATCATGGCTTCTTACTGTTCTTTTTGGGAGTGGGGTAAATTATCAGTACGAGATAGTGGGGAGAAGTGAGTGAGAGCGTGAGCCGGGATGGGCTTGCGGATAATCAACGGATGAACTTTGGCTAATAAGATTAGTGATAATGTGAAAACTTGTCCCTCCGCCGACGGGATCCAGTTTTTCCCCTACAACGGCACCCCACCCCCCAACCTAAACCAACCCAACCCAACCCATTGCAGCCTCCACTGTTGGGTCGGGCATTCTCGGTTCTTGAGCGTATTACAAGGTTGCTCTTTTTTACAGTTTACAGTTTGACAAGCAACCCAGTCCTTATCTTTATCTCGAATTAGTGTTATTGGGCTGCTTGATCAGTCTTGTAACTCCACCGTTATCTCTTCTTGAGCGTTGCTTATATAGACAAGGGGTGGTGTGGCTGCTGTTTTGCCATGGCCCTCGTAGCCCGCAAAGCCTGCAGGACCATCATGATGATGCTGCTGCTGCTGCTGTTGCTGCTGCTACTGTTCTCGTGCGCATACTGCATAGACCACCAACAGCTTTTTGATATCATATGGGCTTAATAAGCATCAAACGCGCCTGCTTCAAGGGTTATCTTGTACTACTTGTGATCATCCACTCGTGGCACTGACTGCCTTTTTCACGACTGTCCTTTTACGCTTTCATACGGATGATTGCTCAGCACAAATGCCCACCCAACAGATTCCCTTGCGACGACGACGACGAGGAGGAGGATGATGATGATGATGCAGTGAAGAATTATCCGAAAAGGGCTTAAATAGGACGGAGTGTTATTGCTTGGCTGCTGTTCTTGTGTATCCTCCACTGGGTTTCACCGGCCTCTGGATTAACTCATCAACGCATGCCAAAAATTTATTATCTCTTATGACACCGTCTTTTTTTATCTGAATTGTTGCGTCTGTTACCCCACGCCCGCCTGTGACCTTTTGTTTTCCGTCTTACCCCCTACCCACCCTCCTCCTCACGTCTGCAATAGAAAGAGAGAACGCGCAGATCTTTAGTGTAACGGATAAATAATAAAAAAAACTGTGGGGTAAGAGAGGATGCGGGCGAGAAGGAAGAAAGAGAGAACAAGACAGAAAAGCAAAGAGGCTCTCAATGGAAGCCAATGAGAGGACAGGGTACCATGCCGATAGGAAAAGCAATTAGGCGAGTCCCAAAACACGAAGGAAGGAAGCAAGGAAGGAAGGTGGGGGTGGGGGGTGGGGGACGGGTGTGGAGTGGGGAGGAGTGGTTGGTGGGGGGTGGAGAGAGAGAGAGGCAGGATGTCATCATCATCATCATCATCATCATCATCATCATCCACGGCCTGTCTGGGACCGGAGTGTGATTTTGAATGACAGAAGGATTTTACCCGCCCACCGCCCCGGCAACATTTTTCTAAATTTTTTTGGGCACATATAAAGCGCGTCCCGAACGCCAACCCTTTCGTTTCTTTTCCAACTTGTCTTTATTCTAACAATGTCGGCCCTCCGTGCTTTCTCCTCGCTCAAGGTAAGCCCTGCTCTACCCTCCTCTAAGCAGTAGTGTCACCTAATACACACCGTTGCTTGATGCGCATGCTGAATACCACTGTCTCTTTTGTCATCAGGGTGCTGCTGCCCGCTCGGCTCCCCTCCGCTTCCAAGCTGCTCGCTCGTATGCCTCGCAGACCAAGGTAAGTACACAGATAACGACATCTAGCAAGAGCAAGAGCAAGCGCAAGCGACAGGATGACTGATACATTGATTGCCCTATTGTATGAATTGCACATGCACGCCTTTGAACAACAGACCTTGAAGGAGCGTCTTGCTGAGATCATCCCCGAAAAGCAGGCCGAAGTCAAGGAATTCCGCAAGGGCTACGGCAACAAGGTCCTCGGTGAGGTCACCGTTGACCAGGCCTACGGTGGTATGCGCGGTATCAAGGGCCTTGTCTGGGAAGGCTCCGTCCTGGATGCCGAGGAAGGTATCCGTTTCCGTGGTCTTTCCATCCCCGAGTGCCAGAAGGCTCTTCCCGCCGCCGTCGAGGGTGGTGAGCCTCTCCCCGAATCCCTCTTCTGGTTGTTGGTCACTGGCGAAGTCCCCACTGCCGAACAGGTCAAGGGTCTGTCCGCTGAATGGGCTGCCCGTGCTGCTCTCCCCGAGTTCGTTGAGGAGCTGATCGACCGCTGCCCCAAGTCCCTCCACCCCATGTCGCAGTTCTCGTTGGCCGTCAACGCCCTCCAGCACGACTCGATCTTCGCCAAGGCCTACTCTGAAGGCATCCACAAGTCCCAGTACTGGGACCCCACCTTCGAGGACACCATGAACCTGATTGCCAAGCTCCCCAACGTTGCTGGCCGCATCTACCGTAACGTCTACAAGGATGGCAAGGTTGCCGCCCTTGAGGCCGACAAGGACTACTCGTACAACTTCTCCAAGGTCCTTGGCTACGAAGGCAACGCCGACTTTGTTGAGTTGATGCGTCTCTACTTGACCATCCACTCTGACCACGAAGGTGGCAACGTCTCCGCCCACACGTATGTGTTCTCAACCGCTTTGTTTATTTGTTGGGGGGGTGGGGGTGGGGTTTCAGGAGAGTGATTGGGAAGAAGGGGAGGGGTTTGTGTGGACGGCGGATCTACTCGGAGATTGTGTATAGTTCTTGCTTATTAACAACAACGATAACAGCACCCACTTGGTCGGCTCTGCCTTGTCTGATCCCTACCTCTCCTTTGCCGCTGGCTTGAACGGTTTGGCTGGTCCCCTCCATGGTCTTGCCAACCAGGAAGTCTTGCGCTGGACCTTGAAGCTCAAGGACACCATCGGCATCGATGCCTCTGAGGAACAGATCAAAAAGTACTTGTGGGACACTTTGAACGGTGGCCAGGTCGTCCCTGGCTACGGTCACGCTGTCTTGCGTAAGACTGATCCCCGTTACACTGCCCAGCGCGAGTTCGCCTTGAAGCACTTGCCCGATGACCCTCTCTTCGGTTTGGTCTCCAAGTTGTACCACATTATCGTAAGTTATCTCTATTGTTTTTTCTGGGTTGCCGTGTGTGTGCAACAGGGGTGTCGTGTTTGTGCGTGGCAAAAAAAACCGTCTGGGTTTGAAACTCACGTGCGTTACGTTATCTTTTCTTTTCAACCAGCCTGGTGTCTTGACTGAGCACGGCAAGACCAAGAACCCTTGGCCCAACGTCGACGCCCACTCGGGTGTCCTTCTCCAGTACTACGGCATGACCGAACAGGATTACTACACCGTTCTCTTTGGTGTATCCCGTGCCATTGGTGGTAAGTTGTCGTTTTGCTTAACGAGTTGCTCTGGGGACGTGTCAATGGACACTGATGATGAACGCTGTTTCCCTTTCTCTAGTTACCGCACAGCTCATCACCGACCGTGCCCTCGGCATGCCCTTGGAACGCCCCAAGTCCTACAGCACCGCCCACTTGAAGAAGATGTTCGGTGCCCAATAAGCTTAATCATATTACCATCGCCCCTTCAAAAAGCATACAAAAAGACGCTACCTAGTCATCCCTGTAAATTCTTTCCTCCTCGTCATGTCATCAATCATATAAAAAGCTATACTTTTTCGTTTTCAACTGTAATCACCATGCCTTGGCTTCTTTTCTTTTTGTTTGTTTACATGTGTGTTACTCTTCTTGGGGACATCTTTTCGTCTATCGTTGCTCATCTTCCAGCAATATGAGATGGGGTCATCGATCCAGCCAGCGTCTTTCCGTATTATCAATCTTGATCACGGCCTCAGTAACCTCTAGAGGAAGCAACACAAGATGAACGCTTCCAAATACGGCATACGTTACACGATCATCTTCGCCCAACGCAAATATCCATTCCTTGCCAGTTTATTCTCCCCATTTCCCACACGCGTTTTCGTTATCGTTCATGCACTTTTACCTATCAATCCCTTTCAATTATAGGCGACGTGTATATTCAAAGCCTCACCCCAAGAAATGTGCTGCTAGACGACTGTCATTAATGCTATTTTCTGTGCTACTGCATGCTGCGCTATACGGAACAGAGTTTCTGAACGCCAGAAATTTTGACAGAATACCGTGTCAAGTTTCAATGCTTTCTATATCGTCGCTCTCAAAAAGGTAACCACTGCACACACACACACACACATATATACCGGCTATCAAAAGACTCAAAACCACACACGAGACTCCCATATACGTTATACATGCAATGTTCTTTAGTATAATACGCTCCATGTTTATTTCTAAGAGTCATTTGATTTGCCGGGATCGGCAGGTGCTCCATATTTCCTTGACAGTGCCAGCGAGGACCTATGAGTCGTAGATAGCATGTTGAGTATCCATTCAAATGTACTACCTGTCGTTGAGTACAACAAATCCAGCCTACATTTTCGAGCCGTGGTTAAACTTGGACATGATTGCATCTTCCAAGGCAGATTGTGTAATAGACGAGTCTGATAAATCTTTTTTTTTTCAAAAGTAATGAGCTAGCAGTACATATAATCCCCCCCACCTTTCTTTTTTCTTGGTTACCTAATGATGACCCCGTCGACTCGTCCGCACGGCTACTGGATGAGGACGCTTTACGATTGGCTCTTGAGCGGGAGGAAATTGTCGAAAACACCAATCGTCGTTGCTCACGCGGACGAATAGATGGCGATGATGAAGACGACGATGCCTGTATTCTTACTGGCAGAAATGCAGGCTCTTCCTCTATTTGCAAATTGTGGAATTGTTCTGATATGATTTCTCCTCCTTCATCCTCCTCCTCCTCTTCACCTCCCTCCTCTTTCTCTCTGTCACTGTCGGATGGACCCATCGATTGTTGCGGAGAGTAATATGTCCGGCTACTCTTCTGACTCGCAAAGCTTGTGTATAGTGATCCTTCGACGACGGCTGATTTATCGTTTGTGGGCAGAACGTTACGCGGTGCGATATTGGAAATAGTGGATAGCTGCATTGAATCAACTGGAGATTTACCCTTGTCTATCATAAACGTATCATGCTGCTGCTGCAGTTGTTGTTGTTGTTGTTGTTGTTGTTGCTGCTGCTGAATTTGTAGCTGCTGGAACTGCTGTAGCTGATGGATCGTTGATGTTGGTGTTGTTGAAGTTGTTGCTATCACACATAATAGGATACGCCAAAAAAGAAAGAAGTTCATGAGCTTCCCGCCTTCTCTTTCTTTGCAGACCCTCCCATTACTAGAAGAATCAAAGCTGCTTACTTTGTCGTCGACTCGACGGTCTACTTTGCGATGAGACGTTACGACGATGATGACTACTACTACTTGTAGACGACGAAGGAAGAGGGGGTGGTGTTTTTCCTACTTCGTTTAGGAAACGGAACTGCTTGATTCCGAGAAGCTGAGTTTCATAAATAAATGCTGCATGACGAATAAGATACGAAGTTGGCACACGCAGCTGTTCAGCGATATGGTTCCCTGTGAGTTATCCCAAAGGTTACAAGGGACGTCGAGAATTAAGGTTAGGCTAGTTACAGTCACTTTTGGACATAAAGTTGGGCTTCTTACAGTCTGTATGCTTTTGGCTCATATATTGTCGTAACTGTTGCTCCATGTCGTCCGTCCAAAGAATCTAAGAACCCGAAAGTGAAATCGTCGACTTTTGTGAGAATAAGGGAGATGAAACAAAGTTGCAGGCGCGCACGCATAACATACAGGTGGTGGCTCAACGAAATCCGGAGGTCGCTTAAATGGCAGACGAATGACGACATGTAGTGTATCTTTCTCGAGCGTCATGACAAAGGAGGGAAAGAATTTGATAAAGTACTAGGAAATGCTGGGTTCTTAATGCTGCTGTGTGGGAAAGGCGCAAAAGCGATTTCAGGAACCCAGCAAAAATGCACTATTCTACGTCAAAGGACTAAAAGGCGTAGCAACTTGATTAATGCAAATGTTATATCATGAACGTCGTCTTTCGACTTACTCAACCAAGACATCTCAATTCACAACAATGTGATGAGGTTCAGGAATAAGAGAGACTAGTCATAGTAGGATCGTGTTTTTATGTTGAAGATATTGGCTTTTGATTGTCTATTTCTTGAAAGATACTTTTTGTCGAAATACTTGTTTGATTTTGTGGCTTCTATGTGGACCCGATACTGTAGATTGGCAGCAGAACGTGTCTATTATGTAAAAACCAAGTCATTGTGTTGATGGCAACGACAGAAGAGGTATACATCAGGACTTGAAGCGATCGCAATTCTTCAAAACTGGTCACTCGTACGAAAGCATATTTGAAAATCTTAATCTAGAATATAGTTCACGTCTTAATACTTGATAGAGGTCAACAGGGTGGTCACATCTACGGTGCAAGTGCGCTTTACTTCCCGCCTAAGCTTATAAAAAATGGTAAATTACAAGTGCAAAGGTTTGTATGATCAAACCAATGCTCGACATTGATTCGGTATCTCTGGAAGCTCTTGAACCAGACAGCACTCCAAAGGATTGCTCTATGATTGTTCTCAAGCCTTTACACTGTCACAGGAATGACGACTACATCCGAGTTAATACAAGCAATGGCTCTACTGTATACATCATTACAGTTTACCTGTAGCTTTCAGGTAAGAAAGTGAATATGTAATATTTACTCATGTTGGGAGGTAGTTTTACTCCTTTGCCTATAAGTTTAGGCTAACAAATGGCGAGAAATGTGTGATGTAGGGGCTACTCATTCCAAAAGCACATCATTATGATTATTGGTGTCAGTAGCGTGGATAAAAGCCAATAATAACGCCTTTATCTGTATGTTTGATACAGCAATCATTGAAAACTTACCCGGGTGAATTATGCGAGATGAAATCCGTTGATTGCTCCTTCCGACAAAGTGCGCAATATGCTATGTGTTAAATGCACTTTCTGCATGTATGGTAGTACCAACATGTTTGTTGTTAGAATGCGGCTTCAATTTATTCCGTCGTCGTTCCAAATATGGGGCTGTCCCATTCATTTTAAATCTTGTTGGTTGACAAAACTCGATATTCCACCTCCCCCCTCCCCACCCACCTCTTCCAGCATTTACACTACCACACATTGTAACTTTGGCAGCTGCTCATGCTAAAGATCTTGCAAGAAAAAGCCGTTCTACTCGAATCACAGTATACGCAACACCAAGAGGATATACGTCGATTAGCCGAGCGATTAAGCCGAGACGTCGAGTTGCTTAGTTTCTCGCCTGTCGATCTACACGATGCCAAAACGTATCTTAATGACGACGGTAACACTAAAATTAGAAATATTGCTATCTTTTTGGAAGAATGCTGGCGGTCCAACGTACATGTAACTGACAAGCTATATTTACTGGTCCGTTATTATAGTAACGGTGTTTCGATATCTTCGAGAAAGCGGGTTTGACGAGACAACAGCACACGAACGACTCTTGGATACTATACGGTGGCGACAAGAACATGGTGTCGCACGTATGACGTATGAGTCAGTTGCTAGTGAATTCTATGACGGAGGATTTGCGTTCTTCCACAAGCAGGACAAGTTGGGCCGACCTGTTGCCGTAGTGCGCATGCGCCATTTTCCGCAGTTTCATGACAAGTCAAAGAGTCTTACGGATTTCATACGACCTTATGCGTGTCTTGTGATGGAGATGGTCCGTAAGGTCATGCTGGATACCACATGGAATAATCGAAGGAACAACAATGACTCCAAGTCTTGTGCTCTTGTGTCTCAGATGGCAGTTATCATTGATATTGGAAAGGCTCCGTTTATTCCAATTGTAAGTGATTCTAGACTGCTCTGTCGGTATATGCGTATAAAACAATGAGGTGCTTATGCAATGATGTCATGTAGGACGCACAATTGGTGAAAACCATGATGGAGTTGATGGATAAACGATTTCCTGGATTCATTGGGTCGATCTATGTGATGAACTTTGGATGGATGTATCAGGGAATTTGGCAAATGGTTAAATATTTGCTGAGTGACGAAGCACGGAGCCGGATAAGCTTTCCTACAGCTCAGGAGGTTCTAGAAATTGTCCCCAGAGAGAATTTGTTGACCGGTAACGTGAAGGAGCACAAAGGGCATATGGCTATTTTTCAAGACGGTGTTGCTAACAATGAACACTTTCATAGAATTGGGCGGCGAAGACGATTTTGAATGGACATTCGAAACTGACTCAGTGCTACAAAAGTATGGGATGGGTGCCACGGAAGAAGAAGAAGATCAGGTTGTACCTATCGTCGACGAAAAGGAGGTCCAAGAGGGCGTACCACCCTACACTTTCGAAGAACCCCTCGAACGACCCGAAGCTGCCGCATCAACACGCCTGTCACGAAGCACCTCATTTTCTTCTGTTGAATTCTATGACGCGAACGATACGTTTGTGACCGATACATCATCCTCTGGTTTTGTCAGTGCCTATGCCACCCCGGGCTTTGCAACACCAGTGTCAGCACATCCTCCGCAGGTACCGCCACCGCCACCACCACTCGAATTGCCACGGTCGCTATGGCTTCCCGTGCCAGCCACCGGTCAAAGCAATAACACTTTCTACTCCTGGACCGGACTTCACATGGGCGCAGCGTTCTTAACATCATTTATCGGTGGACGAGGAGGGGGAGCACACACTTCGCATCATCAACCACCAAGGTCAACGTTTCATTTCACTACAAGCAGCGCACCACCATCCATGGGTATCAACGGCTTTGCACTTGTCGATCGATTAAATTTGCTACAACATGAACAGGAGCAACAGGAGCTGCAGCAGCAAGACGAAAAGACGTATATGCTCTTGGAGGAGGAAGGAGAAGAACTTGTTGAGCTGCACCGAGAACAGCATACCCCGCATTTTCCACATTTGTTACCACCTGATGTTCCACAATCCGCTTATGCGCTTGCGCCTGTGCGGATGCAGCTGCAGCGGATTGAACATAGATTCATCAGGCTGACGCGACGTATCTTCCGTCTATCGTTTGCTTACAAAGGAGCCATCTACTGGGTCATTTTCTACATTTTCCTGCGCGGTCCTGTTGAGCATGTGCTGCGACGGTCACTTGCTTCGGTCATTGCGGCTCCACAAAAGATATCCTACACAACCATTGGTATCACGGCAGCAGTAGCAGCAGCAATTGGCTCCTCTGTTACTGCCTCTGTGAGTAGTGGCAGCAGCAGTAGTAATAGAAAAAGCATTCGCCGTCGACCACCATCCGAGTAAAAAGCTAACCGACTATCCGTTTTGACACATATACAATAACCCAGATCACTTTCCAAAAAAAAATGCATGCATCTCTACCTACATCCAACTCTAATCTAATCCTACTCACGTACATATTGCACTCCCACTCTAACCATCACATCTTTCTTTCTTTCTTCTTCCTTTATAATCTTCACACTATATACATCTGTTTTCCCACCTTTTCCGTTCCTCATCATTGTAATTTTTATTGCTATATCTCTAAAATGAGCCTTTTTTAAAAGATTCCTGGGATCAAGGCTGCCCTGGGTGCAGCAGCAGGGAATCTACTTTCGTACCATTGCTTGGTATTAATTGCTCGCATACTGAGGTAGACAATAACTGCAACTTCAAATGGCAGTGACAGAATGTTTTGAGTCACGATCGCTAAACCTGCAAGCGATGTAATTTCACCAAGCTGTTTGAAAAATACGAGTTATTAGATTGCTCCAGGCAGTGATATAGCGCAAAGGTAGTGGCCTGAATAAAGGGAAAAACTTGGGTTATTACTTACATAGTGGGGACACCATGTAAAACTAAACAATCCATGCTCCGGAATCTAAAAAATTACACATTGATATTTTGGGTTAGTGTGTGTGATGTGATAAAGAATGAAACCGACAGCCTTTCTATTTATCCATGTAATGCCCATAGCAGCCTCATTTATAATGATGCTTCTTACCTTGTACGTCGTATCACCTTTTGTTCTTAAGTTTGACAAGATACTATGGTGGTAAAAGTTCGTACACTCACCCACGAGAAACATCACGGAACCCAAACGTACTTGGTGTTTATCAACATCTGTAGACGGCACCTGAGCTGCAAGATAAAGAAAGATGCTTGTCATCCCTATATACGCCGTAGAAATTAGACAAGCGTCTCTTGTCAAAGAATATCCAGAGTATCTATGAACAAAAGTGACTTCCTGTTGGATGTTGAGGATAAGCAATACAAAAAGTGGATTCTTTAACAAAAAGTCAAAACGAAAATGTAAAATGATACTTACATAAACCCTTTTGAGATAGTGTAATAAACTCAACCATGCGACCCAACCCGTGTGTTGATGATGAGCTAACGACAATACGGCAAGCAGTGATATGATAGCTGATGGCGAGTAAATCAACAGCATTCCGATCCTAGATGGTATCTGCTTATGTGTGATTACATGAGCAAAAACATCTGATACTTAGAATAGTACAATAAAGTAATGCTTGTGTATATACCTTCATCGATGACATATTTTGTGGTGCGAATTTTGAGTATGCCATGCGCGTTTCCGGCCTTGACTCTCGTATAATTACAAGAGCGCAACCAAATAGAGCCAAAACACCAAGGACAACGTTGGTCACTGTTGGATAAGGGATATACATTATGGATGGGGCGAGAGGAAGTAAGCAAAAAAAAAGAAAAAAAGATGTTGTTTATGCTATGTTTCTTCGAGACCTCTATATGCAATGATAGCAATTTGATTGTTTCTATAAAATAGTTTTGATTGGTCATCTTATGCAGCTAGCAGTAATAGTTGCACCCCGTTTCCTTCCACCTCTGCTTCCCCTGAAGACACTAAGTGATCAGCCTTGCATTACTGCTGATATACTTCTTCCTACCAGTGACATTCTCTGCAGGTAAAATCTGTATCTTGTTTTTAAGGTACCGTATATGTGAAAATATCTTATGAAAAAAGTCAAGAAATGCAATATACTCATGTATTTAATGAACCAACAAATTTTTCATGGTGTATGTAACAGGATTCAGTAATAATAAAGTTTTCTAAAATTATCATGTTTGTGGTATTGCCAACACTGTTATCCAATATAACTATCAAACAAGCGATGCAAATAACCATCTACTTTTGTAGCTGTCTTTCCGTTGATCGCCCCTTTCTCGTTATGCTATTTGTTCTGTGAGCAGATGATTCAGGTATAATAAGCGGGGGTGGTTTCTTTGAAAGCTGTCGTTTTGTCTACAGATCTAAGTCAGTTAAAGATCGAATGGAAAGATTCTCAAATGTTCGCTGTACCTTTCTCGCCTGTTTTTGTGATGAATCTGCTGTATATCCTGGCACTGAAGAGGTAGCCAAAGGAGTATAAGGGGCATCACTTTGTGTCAATCTCAAGTCAGTATTTGCGGGATTCCGTCTGGTTCGTCGTGGGGTTCCTATAGTACCCAACTTTTCCACCATGCGACCGAAAAAACGAGATGATGTTCTAGCAAGTCCCATAGTAGCTGCGCTCAGTGAGCGTGGCAGACCCGGTGTGGCTTGAGGTGGTAATCGTGCGGCAGGATCATTGCTTGCGACTTGCATCTTGACGCCAGCATTACTTCTTGATTGGAAACTCGTCGTGCTCTCATTCGCGTTGCTGCTGTTAAGTGATCCACGGCGCGATAGTCTAAAAATCATGCTTTCGGTATTTACTGATCCGCTAGCTCCCAGTGGTGGATGTTGCTGCTGCGATGGCGTTTCGCGTGCTGATGCCGTCGTTGCTGTTACGGATGAATGCATACTGTGAGTGGATGGTGGTCGACGAGGAAAGGTATCATGATTCATCGTGATAGGCTCAGAAATGCGGAGTCGACTGGGTAACGATGCTTTGCGGTGCACAGCGCTTCTGAATATATCCTGTGGCGATGACATGGTTGCTGTTGGCATAGGTCCTTTGGAATGCGGATGATGCGGTTGAGAATGATGGTGAGGATGATGAGCAGGAGGATGGTACTCGTCTTCGAGTCCCTTGATACTGGTAAATGCAAGCATTGAGGCCGATTTGCCCATACGGCTCTTTCTCTTCCATTGTTCCATACCGCTCGAGCGATCATTTTTAGCTTGTGAGCGGGCAGTTAAGATGGGCGTTGTGCACACATCTTCAAACTTGTTGTCAATATTGATTGAGCGTAGGCTGTATTGTTGATAGCGTCGTTGTGAACGGAAATCGGCCACAGTATTGGTGACAAAGTCGCAAAAATCGCTGATGCTCGCCTGCGAGCGCATTCCAGGTGAATTCACGTTGCTGCTTTGTGCAGATGAATGTGTTGGTGATTCGCTATTGCCATCATCAATCGTATCAACCGAATATGTTGTCCTTGGTGTGTCAGGTCTGTTGTTGTTGCTACTATCTAATGCTACATTGCTTCCGCTGTGAACTTGAAGTTCTGATCGCGAAAAGAAACTGCTAAGGCTTGTACACGATGTCGATCCATATGAATGTACTGAGCCTGGTTGTGGCACTGCTGATCCTCCTGTTGCCACAGTAATGTTGCTGTTATTGTTGCTGGCGCTTGACGACAAGTTGAACGATGACACGAACAGTTCTTCAACGGCACTGCTGGATGTCTGGCTTTCTTCGTACTCGTCTTTGGATTTTTTTACGGCACCTCTCAGTTTGTCCAGCCAAATTTGCTTTTCTGTCTCACACATAGCGCCAAATTCAATAGATCGGGTTTCACTAAATAACAGCCAAGAATGCGGAAGACTGGCTAGGGTTGCAGAGTCAGATAATTATACTAGTAGTCAAGTACTGAAAACGTGATAGTTCTGTGGTTAAACGTACGCTGCTCGTTTGGAAGTTCTCGCACCTCAAAAGTGCGCAGGGGAAACCAATGGCGTGGCTCATATCGATCGTGTCGTTTTCCTTTGGCGATAATCATGTACGAGTTGAATAGTGCACATCCAAAGCGTTTTACTTTGGTACCTTCGGATAATATCCGAATATCCAATGTGCCAATCAATACGCATGATCCAAGAACACCGTAAAAGCGTCTAGAAGCAGCCTATATAACCCATATACACACACCTTCACTTTAGCATTTGACTATATGTGCTGATATTTTAATCATACATTCACCCAATCCGTATCCAGCCGGTTCAGGAAAAGCTTAGTTTTGCGTCGAGCCTCCATGCGTGATTTCTCAGAGTTAAGCCGCAAGGCGACCTCGTGCATAACGTTCAACGCCATCATCAGCGACTCATGTTCAGCAGAGTCTGAGGGAACAGTTTTGCTCATCGACTCTAGTATCAGTTTGTATTTCAAAAGTCGTTGGACAGGCTAAAGAAAAAAAGGTAGCGGTTTAATTTGAAAACTCTATTTCGGCACCACAAGAAGCTAAATTTTTATTACCATAATCATATAATCTTCGAACATACGCCGACCGTTCATTTCATCTGTGGATCTTTTAAATTTGTTGAGTTTGTCAAGCGTTTGTTGATACGCCATGTTGTTTGACATCAGCTCCTTGTGGACGTCGGTTGCCTTGTCTTGATAAATGCAGTAATCGATGTACACATCAAATTTCTCAGCCTATAAATTTGCATAATAGTTAGTAAAACTGGCCTAAAAAAGTTCTTCTTTCGTGACAAACACGTACCCAAATGCAGAACTGACGAGCAATGCGCATCAAACGCTGATCAATTTGATCGTCCTGGCAATGTTCACTCTGGATGGCCGATACCAACGTCTCTGAAAACTGCGTTTGAAATGTCAAAATTTGACTGCAATTGCGAAAGAGTCCTTCTTTGAAACGATCCGGAACACTGTTGATATCAGCAATGCCGCGAAAAAAGTGCTACAATCCACCCCACCCATAGAATCAGCAACAGCAACGACAAGAAAGATGGGTTTCTATATTTAAGATAATCCTGGAGGAATGAGTTGAAAACTCACGTTGACAAGTGAGTTCAAATCTTTGCAATAGCTGACTTCGGTGTCCAGCAATTCTTGGATCGCACCTTGACGCCTGCGCAAGTGTCGCTCGGCCAACGTTGTGGTCGGCTTCTCCGAATCAGTGCCTTGATAATTGGGTTCAAGAGAAGGCTGGTAAGAGCCTTCTTGATCCTTTTCCTCCACAGCACGTTTAAGAAAAACGTCATCTGCTAAAGGAGACGTAAGCGAATTCGGAGCGAGAGGCGATACGATCACATCAGTTTTGGCGTCGTCTTCATTATGGCTGTTTCCTTGGTAATCATCATTGTTGCTATCACCATGACGAGATTTGTCATTGTTTTCAAATGACAGGATACGGTCGATAATTGCGTGAATGATACGAGTGTCGACACGATGGATCAAATCTCTTCCAAGTGCTTTTGCTGCTCCTGTTCTTGGTGACGACTGATGTTCGGAAGTTATTTTACTGTTCTTTATGGTGGAACGAGGAGGAGAGGACGAGGCAACAGAAGCGGCCGTATGCTTCTTTGCCGCCTTTGCAGCAGCCACCACAGCAGCTGTTGCTGCAGAAATTTCAGCTTTGCGTTGTCTCATGCGTTGTTGCACCAAATCTTCGCTGACCAAAGACAGCGAGCTGTATCTGGCTTGATGATACAAGGTGCCCAGAGACATAGATGATGAGGATGATAGCCCATTGCGAGTGGTAACAAACGAATCCCCATCATCGGACGATAGTGTTGTCGCTAGCGAAATGTTACTTGCAGTTTTAGCATCCAAAGAATCTAAAGATGGATCGGCCTGTGCCTGATACGCTAATGGAGTTGGAGCGGGCGCTGGAGCTGATACTGGCGTAGATACTGTTGTTGATGGTTCATTTATCGTTGCTGTCGTTGTTGAGATACGCTGCTGCTGTTGTTGTTGTTGTTGATTCAATAATATTGAAGCTGATGAAATCGATGCGGCGGGACTTTTTTGCGGATTGCAAGGTGGATCTGAAGCATTACACAGCTCCTTGGTCATAAGGATGGAAGAAAATATAAAACGAACGGATGGACAAAAAAGAGTAGTTGTAGTAGTCAAATAGCTTAAAGAAAGAACGAGAGAACAGAATGGAATAAAGAGACAAAAGAAAAAGAACGAGCTTCAGTTCCAAGGTTTCAAAGCGTGTGTATACGAAAAAGCTGGCATGTCGGAAACTTATTAAGTTGATCTTTTTTACCCAGGAGCACGGAGAGCTTCTTTTCTTATCGCAAAAAGCAAAAGTAACAACATATTACTTTACAGTGATGCTACGTATCAACAACCAGGAATAACTCACTATGTTTTATAGAGGGGAAAATGATTGCATTGACGTGTGGATCAGAGAAAGAAGAACCATCATAGACTTTTCTCTTTATTGACCAAGCTTGTTCAATATCCGTGGGTTAGCAAGTAAAGTTGTACATTGGTTGTAATTACAAGCACTAGTTCCTCATTTGGAGAAAACAGTCTTCGAAAGATCATCTGTCAGCTGTTGGCACTGGCAGCATGCACAATGTTTCTCTGTAGGACTACCGATTTTTTGCCATACCGTCTAAACACCATCAGCAGGAGTATCTACTCTTTTTACTAGATGTTGAGCCAGCTCTCGTCGTTAGCATTTGCTTACTGTAAAACCGATCCAAATTTTTAGGGAAAAAAGAGTAATAGTATCATCATTGTATTCCACTCCTAAAAGAGCTACATTGCTATGTTAAATAAGTAGTATATTAAGCGTTTCTACATACCTATATCTACAGCCGCAACATTTACTGTATGTTACGTTGCGCTTAAATGATATGTATTCACTAACTTTTTTTGAAATATAGTGTTTGGAACCATGTATTATTACTACAACTGAGAAAGTTTTTGGTTCGACTGGAAAGTGGTATGAGCAAGTCAAGTGAAAATTAGGGAGGTTAATGCGTGTACATTTTATTTTGACTACATGGGCAAGCTATCATACATACTGGTTTTTTCCAAATTATTTGCGCCAAGTAGGGTTGTCTGGGGAATATATTTGCGCCAGCCATTTTGCAGTTTTGCGTATCAACTTTTATTTTATTAACAACAAAGGAAATACAACAGATTCCTATAAGACTTTTATTTTGTAGGCAAGCATCAATAAATGACTTCGAATAATTACTCCATCCAACACAGTAATCCTTAGTTACTCGTTTAATGCCTTCCGTTATTCTCGAGGTCAATTGATCTTTCTCACTCAATTTGTCACTTCGAACACCTATTATATAAAATACTAACTCAAGAACAGTAAGCCTCACCTTCGACCAGAATTCTTCTAACCACTTTGTTCGAGTTATAAAAATAGATAAGCAGAGCTCAAATACTTTCACGCAGTAATTTCTACTTGGCACGAGAAAATCAGTATGAAGGCACGTAAACCAGTACGGAAATTTCCAAAATGTAATATAGAATTTTTATCACCAACACACTACCTTTCATCACAAAAAGCACATTATTATTTCTAATCTTCTACTGGCATTTACTCATTCAACATGTATTTCTAATTTTTGTTTTTTATTTTTATTTCAGATATTGTAACGTAAACGTTGCGCCGTGTGCTATGCATATTCAGAAACGTATTGATCGACTGCCTTAAACCTTTTTTTTTCTCATTGATACTTTGCATATCTATTTAATCGATTCATTTTCTATTATTAGGATAACATGTAGTGGCAATAATGATAGTAGTAGACAATATACAGGCTTAATTATGTTTGATGTAAAATAAACAATAAAATTGTATATGAGAGTACATTATATATAACTAATCTAAAGGGGTATGGGAAAGCACTATTCAAACCTAACAAAAAAATCAGACTAACAAATACATGATAAATCGTGACCTCTGAGTAGAAAATGAAAAAAGAAGAGTATTAATCACAAAAACTAGGATACAGCCATTTAAAGATAAAGACAGAGAAAAACAAACCAAAAGATACAGAAAATACACGCAGATGATGCTGAGTGAGTAGACCTATTGCTTCCACACCATCCACTTGATGAATGCTGAGTGACTGAAGGGACGTAGCCTCCAATTTTCCACATTCACCCACAGATAAACTACGCAGATGATGCTGAGTGAGTAGACCTATTGCTTCCACACCACCTACTCGCAGAATGAATGCTGAGTGACTGGAGGGACGTAGCCTCCAATTTTCCACATCCACCCACTCCAAGAAAAAATCATGCAAAGAAAGGAAAGAAATCCAGTAGTAAGGTAAAGCAACAAGTAGAGATCCTAACATTCAAATCCACATGCAATCAACTCTTTCATCCCGCTCAGCCACCACCTCCAATTAATTTCAAACGCAACCGGGAAGAATAAAGGGGATGCATACTATATACTGCATACTATATGATTCCATGCGATCTATAAATACACTACTTCTCATGTTTTACTTACCGCCATATTAATATAACAACTTGAAATAAAAATATAATGGTTAGAATACTAGACAGCAAGATTCAAATGGAGCTTGATAGATGATGGGCAATAGTGAAAAGCGATACTATAAGATAATGGCAATCAGTTATATATAGTGAAAAAAGCAGAGCATAAATGAAAGGCCATCTTACAATTTGTGGTCGTTAGTGGTAACAGATCTTTATAATTACCGAAGTATTGAGTAATTAAGTGACAGTCAGAATTTAGAATATTATAGTATGATAGAGCAAGACGATACAAGCACGCTTACCAATTGAACGGGGATTACCGACAGACAGTCAAGCAGTGGTGGTATGGAAGTAGTAAGCAAGGGATACCTTGCAGCTTGCACCGAGAGACGCGTAATCTCTATCTATGTTACGCAACTCTACGGAAGGAAGCCGAGCATGGGAGTTAGCAACATGTGCGCTTCAAGTAGTTTTTAGCAACAAAATAAGCATATAAAGCAGCAAACCGTGATGAAAGGAAATGGCTCACCAGAGCATAAAGATACTTCATACGAAGTGAGAGAGATGCCCACAAGTATTGAACGTAAAAATTCAAGTTAGTTTGACACTGCTTAATAAACGTTCATATAAGAGTGAGTCAATGCGGTCATGGACAAAGGCATTAATAGTATATCACTTAATAAGAACACACTACAACGAATTTGCTTTACCTTTAAAAAAATGACGGCCGCAAATCAAGAGTAAATGCAAGCAGGAAGTAGAATCAGAAGGAAACATAAAACGGAAAGAAAGAGTGTTTTTAATTGCTCATCGTCTTCAGATCTAATAATTTATGTGGACCGGATCCCGATTTTTTTTAATTTGGTACTAGCAATAACATTATGATACCTCAAATGTCAATATCATGACCATTAACGTATACAAAAACCGTATCCACAATCGTAGTATATATACCTTGTGGATTAGGAAGGGAAGGTCCGAGCAGACGACATTGCCATCATTTTTGATGAAAATTACTACTTCTTTTTACTTTATCTTAAAAAGCGCTTTACATTTTGAAATGCGATGCTTAAAAATACTCTTGCTGTACATTTAACTACTAAAACATAGTGGCGGTTTGTGGTTTCAGATTAATCATCATATAAAGTGTTGATGTTGCTGGTCGATTTTGAAAAGAGCTCTGAAGGTTTGAGAGTACACCCGTGAACATTAAGGAGATTGCTTTTTTCGCACTGAGTGTTTGTCTTTTACTAGTGCGCTGACTATTTAAAAAAAAATTGAGTGGATATCAAGTAATGATACCCTAATGATACCCTAATGATACTAGGAGTATCAAAAAAATGTTGATACCTTATTAATACCTTGTTGAGATCCGTTATTATGATATCTGAGTTACCAAAATTTGATACCTTATTGATATACCTTATTTTTTGCAGTGTCAGCAGATATTCACTGGTTGAATATTAGTTGAATATCGCGAATATTCAACGTCGAATATCAGTTGAATATTCGTTTGTGTTTTCAGTGAATACCAGTTGAATACTAGTCAGCCATTTTTAAACGTTTAACACACGCCGTTTTTTACCAGTGTTCTTTTCTTTCTTTGCATGATTTTTTCTTGGCGTGGGTGGATGTGGAAAATTGGAGGCTACGTCCCTTCAGTCGCTCAGCATTCATTCTGCGAGTGGGTAGTGTGGAAGCAATAGGTCTACTCACTCAGCATCATCTGCGTAGTTTATCTGTGGGTGAATGTGGAGAATTGGAGGCTACGTCCCTTCAGTCGCTCAGCATTCATCAAGTGGGTGGTGTGGAAGCAATAGGTCTACTCCCTCAGCATCATCTGCGTGTATTTTCTGTATCTTTTTTTTGTTTGCCCTTTATTTTTGATTGGCGCAAACTTATTCCTACTTGGCGCACACAATTTGGAAAAAACCAGTAGATACTTCCGGGCCCTTCACACTTTAAAATTAAGCACTTCCCAAACAAAATAACGAATGCAACGGTGTAGACTATGGGTAAAACTTGAAGCTTAAAGAAACACTCCAGCAACATAATTCATCGTCGTTAGCTTTGAGAAAAAAGCGAGGGGTATGTATCTTCCCTTCTGATTCCGTCAAAAGGCTTCTTATCTATTCAAGAAGCAATAATAGGCTACAGATCCCGGATTTGGTCAAAGGTTGTGCTACCGATAGTCCTAAGATATCATTCTTATATACAAGTCTTTGTCAACACTCTCGCTCTCATTAAAATTAGCAGCACTTAGCTAATCCCCCCTTCTCTCCGATATACACGGAATAAAGCCTTATAAGAAGCATGGAGTCAACTTATAAGCCTTGTTAGAGAGAAAGATTTCGGGAAGAGATCAAGGTTTTGGGAAAAGCACAGCCAGAACAATCCTGATTGGCTGGGTCTAGCCCGCCGCGAGACTGACGTCGCCTGCTCAAATCTGGCTTGCTCAAAAATTAAACGGGGCAACAATAATAAAACCTCTTTGCAACTACATACAAAATGGCAGCAGTCTTTGGTGTCTCCGCATTCGCAGAAACCACCCGTTCGTCTAAAACGGCAGCTGAGGCTACTCGACGCGCTCTTTCTCTCTACAGAAAGTTTCAGAAATCGGTAAGGCTCGGCATGACTTTTCAGTAAAATTTGAAAAATTGTGAGGAGGTGCGTTGGGGAGAGAGGCCTAGTTGATTGTTGGATAATGATAAAAGGGAGGCGTGTCTCTCTTTTTTTGAGTTTCTCTTTTTCTCCTAATTGAGCCACCCGAGAACCCCACCCTGACACACACACACACACACACGCACGTACGCGCAAACTTTTCCTCAAAGCTCTTGGCAACTGAACTGGAAGAAAAGAAAGAGCACAACGCGGGTGTGGGGCGGGTACAACCACGATTAAGGAGATTTAGAAAGAGTTGGCCAAAGAGTTATTCTACGGGGGATGCTATGTATGGGGAGTAATGAAATAGGATGCTCAGAAAAGCTAATCATTTATACTTTCTAAACCAACACTATCACCATTACCACCACTACAACAACTCCTAAACGTTATGTACACGAAAAATAAAGGTCCCCGAAATCCAGAAACTGCACGAATTGGATATCCCCACCGCCGCTTTGCGTGCCAAGATTCGTGAAGAATTCGAAAAAAACCGTCATGTCAAAGATCTCCAAATCCGTGATGTGTTGATCTCGAAGGGCCAAATGGAATATCAAGAAACCATCAACGTGTGGAAGCAGCAAACGCATATCTACCGTTACTTTGCAGAGGAAGAAGCAACACCAAAGCCAACTACGTTCTTAGACAAGTTCTATGAAGGTCGCTCATCGTAATTATTATTAGCGTATACACACAACAGCAATAATATGAGCAGTAGCAGCAGCAAGGATCTACAAGCCAAACTACAACAACAAATACAACGCACTTTTTTTAGAAGCAATGACGATATCACAAAAAAAGCGGCTTTAGACGACGATTGATATTCTCCCGAAGAATAGGAGACGGGAGGATGGGGTTCATGGTGTGGTGTGTGGGGGAGGGAGGGAGGGAGGGAGGGAGGGAGGGAAAGGTTATGGTCTGTTTTGTGGGCATTCCAGATATTGGAACTGAAGCATGTACGCCATTGGAAAGTATCTGTGTTGGTGCTCTGTTTTCGCAAAGAAACGTGTATTCTCCGTCAGGGAAGGAGTTGTAGTTGGGTTTAAGGGCTTTTTCTTTTTCTGAGAGTATGGAAGGCTTCTATCGATCTATCCCAGAACCTTTGCGTGCCATGTCTTTGAAATCACCCTGGGGTTACAAAGGGGGAAGAAGAGTGGAGCGAGAGGGAAATGCTCTAATGATGGGGTCCGAGAGCCCAGTCCAGCAACAGAGAGAAAGAGCCATCCCAGTTTACACTCTATTCTGCTCTACGTTGTTCCCTTTTTTTTATTTATTTATTTTCTTTTATATAATTAGTTTCTTGCTCGGCTTCCCTTTAATATCCTTCTCTTCTTCCTACCTTCCTTGCTTCCTACTTTGCTCCTCTTACTCAGACTTCTTCTTCTTCTACCTCCTCACCCTTCTCGTTGATATGGCGCCCATTATCCACGGTCAGCATGAATCCCGCTTGTCGTTCCACGGCAACAACTTGTGGACCGAGTTGTGGGCGGATATAATCAATGCCATTCTACCAATTCCTACGCAATCCACAATGTCAGGTCCACGATCACGGAAAATGATACATAATAGAATTGAACCACTGGATAGCGGTGTATTGGTTCACCATCATAACCATAACCATATGCAACAAGAATGCATGTTTGACGAGTCGTCGAAATTCCAAACGGAATACGTATCGTTTCCTAGACTCGCAGAAGAAGATCTAATACAAGGCGGCGAAGATGACGATCAAGAAGAACGAGGAGGTGGCAGAGGTCTGAACGAACGCAGTGCGATTCAATCCCAGACTAGCAACAATATCATGAATGCCAGTCGAACACAACGACCACGACAAGAAGAGCTGCAGGAACAGCAAAAGAGGACTGTTGTTAACACTATCACCCAAAGCCAAATCAGTGATGGGGGTTCTCGAAGAAGTCTCTTGGGCAGTTCGTGGATGTTTTGAATCTTCTTTTTGCCACGAACAATGCAAGTCTTAAAAAGCAGAAACAAGCCAGCCACCACTACTTTTGTATATACACATATATTTTCTTTACAACTAGTTAAGCCCTTAAGCTCATACTCAGAGAGAAAGAGAAAGAGCCTGCATGTTTGAAATTCTTTACTCTTTCTACGTTATTCTGTTTATGTTGCATGATTAATGGGTTATACGTAATAACATTTTCTGCTGGGCAGAAACATTTCACTTTATTAAAATAATGCTAATTGATGTTGTTGTGCTAAATACAAGAGTGGACCATGTCATGATGGGATAATAAGGATAAGGTTTCAGTGGGAGTGTTAGGTGAGGGGGAGTGGGACGCGGTAGAGAAGAAAATTAGTGATTGTGGGCAGCGGTTGCACCTGGAGTAAGTGTTGAAAGGGAGCATGGTGAGGGAAAAGGGAACTCGGCCCAACTGAATGTATATGGACATGTGGACGGCCAAACACATCCACAACCTCTACACAGATACAGGCATATATACATGCTACGCACTTGGCGCATTAAGTAATTAATGTGAGTGCTATGTGTGTGTCCTTCAAATGCGTATGCGTTTAAAAAGAAGAAAAACATGCAGTAACTGGTAAATAAATAAAAAGCAGCAGCTGTTGCGTCAGAGTGCATCGACCGCAACCATGTCCCAGCCCGCATTGACCCTGGAGAGGCCTTTGATTGTCATTAGGCACTCAGTGAGCTCGTTTTGATCCAGCGAGAGCTTCAAGTCGTCGCGGCAGATAACTTCCAACGACTCGATCCAGGGGTATAGCAGTTTGTTGGTCAAGAGGGGCCTGACAAAGGAGAAGTGGTCAGCGTGCTCGAGGTGGATTGTAAGGTGCTTGAGACGAGGAAGTGCCTGTCGTAATTGGTGTGCATTTAGACTTGCTGCAGCCAAGATCGTCAGGGACTCGAGCTGTGGCAAGTCACTTGGCAGCCAGTCAAGCGGACATGAAGGCAAATCGATTTTTGTCAAGGTTTGTCGTGATCTCGTAAGCCATTCGCGGACAGATGATCCAAGGCATGGCGGAAGGGCTGCGAAACAATTATCAGCATGATTGTTGTCTTCGCTGCTGGTGTCTTGACCGTCTTGGTCGCCGTTATCACCATTATGATTGGCAGCGTCGCGGAGAGTAATGCTTCGTGTCAATCCTTCGTAGCATAGCAGGGCATTTTCTAGTACTGGCATATGCATGGCAGACGGTACATAGATATTGATGTCTGTCAAATCATGCTCGTCCTTCTTCTGCTGCCGCTCGAATAGATTCTTCAACAGCTCAATGGCTGAAGCAGACGGTGTCTGTTCTATAGCCATGGTGACACAGGTGGTGTGAAATGTTTCGGTGCTACGTCGTGCCAGTGTCATGGCAAGGGTCTTTGTGTAGTCGTGTGACGACCGATCAAGGATGACATTCACAGGTCCTGACCAGATGCTCCGGTCAGAAGCGAGTGCATTTAGCCGACGACAAGTGCTGCAGGAAGAAAGAATGAGTAAATCACATCATACTAGTTTAGATTGAGACAATAGCTAGAAAAGCTATATCTAAAGTACGCCATTTTCAAATTACCTTGCCGTTGAAACTAAATCCATGTGGTTGTCATCACTGAGGTATTTAAGGATGCAGATAAGCAACTCGTTCGGAAGAGAAAGGAGCATCGTGAAGCTGTTGCTGGTTGTTGTTGGTTTGGAGAGAAAGAGGAAATGACGATAAAAGAAGTGACAATGATTGGAATTTTATATTCTAGAGAAAGAAGAGAAAGAAAGAAACAAAAATAGGAGAATTGGGGGAGGCGCTCCTTAACATCATAGCTGACATCGCACCCATCAAAAAGAAGAAACCAAAGAGCGACGATCCCCGTCTTGATTATAATGACCAGTGGTATGGTCGATTGGTGTATGGCGCAGGTGTTTGTGCCTGACGTAAACAAGGAACGAAAAGGTTTGATTCGGTTGTTTCTATCGGTAGTCGAACCGTCTAATTCTTTATGGCGATGTCCCCTCCTCTCACTTCCCCCCCCCCACCCCCAAATTTCTGCATCGGTCACGACGAAATCCGCATTTCATTTCCTTCTTTTGGATGACCGAAATTGAACGATGGACAAGAAGGCTTAATACTAATAATGATGATGATGATAATTTAACCCCATGACAACACCCATAACTACTAGATACTATTATCCGGTGATGAGTATCCTGGGCAATTCGTGTCTGACCTGCACAGACGTACGAGCACAAAAAATCCAGGTGGCTCCTTCCTTCCTTCCTTGGGTCTTGCCCCAATAGAGGAAATGATTATACGTGAACAAGCTGCTGGCTACGCAAAATAATGAACGTTTGTGCCCCATCAATATTAGGGTTTCTATTTTTCATGATGAAAGGAGAAAAGAAGGGGGCGTAGAACCTTTTGTATCTCCCAAATAACAATAAAGCCGCTTGTACCACAACCGATCTGCTCAAATAACAAAGAGCCTCTTTTTCTTGTGATGAGTCAGGCACTCTTTTAGCTGAACAGAGTTGTAGTAACATGTAGCTAACGGCAACAACATCCGACTGTTTATATTCTGCGTGCAGTAAATGGATTGTTGATATCCTCCGTTTATATTTTCGCTCGAAAATGGAAAAGCTCGGATACAGTGAAAACAGTAATAAACTGACGGACGGGGTCTGCTTATCAATCGATGGACGGGCGTGTGGTAAAAGAGCAGTGCGTATATGTATTATATCGAAACTTTCCCTATTCTAGAATTGCTTATTCTGCTAACATTACTATCATTGATGTTCGTCACTCTTATTAACATGTTGCATCAGTGACGCAGCAAGAAGAATTGTATGAGCTGATGACATGTTGGAGGACGTTTTATGCAATGTTTCCAAAAGCATTCGATCGGACCGGTATTTCCGTTCGAATATCATTTTATTACACAGCAGCATTCATCATCATAGTCACCGACAGTTATTCCGCATGGTCCTTCGAAAACTACAAGTGTGCATACGCCAAGAAGATAAAAAGCCAGACAGAGGAAAGAGAAAAATTTACATACAGCTCATATTATGTGCATACGCGCACACTCCACCTTAGCAGCCATCGTCAGTCATCTTCATATTGAACGAACGAAAGAAAAAGGTCATACGGCCCTGCTTTTTATTGCTAGTAGGCTACGATTATTTTCCACTCATACAATGGTAATCAGCCACCACCAGGTTAAAACAGCAATGATGATACAAGCTTCTCATTTTGCTGTCATTATTGCCGCCTTTAACATCAACTGCTCTGAGCAGTATAAATCAGTACAAGCATTGTTGCACAGATCTCAAATCATAACAATGATTTTGTAGACCTAATCCCGTCGCATTGACGTCATAGATTCAAGAAATCTTGTTAGCATTGGAATCATGTTGTATACTGTAGTAGGCATAAATGCTACCTAATACTAGTTTGTTTCATTATCATTGTACATTACCATCTTCCATTGATGGTAAGCATTTTTTTATGTATGTATATACGTGGCTTTGTTGCCAAATCACAAACCCCCAAGCCAAGAAGCGCACAGCACAACAACAAAAAACAAAAACAAATCTATTTTGTAAAACACGCACCAAAACTGCAAGTTTTGCCCGTGAAGCATGCTATGCAGCAGCAGCAACAACACCAGAAGCAGGGAGAAGTGGATCAGGGTGCCGCGTGACATGTTTATGTGGCGAGCGAAGTTCAGATAACCTCCGGTGCCGGTAAACTGGGTATTATATTATGGACAAAACGTATACAAGTTGTCGTAAACAAAAAATCTGTAATCGCCGCTAACTTGCTTTGGTCTTGTGCCGTTTATATTCTGTCAGTGGTGGCGTTTTCCGAACACTTAACTCGTTACACATTATTTTCTTAAGTGTCCAAACACGTAAATAATGGTTTGGCCTTTTTGCCAGAATCCCAGACCCACCAGAAATTGCAGAATGATGTGGGGTTAGTACATTAGCCTCTTTCTTTTATTATATCCATTTATAACAGATAACAATTGCAGCTGCTCGATTTTCTGGATGATTTTCACTGTGCGTGTGATGGGTGCAGGATAAAGGAGTCAAAAAAGATGGTGTAAAAAAACCACCCTGTATTTCTAAAGCCACAGTCGCATGTAAATAATGTATTAGTTCTACGCTTGTATAATTAAAATAGATACAGTATGCACATTTTGCTACAGCATATGCACAGTGCCACACTTCTGTTCTGTGTCTTGTCTTTCTTGATGAACCCTCTTATCGAAATGCTTTTTTTCTGTTATGGTGGATGTATATTGACCAAGCTGAATAGTATCATATATGTAATAATTGAGACTCGAACTACCTTTCTGCAAATTGTGTACATCTATACTTCTTCAGCATATATTTCTATTATCGTAGAAGCTTGACAGACCGGCCACTGTACACACATTGTTATGTACCGCATGTAAAATACGTTATCCATATCTCTGTGATATTCCTTCTTTCGGATTTCCATAAACCTTATTTTTCTTCCTCTTTACGCCAACGATGATACAAATAATACAGCAAAAAGTCTACCTTTGCCAGTCTCAAGATAAGGTATAAATACACTCAAAGGTTACACTCACTTGCACACACACATAAATATGCGAGAGAATCTCATGTGTATTCTTACTTTAAAATATTCCTTTCGCTGTTTCTCTTCTTCATCCTCCTAATCTATTACTACTACTGACATCATTGGTCAAAGCGTGACGCATGTCGCGTCATAGCGAGAAAGACAACCCATAGAAATCAATCACAATTAGGGCACGTAAAAAGGACAAAGAATGGAGTGCGCGCCGAGACAAGTCATTACATGACACTGCTTGTCCTTAATTTATTATTAAAGCGTTAGAATTGGTGCATCACAGACATATGCTTTATGGGACTTACTACGGACACATTATACCGACGCACAGCTGTTCTTATTGCTCCACTTGTATTATTGCAGTGATAGAGATGTACGTCCAATGCAGTAATTTTACATATTGCACAATTATACCTGTTTACATTAGATGTAAAATACACTCCTGGTCAATATTCGGAAGCGACGTTTTGCTCGTGGAGGAGTTCAGGAGAGCAAGGGTGACTTTGTTCATGATAATCATTCCATGTAGAAGCAGATAGATACGACAGATAAATATGCAAACATGCTTTTCGGATATCTGTTGGTGATTCAACGAAAAATGCGTATCCATTTGAAACATAGTTCAACTCTTATGAATCCAAGTGAGTATTTACATATCAAATGATGCTGAAAATAACAGCACAAAGTAAACGAAGGAGTATGCTATAAATGAGCAAGTGTGATTAGGCACAGCTATCCGTGCATACTGTAAGGCGCTTACGTTCATGAGCAGCTGTCCCGGACACATCTTATTTGTGCGGCAATGAAGCATGTTATATAATATTATCATATGTGTGCGACAGATGTACGCACGACAATCACCAGTTCTAATCACACCCGTCTGCTGATTCTCGTTATCAGCGTTCTTCTCAAGATGCCAATTCTCTTTTAATATTTCAAAGAAGCAAAATTATAGAAATAATTATAACATCAATTCTACTACTGTACTGCTGAAGCTACTGTATGCTCTGCACATTGAGTTCACTGTCCAAACGACGCCTAGGAAAAACAGGACCGGAATAAATAGCTAGGATAAAATGACAGCAGTAGCTTCCAATCCATACTTATAAGATGGAAGAAATGAAAATGCAACTTAATTTCCGTTGGCTTACCAGCAGATATGCAAATAAGCTTGTTTGCATATGTGCCTGTCATCATGAATTTGCTGCTCCATTCAAGGATCACCATCAAAGTCTCTCTTGCTCGTCATATCTAATGTAAGTAAATCCAATTATGCAATATGTAGAGCTATCATTTGGGGGCACACATTCTTAACGCTGCAATACATAACAGAGGTGGAGCAACTGGAACCGGTGTGCGTCGGCACAATGTGTCTAAAGTAGATCCCTTCTTGACGAATTATTAAATAAAGGGAAGGAGCTGCGAAGAGAGCATACCCAGATTCTGCATTACGGGTCTTTACGTCATAGGTTATCATTTATGTGCTACCCGGTCTGGTCTGAAGACTTAGACTCTTCAACCTTTTTACTTCAAACAATGTTTCGAGATTACATTGCTATATTGCCTCAGCTTGTCCCAGTTAATAATGATAAGAAGCAGTAACATAGTTACTTGATTGGATGGCTGGTGTGCTAACTTTTCTTTCCTACCAATTAATTTAGTGCTAATTACATAGTTAGCACCGACACCATAGCAATACATTAATCCATCTTCAAAGCGTCTTGTCTGATCAATATTTCATCGGTTCGGACGAAATGTGGGCGTACAGTATCTCAGATACGTGTATGCGCGGTCATTGAAAATTGATGAAACACCTAGAGTAAGTTCGCCTTCAACCCCTTCACTGTAACGTGTTCAAGTCTCTTGTTTTCTCGGGTCCTATATTTTACTTTTCATTCCAAACCCACCGAACGAGCTTCAACATGAAAGCACCAGTGAAATTAAGCGGCCTCGTTCTTAGTATACTCTCTGCTGGCACCACCGTGATGGGTAAATTTCAAAGCACCGTGCCCCCTTTTCTTTCTTTCTTTGGCCAGTTTTCCCCGTCAGTTTACGTAAATTCAAAAAAGAAGGTGGAAAAGCATAACTCATGACGACAAAACCGTGTTATTTTTTCTTTCTGAAATAGCACGGTCCGCCGTGTACATGGCGTCCAGCAATGACCAACCTTTGGGACCCATTGACAAACCCACAATTTCTTTGGATGCTTATTCCGTGGTCATGTCACAATTGACTGATACTGCTGACACACACCCCGTTATGCAATGGAAAGATGCGTACCAACAACAAACATTCGAATCTGTGCGTGGTGTATGGAACAACCGCGATGCATGGCTATGCCATGAACAAGATGACGTGTTTGAACCCAAGCTTGATAGTATCTTGTATGTTATCGTATCTGGCGTCGAGCAACCTGAAGGTAACAAAAAAATTGCTTTTGTTTTTGACGTTTTATATTATACCGTATAACAGAAAAAGTTATATGGCAACCTCCTCCAACAACGGCAACGGTTCTATGAATGGAATGGACTACGAATAACGAAGTAAAACCGGCATTGAATGGTTAAATGAACGATGTATTCTTAACATGATTAATCATAGCCATCTTGCCTGATCCCGCATTCTATGTATCTGAGAATCATGCTCATGCGTTCAAGGATGTGGCCAAGGATAACGTCGAATCTGTCTCTGCTAGCGGCCGATCTGCTACAGCACTCAAGCACGCTTCATCATCATCATCTGAAGAAGAACTTATTGAACAATTCAAAGAAGCGTTTGGCGATGTATTTGATTTGGACGAAAAGGTAAAAATAAGAAGACACCATCAACAAGTAGAATCTGCTACAAGATAGGAAACGTCTCAAATCATAAAAACAACAATTAGGCAGACAAGTCGTTTGCTACCGAAGTCATGCATTTGAAGAGCATCGTTGCTGATGCCAAATCAAACGCTTTCTCCACGATCCGTGTTAGAGGATTAAAGGTACAAATACGTTTGAAACGACGAAAAGAAAAGGGAGAGGATGCCTGGTGGAGTGATAATGAATCTGACATAGTCTTGTTTTCGGGTAGACTTTGGCAAAGGAATATGGTGTAAAGTCGACGCAATATACCGAGGGTGAGCGTATCCTGAATGAACTCTTCCAAAAGGTAATGCTGGTTTAGAGATCCTTGAGAAGCACGAGTGGGGTGTAGGGAGGCGATTCCTATATGAACTTGTGTTAACGTAAAAAAAAACCCACCTTGGGTTCAAAGACCGTGATACCCGAATTCCTTGAAGGCGAGAAGCGACGTGCGCTTGTGTCTGTTGTTCTTACTCCTGCCAAGCATGCTGTTTTCCGCAAGCGTGCTCTTCCCGAAACTGATGTCTGCTACAAGACCGAGGACGACTGCATCAACGGCACCTCGGGCTGCACGGGCCGTGGATCGTGTGTTGCTGACAGCAACGATTGCTATTCGTGCCAGTGCAAGGCTGCTTCTTTCCAGGGCGAAGCATGCGAGGTTGAGAATGTGGTTGCCGACTTCCAGCTGTTGTTCTGGACAGGCGTCGCCCTGATCATCTTGACGACGGGCTCGCTGATGTTTGTTTACCAGAGCGGCGGAGGCTCGGACAGTGAGGGTGTCATGATGGTGCCTCAGTCCTTGCCAAAGCAGGACTAGAAAAGATTAAAGTGCACACGACTGATGTGGTCTATGTACACAGTACTGTATTATCCAGAGACAAGAAAAAAAAAGTGTGTTATCTGAATTAAAGTTGCTCCCTTCTGTTATACCATATCCAATCAAATGCCGTGGGATTGCGTGAGTCCGCTGGGTCCAGTCGTCTTCCCGGGACGTTTGTTTGGTGGCAGTGACAGCTACTGCCACAGCAAAACGGAATATAAAAGAAAACGATAACACAGTGTTATCTTCCTTTTTTTATTATGTTTTTGTTTGATTCTAAGAAATTGCACACACTTTGTCTAGATGATTGTTAAGGCTTTTTTTTCCCTCAGCGATATTTGATACGCAGGTTACACACATTGAGGAGAAAAAAGAGAAATATGATGTTCACCCCACTATGTTTAATGGGTATGGAAAAAAGGGTCGAGATAATAAAGAAGAGAGAGAGAGGAAGAGAGTTTTGGCTTTAAGCATGGCTTAAATTATATTTACAGCTTGTTGATGACAGCGGCAGTGAAGTCCTTGAGGCTGCTGTTACCACCCATATCAACAGTTCTCGCCTATACCATCAGCCGTCCACCCCAAAAAAGAAAAGAAAGACGCGCCAAATAACGCATAGTGTCACACGCGGGAAAAAAAGTCAGAAAAAAAATTATGGTTTCAAATATAAAGAAAAAGAGAGACTTACGGTGTTGGACTGGATGGTGTCGTAGACAGCACTGGAGATTCTGTTGGCATACTCATCCAAGTTGAGGTGTCTCAACATCATGACGGACGAGAGAAGCATGGCAGTGGGGTTGGCAGCGTTCTTGTTCTGCAAGTCAAGACCCACGTGGCGACAGCCCTGTTGACATAATCATCCCAAAATTATAAACAAGGGTCGGTTTTAGTCCTGGCTTAAACTTTCTACTCCCTTCCCCCATGAAAGAAAAAAAAATATAGAAACTTACGGGCTCGAACATTGCGTATTCGCGACCAATGTTGCAGCCAGGAATCAAGCCAGGGCCACCAATCAAACCAGCGCCCTACCAAGTTATCCGTTGTAATCAGTACCAAGTAGCAGTGCTTAACAATCCATCCTCTGACTATTCTGACTATGAGCGATACTTACGACGTTGGAGACAATGCTACCGTACAAGTTGGGCATGACCATGACGTCGAATTGCTGTGGTCGGGAGACGAGCTGCATGGCTGTATTTGAGAAACCAGGCAGTTAGATATTAGTATCCATATTACACTTTAAACAAACAAAGCGAGATGATCAACTTGCCTGTGTTGTCGACAATCATGTCGTTGAACTGGATGCCATGGTGCTCGTATTCCTTGGCAACGTCACGGCAGGTGCGCAAGAAAAGACCATCCGCCAACTTCCTATTTTCGTCCATCTCCATCCAGTTAGCACATGTCCTCCACAAGCACCACCTGAGATCCTACCATCGCTTTTCTCTTACATGATGTTAGCCTTGTGAACGGCAGTGACCTTCTTGCGGTTGTTCTTCAAAGCAAAGTCGAAAGCGAAGCGAGCAATGCGCTCAGTCTTTACGCGGGTAATGATCTTGAGCGACTCAACGACGCCAGGAACAGACTACATCAAGAACAACTAGTTATTTTTCCCCTTCCATCTCGTTTTCCCGTTTAAGCAAGCTACTGATATAACTAACCTGATGTTCCAAACCAGAGTATTCACCCTCGGTGTTCTCACGGATGATGGCAATGTCAACATCGCTCAAACGGGAGGGGACGCCCGGAATGTTCTTGCAGAGCGACAACGAGGCATACATGTCCAAGTCCTTACGCATGGTCACGTTGAAAGACTTGTGGCCGAGCTTGGAGGTCGGAGTGAACAGGGTACCCTTGATACCAACCTTGTTGCGACGAAGCGAGGCAAGCGACTCTTGGAAGAGGGCCTCGTCTTCCGAGGTCAAGCCAGAAACGTCGTATTGCTCGAACTCGATGGGAGCGTCGGCAGCCTTGAACACGTCCTTCAAGGACACGGACATCTCTTGGCCAATGCCGTCACCGGGAATCAAGGTGACAGTGTACTTGCCGCCGTACTTTTTGGGGAAAATCTAAAAGGTAGAAGAGGAAGCAAAGGCAGGCAACGAGGGTGGTTAGCCTTTGGTTGGAAGAGAAGGCGTAACGCGCTGTGTTGTTTCTCATACTACATTGACAAGATTGACTTACGTTCTTTTGCTCGGCAGGTGCAGGGGTGGGAATGGCAGTGCCGGTCTGCGAGGCAAACGAACGGACGGCATTCTATTTTAAACGACAGATTCCAATGAATTAGCACAGTTTAGGGTTTAATAGCAGTAGCTGCCACTACCACCACCAGGAGAATAGCTTACCTGCTTGAGGGCCGAGATAGTGTTCAGGGTGGCGGGTCTGGCAATGACTTTGCTGAACATTGTGAAGTTTTGTGCGGGTAAACAAAGAAGAAACGGGAAAACGCTGGCTCGGGTAGGATTAAAATAATAACCCGTCAGCGTACTGTATTTTTCCTGTCACGCACCAGCCACACAACAACACATGAAATGATACTTACGTCTTCCGAGCTCGAGCCATTTCAAACCCACACCATTTGTCAAACATGGTGTTATAAGTTTATGTTGATCAAGTGTAGCCTGACACCATTAGTAATCACAAAAAAATACGATAAACAAGAGAGTATAAGAACTTTGGGAGGACTTAACTCTTTGAACAACGAGTCCCTTTGCTATTTCGGATGCCATCAACCTTTGTTGTACATGAAACAAGAGAAGGATGAAAAAAGAAGAGGAGAAGTAAGGCCGCCAACGGAAAGAGGACACACAACATAATAAATGTGGTGATGACGAGGAGAGGATTGAATGATAGGCATATTTGGAACGAATATAGTGAAGAAAGAAGAAGATGGATGCCGGTGATGAAGATCGATTTCTTTTCAACAGGGGTCTTTCAGTAGTTTATCGCATGATCTTCGGAAACCGGATGTCCCATCACTAATAATATATCGTTGAATCTATCACTGATGTATCAGATAGTATTGCGTCAAGGATATACTCAGCAAGAAAGTTATTCATATGGCATACTATGTATATACAGAGTTCAGCAATAAGGAAGCACAAGTATACTATATGATTCCCTCATGTCACTATTGATATCAATGATGAGCCCCAAACTTTCCGTTTTATCACAGCTGGTAAAATATTGCAACTGGCACTAAAATATCACTGATGTGGGTGACCTTCTGATGATCCTCAAAAAAGTCAATCAGTCATGGAGTGACAAAAGTAATCGTTTATCGATTTATTAAGCAATCTGGCCGGTCCAAAGTGCGCGTGCAAAGTGGACAATGGAAGAATGGAAGTTTGACTACTGTATCTGCTTGCAATTTTCGAACGAGGTGAATTTTCTTTGGTGGAGGACCTTCGCGTCCGATTTTATTAAGCGAACGAGGTCACTATACATGCTCGTTACAAAAATAACTGCAGAAGACGGACGTTGGGTTGTCGGCCTCGGTTCAACACAGGATCAGCTGGTCCTTCTATTCAATGTGCTAAAGGCAAATCATCAATAAACAATCCCTTTCTTCCCTGCATCTCTATCTCTCGGCGCGAATTTCGTCGAAGTCGTTTATCATCGGTTTTAAACCTTTTGATCTACTTTTGTACTACCTCATCACTGTTCATTAAGACATTGTATCTCTGCCAACTACAGGCGTTGTATCTCTGTCCTCCTCGTTTATTGAGGTATGGATTAGTCGTTTTTATTTTGTTTCTATCATTTTTGTTAGTATCCCCTTTGACTATGTACCGTTGTATTTTCGGGTAGTGCGACAATCTTTTAAAGGTTCTATTACAATAAGATATCCAAACTAGGATTCTGGAAAATTAGACTTTCGTTTTTGAACAGCAAAAGTACATATGTCATTGGTATATATAAGGGCCGATATCACTTACTTATCACTTGGCGAATCACTAGTAGCGAGCGGGCACCGTCAACAAGGAAATCGTTGACAGCAAGCGTTGCAGGCATGTGACATGTTGCATAACATTTTTTTTCCACGGTTTAGGAGCCTCAAGACGGTAGCAGGCCTTAGCATACTATATTGTCCAGAAACTTTCATTTTGCTCTTGATGCAGCTCAGATTTAATGTAAACATTTCTGTTTTTTGCGAAAATTAAATGTGTGCTAGGTTGATATAAGAACACTCGCCAACGGGACAATGATTGTATGTACCTCAAGCGCAATAATATGCGTTGTCTGAGCATGATGACATGTGAATATATGTCCTTTAAAGTTGATCGCAACAGGTCTTCCTGTTGTATATCAAATATTTTTATTGTATTATACAGCTGTAAAAACAATGGAGTTCCGATTCTGTTTAGCTTCAATGCGTTTTGTTTGTTTGCAAGCTTTTTTTGTCAGTTAATTCGACCATCCAAACAATGAGGAGTTGGTCAAGGAAGCATTCCGAAAATAAGGGAAATACTTTCGAAGTGACTGTAATTCAAGCAGAATAGAAGTACTGTACAGCTTTTTAACATACATTTTTGCAATCGTTAGTCACCGTATACGGGATGACAAAAAGAAGGGCATTATACTTTAGCAAACTATATATGTTTTAGTGTTTACTTTATTGGCTTATTCGCCAATAGTAGCACAACAAGCATTTTATGCTTATGTTCATCGGGTTAGCAAAATAATGCAATGAAAACAAGCATCTTATACTATTCTTAATCATATACTTGATAAGTTAATGCATGGCAATAGCGAGGAAAGGGGTCAAATCAGCGAAGATGGGCAAAACGACTAGCGACATATTCCTGTTTGAGATGGATACATCATGACCAGACCCCAATATTCGAATTTTTCCACCTGCTGCTACCATAAATGTAGCTAGAATTTGTGTACAGGATTCTCTTACAGCGTTAAACCTGTACACAACACGTACTATAATAGCGTATATAGCTGTGAATTGTTTTGATGGCATGTCAGCATCCGAATAGAGTGTATCATGAGCGTATGATAACGACAGACTTCCACCAGCCAACAAGCGGAAGTCAAGAAGAGTATGAAGCTATTGTAAAATGATTTCCTGTAGTAGCCGTATATATTAAATCATCGCAGTATGATATGGAATTTTTCCATGAAGCAGCCGAGGTTCTTCAACAGCAACCAAATTTACAGGACGAGCATGTATACCAATATCTATTGGACCACATCGATGCAGACATACCACATGGTTGGCCTAAAAACCAAAAGGAATTGGCTGTGTATGTGTTTTCTCAAGTTTGGTATCTTGTCAAAAATCCCTAATATAACGATATCGTCGGATCTGCTACTGTCAACAAAATCAATACTCGGATACAAGGATTGGATGAGTGTGTCTGAGCCACAATCGCCGCTTTCGTTGAACGAGAGCAAAGGAGAATTAACTCTTATGAATTAATTATGACATAAACTATTAGACGTTATACATCAATAATTTATGTTTAATTTGTATGAAGCATCTATGTTTCTAGCAGAAATATTACTACTAGGATTTTCAATCCAATTTAAAAAGAGTTCATAAGAGTTTCTTTTTAATAAAAATCTATTTGCTCATTTATAAATATCTGTAATAGTTATAGTGCCGCTACTAGATCACAAATGCCTAAAAAACTAATAGCAGGTCTCCTATGGTGTCATACTATCTGCCAAGAAATCTCGAACAGCGCCGTTTAATCCAAACAGTCCATCTTACTTTGGAGCGTATACCCTACGACATTCAGAATGCAGTCCAGAATTTGTTTGCACAGTACACACGACAGTACGGCGCCAGAGGGGTCGTGATTCCAAATGAGGATGTATTTGGCCATCATATCGTACTTCTTGACGTGATTGTCAAAAGATGGGCGGTATATTTTCAGCGTTTCGTCAACCAGGCTGTCGCAGCCACAGGTCAGCAGTTTAGCTTTGCTGAAATTCTCGGATTTTATTTCCAACTTGACAACAATGACGTTGTTTTACAAGGAGGAGTTTCTGCGTGGAAACAAGGCGCTTGGTCTCCGGTACCGTTTTTTGTCAATCCGCGAAAAAGCATTTGTAACTGGACAGCGTGTAAACATTCAGCCCACTGGTTATCGCAAGGACCTAGCAAAAACTATAGTCGACATACAAGGAAATGTACATCCAAGATACACATTCGCACAACTGAACACCAATGGTGTTAAACTCTCGTACACAGTACGCGATTGGAACAAAGCAAAAGGGCATACGGGACAGCGGTTCAAGTTCTTACCAGAGATACGGAAATATCGTCGTAGATTTTTGGAAGAACATGGTCTTTTGGAAGACGCTGATCTGTCACTGTATTACCAAGCTGTAATTGGCGTTGATCTTGGTCGCCGGTACGCAGCAGCCTTTTTTTGACTTCCTATGAAAGAAACGAGGCAACATCTACTATACAGTCAGAAAATGGATATATATGGAAGCCCAACGCCTGTAATACCCTCTGATCATACCGGCGAGCATCACGGCAGCGGCAGCAGCAGCAGCAGCAGCATTGCTTCAGTAACCACACTGCAAACAGAAAGCGTGCTATCTATCGGAGGGGAAGACGTGGTTATGGCTAGTCCTGAACCAGGCGAGGGGCATCTCGGTGATGATACACACCCTGGTGTACAGTTCGCAGTATCATCATCTGAATTGCATGGCCGTAATCGCCAAAATAAACGTTGGTTACAACGAAGGAAACAAGTACAAGGAATACATGAACTCGAAGCACGACTTTCTTTTGGCAGCACGAAATCGACGTATCAAAATGCATTACAGTATATTCGACAATGGCAAAACAACAATACTGGTTTGGCACTAAATACTTTTAACTCTCAAAAAGCTGTTCTACACAAACAATGGGACACTCGAATTTCAATCAGCTCTGCATTTGACCATGCATGCGGACGTGCACTCAACCTTTCTCGAATATCGGCGACAGCAGCTACTCGTGCCGATTGTTTTAACCACATCAATCAACGCAAAGAGCGTCGGCGCGAGGAGGAGCAACGACAACTACAACATCATGCTCCACGATCAATTGATCGGGGTGGTCGAAGGGTGCCTCGTGATGAACTGCAACTGACACGAAGACATCGACAAGCAGTAAGACGCCAACAGAAAAGACTTGACAGGTTGCGAACAAATACGGATCGCCGCATCATGATAGGCCTTGGTTTAGACGGGATGATACAACAAACCCCACTGGGTGAGCTTGCATCGATGGATACCAAACTGGCCAATCGTCTTATGATCAACACCCAAGCAAGAAATAATGTTGACGTTGTACGCTTAGACGAATACAACACCTCGCAATTTTGCCCTAATTGCACACAGAATGGGCAACAATCGCGGTTACACTATTTGAGACGCAACAACAACAACAACATTTGCGGGTCCTCCTCTGTGACGCTTGTGGAAAGTACTAACATCGAGATGGAAGTGCCGCTCATAATCAAAGTCACTGTATCGCTTCTGTCCTGCAAGATGGTCGCAGACCACCCCAGTTTATCAGACCTTCAAGGCGGCTTTGAAATCCATGCAAAAGCGTCTTTATTTTTCTATTGTCCGCTGAACAATCGCTTTGTCAGTTAAGAACCCCAACCCCTTCTTCTTTGTCTCTCTCTCTCTCTCTCTCTCCTTCTTAAGTCTATCTCTCATGCATATATTTTGGATCCGTGGAAAAAGAACCAAGCAACACAAAAGTACCACCACTGATTCTAAATGTATCGATCGGACAAAGGTGGGTTTCTATATGTATTTGGAAAAAAGAAAAAATATAGGGTCAACCAAAATTGTTGTTATGTTCGCCGTAATTACTCCGAAAAAGAAACGGCATTGGTGGATTCTATTTGATATAAACGTACCTCTATGGAAGAAGTAGATGTGCGGATAGAACGAAAGGGTATAATAATAATGTTGTGAAAACAGACAAAGGTCCTTGCAAAGAAAAAGCCAACTGAATTTTTTCTCCTTCCGCACGCTGTTGACGGGATTTGGCGGCTAATATCTCATCCTGGGCGACTTTTTTTTTTCGTGTGCGACCGTTTTAAGTGTCGGTCCTAATTATCCTGTATACTGGGCTGTAATATATAAGTAGAAGAGAGGAGGGAGACAGGGTGTAACCGTCTGTGGTCCCTGCGGAAAGGAGGGGGGCTTGCCTTTTGAATAGAGTAAAGAAAGCTGCTGATAATGCATCTTCTTCTTGACGCTTTCATTGCCCTTTTGAATGATCGCATCGCGCATACACAAGGCGTGTGTGTATCCTTTGGGATCTCATTCTTCTGCTGCTGCCGATTGTGCCCCAATACTAATGCACTCACAGAAATTGTAGCAGCATGCGTGGTGTCACCAAATAAAAGTGAGGAACATGTGCGAGAGATCTTTAGACGCTCTCAGTCGATCCGCTCTACACAAACAATAATACACACACTCTCTTTCACTCCACCCACACTCTTTTACCACACACCCACAAGCACTCTTTTTTCTTTCCTTGTTTTCATCTCGATCGACCATCGCCCATGTCTACAGCAACCGATGTCGACGTCGCGACTAATGGCAAGTTCTGCTACTCCTTTATTTTTATCCTACCTTTCTTTCTTAGCCTATCCTTTTCCTTGGCTATTATAAATATGTATATGTATGCTCTCATAATAACATGTTCATTTACATTCTAGAATGGGTGAAAAAGATTCACTTTGAGAACCGCGTGGATAGTAAGTTTAAAGGCTCATGATGTTGTATGCTTACTAGCACTGCTACCTATCATCGAGAAGTTAGCAATACAGCGAGTTGTTATTATAAGCACTAACGCCCGAGTTCGTCTTGGTAGTCAATTTGCAGCTGCCTGCAGCGGACGGCGAGTCAGCCAAGATAGAGATCCCGGAGCTACCTTCGTTCGATAATAAGCTTGGCTCGATTGATTTACCGGGAACAGCAACGTACATATCCACCGTCCCAAATGTATTTTTACTCTGCAGCATTACTATCCATGTTTGATCCTAATCTGTATCTGCCCGCATGTGATACTGCGTATACTTTCTACTAGACAACAGCAACACCAACGAGCTCCGCCCTCCTCGAATAATAATACTACACCAACATCCGATTCGTACCTGAGTGCTATTGTATCATCCTCCTCGTCTGCTGCTGCTGCTGCAAAGCCAGCCGCATCATCGCCATCCGCAGCACCAGCAGGCTGTAGTGGAGGCGCTGACTGTACATGCTACAAATGCCAACGACAGAAACGACGAGCAAGAGGAACCGCAAACAATAAAACGGCTCCCGAAACAACGCCGATCACAAAAGCAAAGGCGACAGTAACACCTCCTCCTCCACCTCCTCCTTTTCAACCATTGTCATCATCTCCTCAGAGTACGACGATCACGAATATCGTCTCAAGAAACGTCCAGCCATTGTCCAAAAAGCCATCCACAACAAGCTTTGCTTCTTCTCAACCAGCCACCACCACCAGAGTAGCAGCAGCACCGAAATCGGTCAATCATAATCAGCAGCGACAATCACCTTCGAAACCCAGCAATAGCAAACGTGCACAGGGTTCAATTTGTCGACGCAAAACACCCAGCATCAAATCATATGAAAAGCATCTTCCTCGCCCAACCTACTCTGCTCAAGACAGCATCTATCGTATGATAGATCCTACAGCATCACCCGCACCTGCCGTTCATGGCAATGTGAAAAAGAGCGATTCACAGCACAGCAGTGTACAATCGGACCACAGCAGTGTGACGACGATGAACACGACGACGACGATGACTACCTCGACCGTCGTCCACCAACAAGACGGTTATCAGATTTCATGGAAAGACGACACGACGGGTGACGATCTCTTGAACTCATTAAAGACGTTTCAGACCATTTTTGCAGAACAACCGGGTGAAAGTGCAGCTGGGTTGTCGGATCTGTTGGAAGTCCGGGCCCAAGAGATGAAACGACAGCGTGCAGAGCAAGCGGCCCATTCTGGCAACAGCAATCTTGCGCTATCGGAGGAGGAAGAGATGGAACCTCCAGCGGGCCAAGTACATACACTAAAGTACCGTCGAGGTCCACCCCATTATGCACTCACACTGTACCATACTATGAAGATGAGAGGACCCGGCGAACGCAAAGTTGCTTATGGTGAGTGCGGGCTTTTGCGATCTAGCGGTTACACAAGCACACACACACAATATAATGTGTTGCATTGAAGCTTACACAAACCGATATCCTTGTGATTAGACACGGCGTTCGACCATTGTATTCGTGCCAACAGCGGGCTGTCTGGCTGGATTAAACGGCAATCAGAGCGGGAGCCTCCAAAGCCATTACAAGGTATGTTCTTTTTTTTCTATACCAAAGCAGCGCAGTGAGTCGAATCACCTGACACTGAACGACACTAATACTTTGCATAGATTACACGCCGCGCCAACCAAGACGCCCTGTTAAAAAATCAATCCTGCGACCCATTATACCCGGATTAAAGCACAAGACGACAACAACCGACGATATGTGGCATAAGATCTCGTCCTCAGAAAACCCTGCACCCGCATTGCCGCCGAGCAATCCATGGAACAAGCAAGACGACGAGAACACGACAGGCATTACACCTACCGATGTCTTGTCAGCCGCACATGCTCTATTGCCTAATCAGTCGCCTGTCGTGCTTCATGATTCGCTGAGTCGGACCAATGTGGCTGCCAAGCCGTATGATCATGTTGATACCCCGAGCAGACCGATTCCGAACCATCATCATCATCATGTAAATGATTCTTCTTCTTCTTCTTCTTCTACCCGTTGACACTACTATCTTAGACACACATTACACTCGATCTGTTGTTACTATTATTACTATCATCTTATATTTGTGCTATTAATATTAAAAAACATATAACGTATGGCTGAACCAATGCACAGCGAGCAGGATCTGAGCGTGGCGATGCTGCCAGCGTCTCCTCAATGAGTGTGGATGGAGATTCCAGTACGAGCAAGGCAAGCAGATCTGGCAAGCTATTTTCCTCCTTTGCTAAAAAGTCATTACGATCGCGTAGTGGCACAGTGACCTCTGCGAAATCCCAGACGGAAAGCATCAAGGTAGTTAGAGCTACTATTTCTATAAAGTGCTTTGTTTAATTTGATATCTTTTATAAATTATATCACAGAAGCCATCATCATCATCTTCACCGGTAGCTGATTCCATAGGATCCAAGGAGCCAATGCTACGGCATCACCAGCATCAAAAGGAGTTAGATTCTCTTTGTTCTATTATGCCGCATGTTGAACGTCAAGTGCTTGCCCAACACCTGGCAGATGCAGGGGGTGATTACATAAAGGCGCTAGGATCATGCAAGCAGGCCGTTGCTGAAGGCAGATTGTAAATGAAAGAAGAAGAAGAGGAAGAAAAGATGTAATTATATTTATACTAGTATTTATATATGTTGAATACATTAACAATGTCTATTTACTTGTGTATGTGTGGTTTTAGGGAAGATATGCTGGGTTGAACGTGGAAAGAAAACAGAAAAAAGGGAACGGTGTAACGGTATGGGTTTGTGTAGATCAGGATAAGTATGACTTTGTACGGATGACGGGTGTGTGGTTTTGGAATGGAATCAATAGTCGAATAAAAAAGGTGGTTCGTGTGAGGTCGGTGGCAAAGAAATTGGAGACAAGCGGGGTTTTGGCTTTTGCTGTTTCATCGTCGGATAAGCGTCAAGAATTCTTCTCGCGTCTTTGGGTTACTTCGGAAACATCCCATCATGCAACTAGTTGTCGTTGAACTGCCAGGTTTCTATAGAAAGCAAATCAGTAACACTACGCAAACAAAACGTCATCTTGTCATAGACAGGCTATGAAACTATCAAAGTCATGTACCTGTACACCACTACATGAACGAAAAGACACGTTATTAGCCCTTCTGAATATCACAGCCGTCCCATCTTCTTATCATATAAGCCAAGAGCCATCACTTACCGCATACACATGCACATGTGAGATGCTTCCATGACCACGGCGACGCCCTGTGGTTGCAAGATTTCCATGAGCGCAGTGGCAATCTGCTTGGTTACTCGTTCCTGTACTTGAAGTCTGTCACGGGAACAAAGCAGAAACGGTGGGATCGTGTATGTGAGATGCGTGAGAAAAAAACAACAGCAGCACTTGAGAGATATAGAGAAGGGACCTTATCACGATAAAGACCCGGAAACATACCTTCTCGTGAACATCTCGGCAAGACGTGCCAGCTTGCTGAGTCCCACCACGCGACGGTTAGGAATATATCCGATGCTGATCTTGCCAGTGAAGGGGACCATGTGATGCTCGCACAGCGAGAATACGTCCACATCCTTGACAATCACCATCTCGTCGTGATCTGGAATAGAATCACACACACACAATCATCAATACCATTCCTAACTGCTGATTTCCTCCGCTTGTATATGTAATTAATGTACCTTCTTCGAAAATAGCTTCATTCACCACATCTATAATTGGATGCATCACAATGAGGATTGTTTAGCCCAACGCACATGCATAAACCGACATCCCACACCTTGTGCATACCTCGGATGTTCTGTTCATAGCCCTTTGTGAAGAACATCAATGCCTTGGCATACCGCTCAGGTGTCTTGAGCAACCCCTCTCTCTCTGGATCTTCACCAATGCATGATAAGATCGTCTTTACTGCATCCGCAATCTTGGCCTGTCTGTCCTCTCGTTCTTTCTCGGACTCATCTCTGCGAATTTTAGCGCCTTTGCCTATTTTGTTTTGTGTGTTTGGAAGAGATCCATTGTCAATATAACTTTCTTTGTGCAAAAAAGATAACAATACAGAAAAAAAGAGAAAAATGAAAACCTACTTGGCCAGCTCATTCCGTCAATATCGACAGGGCTGTCTTGTCTCACAATGAACGATCGGTTTGACATGACAGACGACTGGGACGGCGACACTGCAGGAGCCTTGGTTTCGTCTTCGAAATAGGACATTTTTTTAAAGTTGTGTAGAAAACGAACAAGATAGTGTGGAGAAAGTAAGAGGGGGCGGGGGAACAAAAAAAAGTTTGGCAGGAACAGGATCTTTGAGGAGAAAGAAAGAAAGAAAAAAAAAAGAGATCGGACTGTGACCGGAAAGTAGGCAATTGAGTCATTTTGATTGGATCGCTTGATTGTATTTTCGCACGGATCTTGGGCTGGCTTTCTTGTAACCGTTCATAACCCTGATTGGGTCGATTGTGTAGGAAGAAAGCAGCACGACTTGGGAAACGGCCGAAAGAACGATTTGCGTTATTAGCGAACGTTTGATTGGTTTGAATAGCTTTGCCACGGGTTATATGTATTAATGGGGCTCAATGGGTTGGGATTCTCGGGTAGCAGTAGTAGTTGCGAGTGAGTGATAATCTGATATTAAAATCAGCGGTGCTGATAACCCTCGACGGACTTCTTGACAGCATATTCCCGCACAGACACAGACAGCTTCCTTTGATTTGTTAATATTCGTTTGATCGCTAGCTTGGTAGTAGGTGCTCAACAAACCATGGGTACTCTCTATGCATACAGCATAATACTGTCTGCAGAATCTCGTAAAGTCATGCTCCTGAATGGAAAAAGCCAGTAATGTGACTGACAACAAACAGGGATAATCTTCAATGAAATATAGAACTATAGGATGTGCTACTACGTGCCATTGCAACCGGCGTCGCTCGACGATATATCAAGTATACAAAAGCATCGCAGAATATGTGAGCTGGCTGGAGAGAAAGCACCCCCTGTCTAACACAGTATGCATCCGCGGATGGGGATGGTTATGCATACATGCACCTCTTTGAAAGCTTAAATGGTAGGGCGGGGTGGCTTTTCATGCTGCCATCATGTTGAGTAATGCGAGACGGCTTTTCTTGCTCGCCCAGCTGAGATCTCTTTTGACTTTCCGCCTTATCGAAAAGATCGACAATTATCCCAGTCAATTTCCAGCACTGCCCAACGCATCCAGCACTCTTCCCCCCCCACATACACACACACTCTCTCTCTCCCTCTTAACAACTACAAACCAACCACACAATGTTGGTGTTGCCTGGTACCTCCGCGCTCTCTGACTTTAAGAGCAAGAGTATCCTCAAGGATATTCAACGTCACGTTCCGTCCGTCGGCAGCATTGCTGGTCTGTTTGTCCACTTTGTCCAGCCGCGATCCGACGAAGCCAAGGTTTTGTTGCAGAACGAGTCTTCAGCAGAAGAGCAGGGCAAGATTTTGAAAAGTCTTTTGCACTATGGCAACAACCCCATTGCCGACGAGGCCGCTGCAGCCATTGCTCACTTTTTGGCCACCAACTCGCAACCTGCCAATGCCACCGCTGTCATTGTCGTTCCTCGCGCAGGCACCATTTCGCCCTGGTCGTCCAAGGCTACCAACATTGCCCACCTGTGCAATCTTCAAAAGGAGGTTGAACGTATCGAACGCGGCACAGCATTCCTGGTTACCAAATCAGACGGTTCGCTTTTGACAGCAGAGGAATTGGCCACGTTTGCTGATTTGTTGCACGACCGCATGACACAGACCATCAATACGCAGTTGCCTCAGTCTGAAACTGTGTTCAAGCACGGTACGCCGGCTCCTTTGACTGTCGTGGAACTGTTGGGTCAGGATGGTATGGAGAACGCGCAAGTGGCTCGTGAAAGGCTCGTCAAGGCCAACACAGAATTGGGCTTGGCCTTGGCTACGGATGAAATCGATTACTTAATCTCGGCCTTTGTTGGCAGTGGCGACGCTTTGCGACGGAACCCTACCGATGTCGAATTGTTCATGTTCGCTCAGGTCAACTCGGAGCATTGCCGTCACAAGATTTTTGGTGCTGACTGGACCATCGACAACGAGCACAAACCCCATTCATTGTTCGGCATGATCCGCAACACCCACAAAGTCAGTCCCCAGTACACTTTGTCAGCTTATTCCGATAATGCTGCCGTTTTGGAAGGTTTCAAGGCTACGCGTTTTGCCCCTTCGTCTGCATCCAACAACTCGTACGAGCATTTCGAGGAAGATGTGCATTATCTTGCCAAGGTGAGTTATCTCCTTTCTCTTCAAAGGATGAATAGAATAGACGAATACTAAAGATCCTTTTGCATAGGTTGAAACGCATAACCATCCTACTGCAGTTTCTCCTTTCCCTGGTGCATCGACTGGATCTGGTGGTGAGATCCGTGATGAAGGTGCTGTAGGTCAAGGCTCCAAGCCCAAGGCTGGTCTCGTTGGTTTCACTACCTCCAACCTGCTGATTCCCGGCAACGTTCAGCCATGGGAAACTGACTTTGGCAAGCCTGGACACGTTGCCTCCGCATTCGACATCATGATGGAGGCTCCTCTTGGTGGTGCTGCTTTCAACAACGAATTCGGCCGACCTGCCCTTACGGGCTATTTCCGTACATTTGCCGAAGAAGTTCCTGTCACGGAAAACACAACCGAAGTGCGCGGTTATCACAAGCCCATCATGCTTGCCGGCGGTGTCGGCAGCGTCCGACCTGCCCATGTCTTGAAGAAGCCCATTTCGCCCGGTGCGCATCTGATTGTGCTCGGTGGCCCTAGCATGTTGATTGGTCTTGGTGGTGGTGCTGCTAGTTCCATGGCATCCGGCCAAAGCAGTGCCGATCTCGATTTCGCCTCTGTTCAACGTGATAACCCTGAAATGGAACGTCGTGCTCAACAGGTCATTGACTTTTGTAATGCTCTTGGCGAGGATACCCCCATCGAATCCATCCACGACGTTGGTGCTGGTGGTCTTTCAAACGCTCTTCCTGAAATTGTGCACGACAGCGACCTTGGTGCTGAAATCGAGCTTCGCAGCGTGCCTTGCGACGACAGCAGCATGTCGCCCATGGAGATCTGGTGTAACGAATCTCAGGAACGCTACGTCCTTGCTGTGTCACCTGCCAAAATTAAGGTTTTCGAAGAGTTGTGTGCTCGTGAACGATGCCCTTACGGTATTGTCGGCAAGGCAACCGCCGAAAAGCGTCTCGTTGTCAAGGACTCGTTGCTTAACAACACCCCCATCGATCTCCCCATGCCCGTGCTGTTTGGCAAGCCTCCCAAGATGTCGCGTGTCACCGAAACCCGCAACCCTGTCCGCGTGCCATTTGATTCAAGCTTGAAGTCGTACTTGCCTCAAGCTTCGACCGTCACCGATGTCTTGACCGAGTCTGCTTCGCGCGTTCTTCAATTACCTGCTGTTGCATCCAAATCGTTCTTGATCACTATCGGTGATCGATCCATTACTGCTCTGGTCGCTCGTGATCAATTCGTTGGCCCATGGCAGGTTCCTGTTGCCGACGTGGCTGTCACTACTACTTCGTATGGTCAGGACATCATCACTGGTGAAGCCATGGCTTTGGGTGAGCGCACCCCCTTGGCGCTTCTGTCGCCTGCTGCATCTGCTCGTATGGCTGTTGGTGAGACCCTGACCAACATGGCTGCTGCCAACATTCAAGACATCGGTCGTATCCGCATGTCTGCCAACTGGATGTGTGCTGCCAACCACGACGGTGAAGGTGCTGGTCTCTACGATGCTGTTCAGGCCGTTGGCCTCGATCTGTGCCCAAAGCTCGGCATTGCTATTCCTGTCGGCAAGGACTCCATGTCAATGAAGATGAAGTGGAACGAAGAAGGCAAAGACAAGGAAGTGACTGCTCCCTTGTCGCTCATCGTTACAGGCTTTGCTCCTGTCATCAACAACCACAAGACCTTCACCCCCCAGCTCCGCAACGTCGAGGGCACCGTTTTGGTCTTTTTGGATCTTGCAAAGGGCAAACAGCGCTTGGGCGGCTCTGCACTTGCACAGGTCTACAAGCAGATTGGTCACGAAGCTCCCGACGTCGAAGACCCTATTGTGCTCAAGAACTTTTTCAACGCCATGCAACAGGTCAAGGAAGGCGATGTCAAGAACAGCCTCGTGTTGGCATACCACGACCGATCAGACGGTGGTTTGTTTGCCACGATTTCAGAAATGTGCTTTGCTGGCCATGTCGGTGCTCAGGTCCAACTCGACGAAATTGTTCAGAACGGCGATGTCGTTGCTGCTCTTTACAACGAAGAATTGGGTGCTGTTGTGCAGGTTGAAGAGTCTCGCTGGAACGAGTTTGAAGCATTGATGTCTGGCGCTGGTGTCTCGGCGTACAAGATCGGTACTGTTACCCCGCACGACGAGCAGGATACCATCTCCTTCAACTTTGGCAAGCAATCCGTGTTTGCTGCCAGCCGTGTTGAGTTGTTCCGCACTTGGAGCAAAACTTCTTATTTGATGCAAGCTCACCGTGATAATGCTGACTGTGCCAAGGAGGAATACGATAATGTCTTGGATGCCAGCGACCCTGGTATCAGCTACCAGCTCACTTTCGACCCAGCTTCGGATGTCACTGCCGGCTTGACCCGTCGTCCTCGCGTTGCGATCCTGCGTGACCAAGGTGTTAACGGTCAAATCGATATGGCCTTTGCGTTCCATTTGGCCGGTTTTGAGGCCGTCGATGTTCACATGACCGACATTTTTTCGAACAAGGTCTCCTTGAAGGACTTTGTTGGTTTGGCCGCTTGTGGTGGTTTCTCATATGGTGACGTATTGGGTGCCGGTGCTGGTTGGGCCAAGTCTATCCTTTTACATCCTCACGCTCGTGCCGAGTTCTCGCACTTCTTCAACGAACGAACCGACACTTTTGTCCTTGGTGTGTGCAATGGCTGTCAGTTTTTGAGCAACTTGACTGAACTGATTCCTGGCGCTGCATCATGGCCTCGTTTCATGCGCAACAAGAGCGAACAGTTTGAAGCTCGTGTTGCCATGGTCGAGGTACAAGAGACCAACAATATCTTTTTCGATGGCATGGCCGGATCCCGATTCCCGATCGCTGTCGCCCACGGTGAAGGTTATGCTCAGTTCAAGTCTGATAATGACTTGGCTCAATTCAAGCAAGACGGATTAACTGCAGCTCGCTATGTGGACAACCATGGCAAAGCTACAGAACGTTACCCATACAACCCCAATGGCTCGCCGGAAGGTATCACTGCTGTCCAAACTCCTAACGGACGTGTCTTGGCCCTGATGCCTCATCCTGAGCGTGTCGTTCTCAAGGAAAGCAATTCGTGGTATCCCACCGAAGAGAACTGGGGACAGGTTGGACCTTGGCTCCGGATATTCCGCAATGCCCGCAAGTGGGTTGGCGACAATTTCTAGATCAAATTCTTTATTACAACAAGCACACATATTAGTTCTGCATCTATTTTCCCCCCTTGATTTCTTTTTCTTCCTTCTCATTGCATGTTTTTCCTTTCTTCCTCTCGTATATTCAATTTGTGATGTCATGCCTAAAAAAGCGCTTAACACATGTTTATCTATTGATCGGTGTATATTTGCTTACTGTTCGGTTAAGCCAGACGTCAGTGCTGCCCAGTGGACTCTGATGAATCGAGCGTCGCACATTACATGTTACACTGTCTTTAGAGCATCTGCAACTGTGACTTTAATAAAGCGACTGCAACTGACAAATTTTTCGGACTAAGTAGAAGTTACGACTTGAAGGTGTCACAGTCCGTTCTCTGCAAAGATTGAACGGTTGCTGAATAATTGGGTGAATGCTTCCTTCTTCTCTCTCATGATTGAACAACACTACATTTACCAACTTCGTTGCCACGAACATCGTGCTTCATAGAGGCATGATCTCTCAACAGCTCGTTACCGATTACGAAGATCGAGAAGCAGCACGTAAAAAGCCAAAGAAACCCCCTTCGACTGACGGAAGTTTATTGATCGTAACCGGCCCCTCTTCGAAAAATTACTTATGGACGATTATCTCGCGCCTCGTCCTCGATATGATGCGGTTTTTCTCAGAAGCAGATATCGCATGAGCCAACAGCTATTTGTGTCTGTGATGCACGAGCTGGTAATTAAGTACGAGTATTTCCAGCAAAGGCCAGACGCAACGGGTGAATTGTCGTTCCATCCGTTTGCTAAAGGAACTGCAGCAATTCGCATGCTGGCGTATGGTGGTCCCGCCGATGCAGTCGACGAGTATCTCAAGATGGGCGCATCGACAGCCAGACAATCGCTACATCACTTTTGTCTGGGCGTTATTGAATGCTTTGGCGACAAATACCTGCGTTCGCCAAACGAAGAAGACCTGAAAGAACTGCTTGCGGTTGGAGAGAGACGAGGTTTCCCGGGCACGTTAGGATCCATTGACTGCATGCATTGGGAGTGGAAAAACTGCCCAAAAGGATGGGAGGGCATGTACTCCGGAAAAGAAGGCAAAGCAACTGTCATCTTGGAAGCTGTTGCCTCCCATGACTTGTGGATATGGCACTCATTTTTCGGTGTACCTGGTTCTTGCAATGACATAAATGTCTTGTACAAGTCCCCTGTTTTCGATGATGTGATCCACGGTCGAGCGCCATCTGTCAAGTACACCATCAATGGTAACGAATACGACAAGGGTTACTACCTGGCCGATGGTATCTATCCTACTTGGTCGACTTTGGTGAAGTCGATTCCGGCACCTCAAGGAAGAAAAGAACAATTAAATGCTTAATGATAGTATTAAGGTTATCTTCTATCTCAAACATACATCTAAATATTGCTACAATGTATGTAGTACTTTGCGCAAAGACAGGAATCAGTGCGCAAGAACATTGAACGCGCTTTTGGTGACCTCCAAGCACGCTTTGGTATCATTTGTCAGCCTGCACGTGCCTGGAATGTGGCGAACCTCAGCAACATTACGCGAGCTTGCATAATTTTGCACAACATGATCGTTGAGGACGAGCGTGCAAGATACCCTGGTCGCATTGCTCTTCACTCTGACTACGATACGAGCGAAGATTATAGTGTCGCGCCATCTTTCTTGCACGGAGACATTGGCGATGATCACGTCTACCTCTCGCGTCTAAAAGAGGTGCGTGATGCTCATGCTCATAAAACGTTGCGCACAGATCTTATGGAGCATCAATGGCAAGAATATGGCAACACCATGTAAAGCCATTTAACATTCTCCATATCTTTTTAGTATATCTTTCATTCGTCTTCTTCCTGCTCATACTTCTTCATGACGGCTGCTTGCTTCATCGCGAGCCAATTAGAGTGCTTAACACTTCTTTAACGTATCAGCATAGGTACAATCGTCCTTGATTGTTTGGCATAGGGGAGGGGTCTGAAGGGAAGAGAATGCGAGACGAGAAAAACGCTGACGGATGTCACATCGTTTACTCTGTTGACTATTTTATCATCACAGTGTTTGTATTATGCTTAGTTTCTACACTACGTACAGTACTGCTATTGACAAGATGGACACAAATTACAGATATATCATGTTATATACATTAATAGCTGAATAAGTAAAATCTAGTTAGACTTTCGGCGTTTTGGGCCTTCTACAGCCGAATTATTGCTTCTTTCGCCTTTGTTTTTAATCCTGCTTTTCTTAACAATCGAAAATTCGCTGTCTTGATCCCAGTGGTACGAGATGCGCTCGTTGACGGCCGGCTTCTCTTTTCCATTCTTTACAGCAGCTTTAGCTTATTTTGCCGTTAGCTCATCAAAACCCTGATGACGAGCCAGCTTAGCATGCGATCGATATCAATTCTAACAAGTTACAGTGAGAGTAATGAATACTTTTTTTC